CTCATCGTATTTTCTTGTGAGTTAACATTTACAAACGCATGTCAATTTACAAAAACACAAGACTTATTTGTATGTTGTTGATAGGCCGGTAAAACTATTGTTTACAGTCACGACTGGGCCACTGCACTACTGGTGGGTCTTTTCCTACTTTCAAACAATTCGGCCGATGCAACAACTGACCTTGACAATTACATCACTGTCCATCTACAGCTCACGCCGCTAAATACGTTGTCCGCCAACATTTCGATACAGATGTATTCATGTCGGCGAGGTATATCTCTAGTCAGCTAATTACTGAATCTACTCTCGATATCATACGTGTGACGTCACCACAGCGACACAGGGGATGTCGTGGCTGGTAAAGAGAGTGTACACAAAACAAAACAGAACTTTTCTGGGGCCACAGAGGAAATCTTCCATAGAGCTAGAAGTGGTCCAGTGTATTAGCCTACCACTGTACATATTTATTTCCAGTCATTTTAACTCTCCCGACGACAGGGTGGCTGTACACTCTGGACACAGTGTGCACAACCGATGAATTATTTGGCATTCTAAAGGACTTTACAATTCACTACAACGAATGAATTTAGGGCGAATATGGGGCTATCCTGATCTTTATAACAGAGACCTGAGAATTTATTACAAGGTGTATATAGACCTAACTCAGTCTTTCTCGAGGGCCCGAGAATTTATCACAATCTAGGCGAATATGGCCATCTTCTGGCCTGCATCACAGGTGCCAGATATTTATCATAATTTAGGTGAATACGGACCGCTTCTGGTCTGTATCACAATCTAGGTATGATATTATAGACCTCAGCCTGGTTGCAGTAGAATACCATCAGGGATAAGATTCCCTTTCATTAAATATTTCACTACTACTTTACATTATACCTTATATAGATTATAATTATATAATTTTTAATTTGCAGAGCTCTAGGACCATTTCCACAGCAACCACTTTGGCCGTTCCTGTTTCTAAGGAGAGCTCAGCAGACGTTAGCCTCAGATTTCTACACGTTGACATGTACAACGCCTCGCTGTATGTGCCCGTTACAGACAGAAAGTGTAGCACAACACACACGCAAGCTGCCGAGTCAATAGACGCACGCCGATGTGCAGTGTGTGCATACAGCATCTGTATGTACGTGACACGAATTCATTTAGCAATGACATTCATCTAAACATGTTTAGATATTTTTATAATGTGTTAGACACTTAAGAATCCCTTTATAAAGTTGACCTAGAAACGTTCGATTGATTGTTTACGTTTTTGACCTATTTCACGGGCGGGGGCGTGACACTTGCTCTAAGTAACCACGAGTTACGTCCCTTGTAAGTGAGCAGGTTCTAGGAAAATCTCCACACAAGGAGCTTGTATCACATAGACAAATCAGCTTTTCCTTCAAAAGCAATTTATTCACATTGTTTTGTCAAGTATTTTCATTATTTCCCAATGTGGACATTACCCCTCAATCCCCTCATCTTCAAAACAAGAAGAAAAAAAGGAAATAAATAAATAGTTAAAAAAAGAAAGAGGCCCAATGAGCCTGAGTCACACATTTGGACAGCAGCTTTAAATTACTAATTGGACAGTTAAGTCAATTTCTTCTAACTTGAAAGTTCAATTCCTAACACAATACTACACAAATGCAAATGACCTAGGATCTATGCTTTATATAAATTGAATATATAAGATTGGTGCCTGTGATCTTTTAAAAGGGTCACTGTTATTTAGCCAGGAATGATACTGGAATTTTGCAACTCCAGGTTTATCTGTTATTTAGCCAGGAATGATACTGGAATTTTGCAACTCCAGGTTTATCTGTTATTTAGCCAGGAATGATACTGGAATTTTGCAACTCCAGGTTTATCTGTTATTTAGCCAGGAATGATACTGGAATTTTGCAACTCCAGGTTTATCTGTTATTGAGAGGTTGTTTTTAGATGATAGCATTTGATATCTGTGTCCTTGAAAATAGGCCAAGGTTATTAATTTGAAAACACTTCATTAAAACATTTCAGTATATAGCTGTCCAGTGACCTGTAAAGAGTGTCAAGGCCATTCGTTTGAACAAACTTTGTAGCCTACCATCTCAGCATGCTTTTGGACCAATGTCGGAACCCTTGGCCTAAATTAATGACAAGAGTATCTTTAAAAGGAAAAACTGACAGCTTCTGGTCAATGCACCGGGACATTGCCAAGTGTTATGAGACAGTAGATTTGCTGTGTTCAACAAATTCGTAAATGATTTTAAAACCTCAAAGATCTAGATTGCAGTGATTCATAAAAGTATTGAAAATAAAGTTATAATTTTAGAAATAGACTGATGGGACAATTTTGGAAGTTCATTGGTTTTATGATTTGACATAGAGTAATGGACTAAAATGTTCTGTTATTAATTGCCTCTCCCAAACACATAATTAAGGAGAATGGCTCACCAATACACTGACAACTACTTAAGTGTATAAGACTTGGACCAAATATAGAAAAAACAAAACCAACGTCTTCACAGTTGATGGATAAATTTTAATTCAAAATCATTTACTTTGAATTTATAAACAAACATTGAACTGTCATTTCAGGCACTTCAGTTATAGTCAAGTGTCCCAAAATCACGAGTATAACTCCATTCAGAATCACATAGTGCTTCAGGTGACGCATGTTCCTAACAAGTTTGGTGTCAAAAACAAATCTTTACAATAATACCTTGAGTAAATAAGGATTTAACAAATTATACACTTTCTCTATTTACCTCATAATAAGCATAGGGGTCAACACATAGCTCGGTGTTGGGATATGTGCATACTTAGAGGGAACTATACAGATCCTTTTGATAAACTGAAGTAAGGAACATTGATTTTTCCCCATTTTCTGTATGTATCCAGTCCTTTTCCCATATCTGGTAATAAGCCAAACCATATTTTTATTTTATTTTTTGGTGGGGGAGGTCTACAGAAATACCAGCAAATGTATTTCCATTGTCCTGTACATAACATGTATATAATATTGACTAACCTCTGCTGTCTAAAACATGGCCCTGAATAACATGTTTGTAATATTGACCAACCTCTGCTGTCTAAACCCTGGCCCTGAATAACATGTTTGTAATATTGACTAACCTCTGCTGTCTAAAACCTGGCCCTGAATAACATGTTTGTAATATTGACTTACCTCTGCTGTCTAAACCCTGGCCCTGAATAACATGTATGTAATATTGACTAACCTCTGCTGTCTAAACCCTGGCCCTGAATAACATGTTTGTAATATTGACTAACCTCTGCTGTCTAAAACATGGCCCTGAATAACATGTTTGTAATATTGACCAACCTCTGCTGTCTAAACCCTGGCCCTGAATAACATGTATGTAATATTGACTAACCTCTGCTGTCTAAACCCTGGCCCTGAATAACATGTTTGTAATATTGACTAACCTCTGCTGTCTAAACCCTGGCCCTGAATAACATGTTTACAATATTGACTAACCTCTGCTGTCTAAACCCTGGCCCTGAATAACATGTTTACAATATTGACTAATCTCTGCTGTCTAAACCCTGGCCCTGAATAACATGTATGTAATATTGACTAACCTCTGCTGTCTAAACCCTGGCCCTGAATAACATGTATGTAATAGTGACTAACCTGTGCTGTCTAAAACATGGCCCTGAATAACATGTATGTAATATTGACTTACCTCTGCTGTCTAAACCCTGGCCCTGAATAACATGTATGTAATAGTGACTAACCTCTGCTGTCTAAACCCTGGCCCTGAATAATGTGTATGTAATATTGACTTACCTCTGCTGTCTAAACCCTGGCCCTGAATAACATGTATGTAATATTGACTAACCTCTGCTGTCTAAACCCTGGCCCTGAATAACATGTTTGTAATATTGACTAACCTCTGCTGTCTAAAACATGGCCCTGAATAACATGTTTGTAATATTGACTTACCTCTGCTGTCTAAACCCTGGCCCTGAATAACATGTATGTAATATTGACTAACCTCTGCTGTCTAAACCCTGGCCCTGAATAACATGTATGTAATATTAACTAACCTCTGCTGTCTAAACCCTGGCCCTGAATAACATGTTTGTAATATTGACTAACCTCTGCTGTCTAAAACATGGCCCTGAATAACATGTATGTAATATTGACTTACCTCTGCTGTCTAAAACATGGCCCTGAATAACATGTTTGTAATATTGACTTACCTCTGCTGTCTAAACCCTGGCCCTGAATAACATGTATGTAATATTGACTAACCTCTGCTGTCTAAACCCTGGCCCTGAATAACATGTATGTAATATTGACTAACCTCTGCTGTCTAAACCCTGGCCCTGAATAACATGTTTGTAATATTGACTAACCTCTGCTGTCTAAAACATGGCCCTGAATAACATGTATGTAATATTGACTAACCTCTGCTGTCTAAAACATGGCCCTGAATAACATGTATGTAATATTGACTAACCTCTGCTGTCTAAAACATGGCCCTGAATAACATGTATGTAATATTGACTAACCTCTGCTGTCTAAACCCTGGCCCTGAATAACATGTATGTAATATTGACTAACCTCTGCTGTCTAAAACATGACCCTGAATAACATGTATGTAATATTGACCAACCTCTGCTGTCTAAACCCTGGCCCTGAATAACATGTATGTAATATTGACTAACCTCTGCTGTCTAAACCCTGGCCCTGAATAACATGTTTGTAATATTGACTAACCTCTGCTGTCTAAACCCTGGCCCTGAATAACATGTATGTAATATTAACTAACCTCTGCTGTCTAAACCCTGGCCCTGAATAACATGTTTGTAATATTGACTAACCTCTGCTGTCTAAACCCTGGCTCTGAATAATATGTATGTAATATTGACTAACCTCTGCTGTCTAAACCCTGGCCCTGAATAACATGTTTGTAATATTGACTAACCTCTGCCGTCTAAACCCTGGCCCTGAATAACATGTATGTAATATTGACTAACCTCTGCTGTCTAAAACATGGCCCTGAATAACATGTATGTAATATTGACTAACCTCTGCTGTCTAAAACATGGCCCTGAATAACATGTATGTAATATTGACTAACCTCTGCTGTCTAAACCCTGGCCCTGAATAACATGTATGTAATATTGACTAACCTCTGCTGTCTAAACCCTGGCCCTGAATAACATGTATGTAATATTGACTAACCTCTGCTGTCTAAACCCTGGCCCTGAATAACATGTATGTAATATTGACTAACCTCTGCTGTCTAAAACATGGCCCTGAATAACATGTATGTAATATTGACTAACCTCTGCTGTCTAAACCCTGGCCCTGAATAACATGTATGTAATATTGACTAACCTCTGCTGTCTAAAACATGACCCTGAATGACATGTTTGTAATATTGACCAACCTCTGCTGTCTAAACCCTGGCCCTGAATAACATGTATGTAATATTGACTAACCTCTGCTGTCTAAACCCTGGCCCTGAATAACATGTATGTAATATTGACTAACCTCTGCTGTCTAAACCCTGGCCCTGAATAACATGTATGTAATATTAACTAACCTCTGCTGTCTAAACCCTGGCCCTGAATAACATGTTTGTAATATTGACTAACCTCTGCTGTCTAAACCCTGGCCCTGAATAACATGTATGTAATATTGACTAACCTCTGCTGTCTAAAACATGGCCCTGAATAACATGTATGTAATATTGACCAACCTCTGCTGTCTAAAACATGACCCTGAATGACATGTTTGTAATATTGACTAACCTCTGCTGTCTAAACCCTGGCCCTGAATAACATGTATGTAATAGTGACTAACCTCTGCTGTGCTGTATAAAACATGGCCCTGAATAACATGTGACCAACCTCTGCTGTAAAAATATGAATGACTAACCTCTGCTGTCTAAAACATGACCCTGAATGACATGTTTGTAATATTGACTAACCTCTGCTGTCTAAACCCTGGCCCTGAATAACATGTATGTAATAGTGACTAACCTCTGCTGTCTAAACCCTGGCTCTGAATAACATGTTTGTAATATTGACTAACCTCTGCTGTCTAAACCCTGGCCCTGAATAACATGTTTGTAATATTGACTAACCTCTGCTGTCTAAACCCTGGCCCTGAATAACATGTATGTAATATTGACTAACCTCTGCTGTCTAAACCCTGGCCCTGAATAACATGTATGTAATATTGACTAACCTCTGCTGTCTAAACCCTGGCCCTGAATAACATGTTTGTAATATTGACTAACCTCTGCTGTCTAAAGCACGGTCCTGAATAACATGTTTGTAATATTGACTAACCTCTGCTGTCTAAACCCTGGCCCTGAATAACATGTTTGTAATATTGACTAACCTCTGCTGTCTAAAGCACGGTCCTGAATAACATGTTTGTAATATTGACTAACCTCTGCTGTCTAAACCCTGGCCCTGAATAACATGTTTGTAATATTGACTAACCTCTGCTGTCTAAAGCACGGCCCTGAATAACATGTTTGTAATATTGACTAACCTCTGCTGTCTAAAACATGGCCCTGAATAACATGTTTGTAATATTGACTAACCTCTGCTGTCTAAACCCTGGCCCTGAATAACATGTATGTAATATTGACTAACCTCTGCTGTCTAAAGCACGGTCCTGAATAACATGTATGTAATATTGACTAACCTCTGCTGTCTAAAGCACGGTCCTGAATAACATGTATGTAATAGTGACTAACCTCTGCTGTCTAAAACATGGCCCTGAATAACATGTATGTAATATTGACTAACCTCTGCTGTCTAAAACATGGCCCTGAATAACATGTTTGTAATATTGACTAACCTCTGCTGTCTAAAACATGGCCCTGAATAACATGTATGTAATATTGACTAACCTCTGCTGTCTAAACCCTGGCCCTGAATAACATGTATGTAATATTGACTAATCTCTGCTGTCTAAAACATGGCCCTGAATAACATGTATGTAATATTGACTAACCTCTGCTGTCTAAACCCTGGCCCTGAATAACATGTTTGTAATATTGACCAACCTCTGCTGTCTAAACCCTGGCCCTGAATAACATGTTTGTAATATTGACTAACCTCTGCTGTCTAAACCCTGGCCCTGAATAACATGTATGTAATATTGACTAACCTCTGCTGTCTAAACCCTGGCCTGAATAACATGTATATAATATTGACTAACCTCTGCTGTCTAAACCCTGGCCCTGAATAACATGTATGTAATATTGACCAACCTCTGCTGTCTAAAGCACGGCCCTGAATAACATGTATGTAATATTGACTAACCTCTGCTGTCTAAACCCTGGCCCTGAATAACATGTATGTAATATTGACTAACCTCTGCTGTCTAAACCCTGGCCTGAATAACATGTATATAATATTGACTAACCTCTGCTGTCTAAACCCTGGCCCTGAATAACATGTATGTAATATTGACTAATCTCTGCTGTCTAAACCCTGGCCTGAATAACATGTATATAATATTGACTAATCTCTGTTGTCTAAACCCTGGCCCTGAATAACATGTATGTAATATTGACCAACCTCTGCTGTCTAAAGCACGGTCCTGAATAACATGTATGTAATAGTGACTAACCTCTGCTGTCTAAAACATGGCCCTGAATAACATGTATGTAATATTGACTAACCTCTGCTGTCTAAAACATGGCCCTGAATAACATGTATGTAATATTGACCAACCTCTGCTGTCTAAAACATGACCCTGAATGACATGTTTGTAATATTGACTAACCTCTGCTGTCTAAACCCTGGCCCTGAATAACATGTATGTAATAGTGACTAACCTCTGCTGTCTAAACCCTGGCTCTGAATAACATGTTTGTAATATTGACTAACCTCTGCTGTCTAAACCCTGGGCCTGAATAACATGTATGTAATATTGACCAACCTCTGCTGTCTAAAACATGACCCTGAATAACATGTTTGTAATATTGACTAACCTCTGCTGTCTAAACCCTGGCCCTGAATAATGTCTATGTAATATTGACTAACCTCTGCTGTCTAAACCCTGGCCCTGAATAACATGTATGTAATAGTGACTAACCTCTGCTGTCTAAACCCTGGCCCTGAATAACATGTTTGTAATATTGACCAACCTCTGCTGTCTAAACCCTGGCCCTGAATAACATGTATGTAATAGTGACTAACCTCTGCTGTCTAAAGCCTGGCCCTGAATAATGTCTATGTAATATTGACTAACCTCTGCTGTCTAAACCCTGGCTCTGAATAACATGTTTGTAATATTGACTAACCTCTGCTGTCTAAACCCTGGCCCTGAATAACATGTATGTAATAGTGACTAACCTCTGCTGTCTAAACCCTGGCCCTGAATAACATGTTTGTAATATTGACTAACCTCTGCTGTCTAAACCCTGGGCCTGAATAACATGTATGTAATATTGACTTACCTCTGCTGTCTAAAGCACGGCCCTGAATAACATGTTTGTAATAGTGACTAACCTCTGCTGTCTAAACCCTGGCCCTGAATAACATGTATGTAATATTGACTAACCTCTGCTGTCTAAACCCTGGCCCTGAATAACATGTTTGTAATATTGACTAATCTCTGCTGTCTAAACCCTGGCCCTGAATAATATGTTTGTAATATTGACTAATCTCTGCTGTCTAAACCCTGGCCCTGAATAACATGTTTGTAATATTGACTAACCTCTGCTGTCTAAACCCTGGCCCTGAATAATATGTTTGTAATATTGACTAATCTCTGCTGTCTAAACCCTGGCCCTGAATAACATGTTTGTAATATTGACTAACCTCTGCTGTCTAAAGCACGGTCCTGAATAACATGTATGTAATATTGACTTACCTCTGCTGTCTAAAGCACGGCCCTGAGTAACATGTATGTAATATTGATAAAAACCTTCAAATTTTGAGCCTGATGACCTCTAAGACAATTACCACACAAGAATTTCACGGAAGTGGATGTGTCGCATGCCCAGCAAGGTGTCAGGAGATGAGTTTTATGGAACAATAGCCATAGATATTTATTGTATTCCATTTATATAATTTGTCCATTTGTTTGAGATGTGAAGAGTGAACTTGCAGATTAGATGTTTAGTGTAGAAGGGAACTGAATCCTGAGGATGGATTTGCCTTATTAATACAACATAATGTTTTTATTTCAATTCTGATTTTTTAAAGATAGTTTAAGATATGAAAATGTGTATTTACACTCATTTCCATGTACAGTCTATATGTATCAATATTTGTAATGTTAAGATGAGTATTTGCTATACATGTTAAAATAGATGTAAAACCAAGGAAATAAATGTCATTTGTAGTACATCATCTTATCTTACAGTTTCTGTGATAGAGAGTAAAGAGTTTGGAAATAACATATGATCTACTTAAATTGATAAAATTAATAATGACCTTGGCTTTTGACCTTTGTACTTGAAAAGCAATTTCAAGCAACTACCTTTGGTAAGATTATTGTATAAAAAAAATTTACCTGTCTATAGTGAAAGTGGCCTGACCTTTGACCTTCAAACCTGAAAAGTAATCCATGCAAACCTCTTTGGTAAGGAAGCACTGCATGAACTTTGAGTGTAAAGGTCCAATTAAAACCATATGAAAACCAAACTCCTGTATATAGTAATACTGTCCTTGATCTTTGACCTTCAAACTTCAAAAGCAATCCCATGCAAGCCCCTTTGGTAAGGAAGCACGGTATGAAGTTTGAGGTTGATCGGCTGACTGAAACTGAAGTTATTGTGAAAAAAATAATTTTTGATTTATAGTGCCATTTACCTTGACCTCTGACCTTTAGACATGAAAAGCAATCCCAAGCAAACACTTTTAGTAAGAGTATTTTTGTTCATTGCATTGATACTTCGGTTCCAGTCCCTATACAGAGCCATACTGTCATAACACAGGAAAGCTATATATTTTCAGGTCTATTAAAGACAGCTCCTTGAGCTTGAACCTATAAGAGTAATAGATTCTATTTCTCATCCTTAATTTTGTCAAAACTTAACAAAATCTTTTAGTTTCATTTCCAAATTATTTCAGTCGAGAAGATTACCACTCTTTATGGTTATACATCAGACAGACAATTACATGGCAACAGACATTGTGAAAAGTACCATACAAACCAGACAGGAAAATCTAGCACTGGGTACCATGCAGTGCAGACTTCCCTGTCTCGTGTGTGAGAATCATATGTGTATTAAGACAGATTTATAAAACTGTTCAATGATCCACATCATCTTTATCCTTCTTGTGTTGTGGTATGAGGAGCTGAGACGATCTATTTTATGAAATTATGATAAAAAACATCATATTATTTCAGTAAGAATAATAGAATTGGAGGTCAAATAATGGAGCACAATATACAATATTGTCAAAGACATCAACACTGAAACATAAATGTAAAACATTTCTACTGAACAAATGACCAAGATCCTAGAACACATGATTCCTTTAGACCAGAATTCTGTAGGCTTTTGTCTCAAGTTTGGAAGCTCAACTATGTTGGAATTAAGTTGTTATCTTCCTGTTGGAATGGAAATGTCAGGATATCTATGTATGTAATTTGTCAAATACAACATAGTTACACACACCATATTACTGGCACTTCAGAGTCTCAGCTGGCATATTCGAAGGGAGATAACTGTGACAATAAAGTTTACCATGGCATTTTCTGCTCTACAGACAAATGATATGACAAAGTAATGTTTTTGTTCACTCACCAAAGAAGTGATCAGAGAACCAACTGAGAAACATTTCATAAAGACTTTCACACAATTTTAATCATACCGTAATTGGAATTCATAACCATTCAAAAACATTTGTAATACATATATGTAAATCAAAATTTTATTTTCATTTTTGCATTGATCCATATACCTTTTAGTAGTAACTAGCAGCATTTGTCACTTCTCTCTCAACTCTTATGATCTGCTGCCAAATACGTCATCAGATGGTCCAATGTCTTTGATGCTAATTGATGATGTCATCAACAATTTATGGTGATGTCATAGGCATGTTTTAATGATGTCATCAACAATTTATGGTGATGTCATAGGCCTATTATAATGATGTCATCAACAATTTATGGTGATGTTATCAGCACGATGATGTTCTATAATGTCATCAATACCAGGGGATGATATATACACAAATAAGAGCCACTAGCTTGTAAATGTCATCCTGAAGCCAGGTGCACTGCCAACACCATCAGTTGTAAACTTCACTAGCATAACATTTCCACTGGCAACAAGAGTGGCAGGTGTTTCCTGAAACAAACAAAAGATTCATATAAAACACTGATGGGGAATGAAAATCAGTAAGTTAGTATGACAATTTGATATCAATTTTATTTGAAAGAATTTACGTTCCAAAATCCAAAAATCTGGCCATTGGTGGAAATATATAACTTCAAACATTATTACATTGAAACTGAGTATATTATTCAAGAAAGTTACAAAACAATGCATACATCCCCTGAAAGATTTATACCATAAACTCTATACAGAAAAAATGAGTAAATCTAGGGCTACATACATTGCCACAATATCGTCCAAAGATTGGCTGCTGTTCTGAGTTTCCATTGTACACAGCAACAGAATCTCTGTTACAGTCAGGACTGCCAATGAGATTCAGATCGGTGAAGGTCGCTCTGACGACACGTCTGCCTGGTACAGTGATAAGCCAACGACAGCTGTGACGCTCTGTGTAGTTACCAGGGTAACCCGGACTGGTTAAACTGCCGTTGATTCCTGTGATGTTACCACCACAGCCCATACCTGTCAAAGGAACGATTTCCTTGAACTTTATACAAGTTATAGTCTGGATTAAAACTAAAAAGTTTACAGGTTTGTTTACTGTTTATAGTGAAAAACCTTGCAGTAGCTGGTGGCTACCTCACTGAACAACATAGGGGAGGCCTATTGTATGTCATCCAGAGCTATAAAGTTAAAGTGTACAGCCCAAGCTAGGACACAACCACAGCAACACAAGCCAGTCTGTCTGTCAGCTTCCTGAGAAACACAAAGTCCTATTGGAAGCCAGAGGCTGCATCAAACCATGTCACACCTCAAGAAATACTTTAACAAATAAGCAAGAAATATATAAATCATATATACTTTTTGGAAACCAATTTTCTCTCCTATAATAGACTCTAGACCTTCTGCATCAAAACACAATGTATAGTTAGATTTACAACTCTACAATAAAACTCTGCCCTTATTTGGTAAAATCACATGGTTTGTGGTAAAGATTTTGTTTATGACCATTCTTTGAAGATGTGTCAAAATCTACAAATTTCAAGGCCAAAAACGTTTTATCCAATCAAATAGAGTCAAAATTCCTTAAGAATGAATAAGTGATAAAAGTGATAAAAACTGGTGGTAAACTACACATGATAAAGGTTTTTCAGTCACTTAATTAAGGAAGATATGTTACATTTACCTGTAGTGGATGCTGTGTAGGTGATATCAAATCCTGGATGAGTTAAAGATCCATCTGTTCGGAATCCAAGCCACAATGAATTTCCGCTGCCAAATATGGGGTCTGGGATAGCATAGCCACAGAGCGTAGCTACAGTAGGGGCTGTAGCTGTGGATCCATTCCTGACCTACATAAATAGCAAGTAATCCTGATGACCCCAGTATATGTGCTTCTGACCCTGATGACCCCAGTATATGTGTTTCTGACCCTGATGACCCCAGTATATGTGTTTCTGACCCTGATGACCCAGTATATGTGTTTCTGACTCTGATGACCCCGGTATATGTGTTTCTGACCCTGATGACCCCAGTATATGTGTTTCTCACCCTGAATACCCCAGGCAGATGTGTTCATAACCCTGATGACCCAAGTATCTCTATTCCTGACCTTGATGAGCTCATTATATGCCTTTCTGACCATGATGACCTAGTATCCATGTTTCTGACCCTGATGACCCCAATATATGTGAGTCTGACCTTGATGACCCCAGCCAGATGTGTTCATAACCCTGATGACCCAAGTATCTCTATTCCTGACCTTGATGAGCTCATTATATGCCTTTCTGACCCTGATGACCAAGTTGCCATGCTTCTGACCCAAATGACCTATGTATTCATGCTTCTGACCCTGATGACCTATGTATCCATGCTTCTGACCCTGATAACCCCAGTGGATCTATCTGACTTTGTGTCTACATACCCAGTTATTTCTGTAATTGCTCTAGCCATCAGACAATGACCTCTAACATTTAAGTAGGTCAAGGTGATGTTATGTCTTAGTATCTACTGGCCAATTATCTGGACACCAGGTTCATGTATTAGTTTTCTTAAAGAAGTTTCTCTAAGAAATAACTTTACAGCAGTAGGACACAAATTTTCACCAAACTGTAAACTCACACCATTATAGAAGTAAAGCATCATTCATTTTAAAAAAAAATTAACTAATAACATTTAACTTCAAACTGTAAAATTCAGCTAACGAGAAAGTTGAATATTGTTGTCCAATTTACCAATTATAGAGATTTTTTCTTTCTTTTACCTGAAGGTAGTCGAAACGACAACTTCTGTGTGACTCGATGCTGAAGATGTTGAAGTAGAGTGTGATCCAGGTGTTTGGGGGCCCGTTGATGAGAATCTCACAATAGATGTTACTGGGGTAGTTACCTGGCCAGCCTGGACTGTGTATCTGACCACTATAGTCACTGTATGTCCTGTTACATGCTGTGTAGGTCAAAGGTCAAGTTTGTTAGAAAATTGTAGCAAATTTTGACATGAACTAACTAGATAATGTTATGTAACTAGAACACTGACAGGTCAGCAAGGCCCCTATCAACCATCCACCCACCCACCCTTAGACATATACACCCCAGATTACTGCCAAGACCTTCAGTACAATCTGCCACATAAGGTAAGAAAGACTATTACGTAAAAAAACCCATACTAACAAATACATTCAACAATGTTTTTTTTTTATTGATAATAACAGTGACCTTGACCTTAGAACTTGAGATGTAAAAAGCAATATCCCAAACAAGCACTTTTGTTTAATCCTTACGAAGTTGGATTTAGAATTGGCAAAGCAAACTCAACTTATCACACAGAAACTGGGTTTAACTTATAGTTACAGTTTTAACCTTTGCACCTGAAAGGCAATCTAACTCAAACAAGCACTTTTGGTTAAGAAGCATTGTCTCAAGTTTGAGTTAGATTGGCCAAAGCAAACTTGAGTTACTGCATGGAAACTAATTTTCTATTTATAGTAACAGTGACATTGATCTTGACCTTTGAAGATGAAAAGCAATGCCATGCTAGCACTTTTGATAAGGAAGCACTGTATGAAGTTTGCACTTGATCGGCCCAAGGAAACTCAATTTATCACATGGACTGCAGAAGCAGGGTGATTTCAATAGCACGCCATGTGATGATGGTCAGCTAAAAACTAGAAAATGGCTTTAATAAATGAAAGCCATCACTGATGTCAGGATATACTGTGGTGATGAATATTAACCAACTCTGTGGTCAGGTTCTCAATAAATTGACAATGATTTGGAATGAGATGAATATAAAAGGAGGACATAGAAAATGGTATATTCAATATAAGTCTGACCCTAAAGGGTCCTCTCCTATCAAAAAAGGTCTAAAATGTAAAGTAGTTGTTATGTTTGCTTGAAAAGGTTCAGGACTCCTGTTGAGGTTAAATTGAAACATTACAAGGGAGACAACTCTTACACAAATCCTCATAGCCATTATTACCGGTATTATTAGGAGTTTGGTAATATGTGGGTTAATATGACTTACCACTGTGTTGACAAACAGATTTGTTGATTTTTGAAATAGAGCCTTTTAGGTACAAAACAAACTCATGGATCTTCAGAATTTAGACAGAAACAATGCTGACCCATCCTATGAAATGTTCGGATTGCAGTGAACAAAATATGATAAATGTATGCCATATTCCCTACAGTCCTTAACTGTGCACCTACTTACTGGCAGTTTGGTATGTAAGAGAGAAGCCATGTCCTGCACTGGTCCCTGAAGCCTTGTAATTAATCTGGGCTGTTTGTCCGATGGACTCAAACATACTTGGCAGAGTTGATCCACAGTAATGCATGGAACGACCGCCATAACGCTGGTGTAATAGTAAAAAAGATGTATGATATATGTAACAGCGGTCATAATTTACTTCAAATCCTCTACTAGGATTCAAACCCGTTGTAGTGTGTAAAGTGAACCGCGGTTCATTTCACCATTATGGTGAAATGAACTGACCCACCCCCCCTCCTCCCATGGTAAAGTGAAGCCACTTTATATTTTGTTTTCATTTGCTGTTTCACTGAACTTTTTATCCGTTTACTTAATTATGTTCCTCAATACATAATAAAACAAACCGACATACTAGTCTGACGTTTAACTGATTGGGTTAATCAAAAAGTTCTCTCTAGCGGAGCCGTATATTGCGTTAGTATTACCAACATTACATAAATGAAGGACAACCTGTAAACCAATTTTCTTTAATTTTGTTACTACAGCAAAACAAATTTCTCATATCAAAATAGCAATAGCTGTACTGGAACGTTCCAGATACCAAAATAGCAATATCTATCATTGAATCTTTCAGATACCAAAATAGCAATATCTATCATTGAATCTTTCAGATACCAAAATAGCAATATCTATCATTGAATCTTTCAGATACCAAAATAGCAATATCTATCATTGAATCTTTCAGATACCAAAATAGCAATATCTATCATTGAATCTTTCAGATACCAAAATAGCAATATCTATCATTGAATCTTTCAGATACCAAAATAGCAATATCTATCATTGAATCTTTCAGATATGAAAATAGTAATATTGATCATAATTGATTTCAAATCAATTTGTTTTCACTCAGCACCACATGCGGTATAAATAAGATCAGACGAGTTACTTTAACATTTTATCTATACATATATATTATCTAGACATTCTTCCAACAAGAACTAAACTACATACCAGTGGGGAGTCCCTAAACTCCACAAACTCATTGCTACAGTTTGCATGGCTGTCAAGGTTCATTGTTGTCATGGTGAAACGAACGCGCTGATTGGAGTTAGGAGCGTCTACAATCCAGCGACATTGAACAGGCTGTGATGGAGGGAATTGTGCCCCGCTAGGAGACGTGATTGTCTGTGGATTGTTTGTAGAAATCACAGCTCCCCCACATACAGCTAGAAGGTGAGACAGTTTAATTAAACAATTTTTTGCTGTTTGCCAGAGATAATAAAGATACCCAACTTCACTCAATACTAAAATGTTTTCATGTTTTCTTTGTCGACTTGCGAAGATGTTGAAAGCCATAACATAATATTCCTTACAATTATATTTCGTGTCTGACATTAGGACCTGTTGCTTATTTCATGTCCTTCTTTACACTTGTACTTGTGAAATCAATACTAATTGTAGACCTGGTCTTTCAGAACCATCACAGTTACAGTAAAAAGTATTATAAGTGAACCCTTCAAATATTAATCTATACAACATTCAACGATTATGTCCTCATTGTGTCAAATATCCTGAAAGAGTTTGGTAAAAACCTAAAATCTGCTGACAAATCCCCAAAATACTGTAAAATCACATTTTATGTCAAAATTTGTGTTTTTATTCTTATCAATAGTTTGAATTTTGTTGATAATTGTAGCTCTTTAAATCCATATATACTAATTCTTACAGTTAGTGGACATATCAGTTCTTTGATGAAGTGTACCTACAAATTGGTGTAAACAGAGATCCCAGAGGGATTTTGGCACCCGCCATTGTTTGATCTTGATTTGTTCATTAAATGTTGGATTGTTTCCCTTCCCTTTTTTATTTATTCTTAATTATATGAAATTTATAAAGTATTCTTTGGATATATCAATAAAAATGTTTAACTGCAAAGATGGTCGCTTGTCAGCCATTTTTGTTTTTCTGATCATTCCTTAAATCAAATGGGCACAACTAGGGACAAAGGGGAACCTAAAAATAAGACTTGAGAAAAGATAGGTTTCAGTAATTCTCAAGAAATAGCAAAATCAAAAACTATTTACAGATGACAGCCAACCATCAGATGACATATTCTAATAAATTCCGGACAAACATGAATGAATCCACAGTAGAAGTTTGTCTGAGGATTTAATTGGGAGTATACTCACATGTCTCCTGTGTGTACGTAGCATTAAAACCCATATCAGTGATTGACCCGTCTGTGTAAAACCGAACTGTGAGAACGTTTGAGGTAGAACGTACTACTCCAGGGGCATTCGTTCCGCAGTAAGTACCTATCAGAGGATCTGTGGTATCCATTCCGTCAAATATCTGCAAACATAAGTAAACAATTTATATATTTATACTTATTTCTGTAAACCAAAAATTAATTTATAGAATTTCATCCCCCACCTGGTGCTTAGAGAAATTATTTAAAAGAAGACCTATGCTGCGCCATGTTTATATGGCTGTTTGGCCCAGGTGAACCAAATTGACCAATGAGTCATCCAGACAAGATACAATAAGCTTTCAAAAATGAAAAATACCCCATCTAAAGAGTTCCTATCAAATTTAAGGCATCAATATGAAATTGATATTGTGATACAAAATGAGATATTTCAATACTTGTAAGTGAGCCAACCCACCCAATTAATATATTAAACAATCTAAAATATCAAGATTTAGGAGATAATATGAGGTAAATAAAGGGCCATAACTCTGCATATAGCAGGGTATGAAGGGTCATAACTCTGAGGTATGAGATATACAAGGGGCAACAAAGGGCCGTAACTCTATAGAGTGGGACACAAAGGGCCGTAACTCTATAGAGTGGAATACAAAAGGCCGTAAATCTATAAAGTGGAATACAAAGGGCCATAACTCTATAGAGTGGAATACAAAGGGCCGTAACTCTATAGAGCGGGATACAAAGGGCTGTAACTCTATAGAGTGGGATACAAAGGGGAATAATTATATGGAGTGGAATAGAAAGGGTCATAACTTAAAGAGATTGATACGAGGGGCCATTAATTGAACAGTAGGAGACAATTTGTGTCCATCTTACCTTGATTCCATCAAAGTAACAACTAGATTGCCTCTCTATATGGACAGACGCAATGGTCAGTACTACCAACTGATTGTTCCCAACGATGATTGTCCAAACACAATCCTGGCCATTCTCATACAGACCATCACCATCAATGTCAGTACTTCTAAAGGATCCAGATGTTGAGTTTAGGACACCTCCACATCCCTGGGCTACACCTGTGGACAAACACACATGAAGCTTTCAACCATATCCCTCTTTTAGCTATTGAAAATTGAGTGATCAAAGATTACATGGCTCCGACCTCCACCCTGAAAAACCTTAGAATATGTCACAATACAGGCTTAGATCTAACCAATGTAACATTCTAACAGCATCATCAAGAATATTTGGTATGGTGCCAAAACAATTGTATATATGTATCCAAAATGCTGCAAGCTCGACTTTATCCTGCAGAAGTCCAAGATCCAATGATTTTTCAATTTGGTTTAAAAAATATATGCACAAGGGCAGACATACTGAACTTTAATCTTATGATCTTACTTAACGAACTTTGACCTTATGATATTAACTATATTTCATTTATTATAGAAATAACATTTACAGAAATATCTTACCATATTGTAGAAACAAGAGGCCTTTAGAGCCTGTATCACTCAACTGGATCTTGAAGCCCAGCAATGGTATACTTACCTGTAGATTGGGTATTTCAAATATTTCCAACTTAAAGCACATGTACTTAGCCTTTTTGATCGGGCAAGACCAATGGGTGAATTCTTACATAATTACTGTCTTTTTCTTTTGAAGCACAGTTAAAGTTTATATGGTCATCAGGTCGGTATCTCAATTATGTCAAAAATATGACCCAGAAATAATGTTCCTAGAGATGTGCTACACCCAAGGGTCAAGTCGTACATAACAAATGTGTTTATCTCTTGATGCCAAGCAAATCTATATATAGCTATGAGGAGAGAATTTCAACCGTTTCAAAGATATAATACAGAAATTAAGTCCAGAGGGGGCAGGGCCACACCAAAGGGCCAGTGCTTACATCATGAATGCATTTATCTCTTGATGCCCAGCCTTGGTTGTGGGGATCTCAACTGTTTCAACAAGGGCCACCAGAGACTAATAGAATCTTCCCCTACCCTGAGGGTGTGATAGAGACATCTCCAACCCGAGGGGTGATTTTTGTTGTTGTCTAACCCGAGGCTCTGCCGAGGGTTAGACTACAAAAAAATCACCTCGAGGGTTGGAGATTTCTCTGTCACATCCTCTGAGGGTAGGGGTTAATTATTTTTCTCCCACCCCATTATTTCCGCCACGACGTAAAAAAAAAATCCCACGGTACAAGTGCCTGAATGGCGCATGAATATCACCATTCACGTTTCCAAAATTCTACATTCTTCCGCGAGAGCAAAATGACACAATATGAATAACCAATAGAAATATTTATATTTTGGAAATTAAATATTTTAATTAGCGATAGATACATGGAAATATTTGTATTGAACAACATTTAACTTCGTATCATTTATTAAGGTAGCGTAGGCTTGCTGCGATGTCATGGACAAAAAGGGGATTTCCCAGTTTATAATGACGTCAATTGTTTATGCGCGCGAAAAATTGCAATGGCGTGAGTGTCACGCGTGTGTTCATTCAGAACCACTCGTCGGTTTGAGTAAGTTGTGATAGCCGACTGAGGTCACCGAGTGCAGTCATGTGGGATAGATTTATCCTCCATGGGTGTTCCACATGGGACATGTCTATCCTACATGGGCAGAGGTGGGAGAAAAATTATGCTCCCCAAATGGAACAAAATGAAAAATAACAAGGGGCAATAACTCCTAAATTATGCCAAAGAGAGTGATGGTTCTGGTGCACTTCACTTCTCCTTGTTGAGATCTATCTAATGTGTGGCTATGAAGTTTTATGTTGATACCTCTTATAGGTTTTGTGTGTCTGTATGACAGATGGACGGAAGGACAGACAAAGCGGTTAATAGGTATATATTCTCAGTTGCGAAACCTAAAAATATAACCAAGAAACTAAGTTCTGAAGAGTGGAGCCAAACCCAAGGGCCTGCTCTTACATCATGTTTATCTCCTGATGCCAGTATTTGCTAAATGAGGTAATTGGGTGGAGATCTCAATTGTATCAAGGATATAATAAGGAATCTAAGCTCATGGGGCCGGGGCCGGGGCCGGGGCTGGGGCCAGACTCCAGAACTGATTCTTACATCTCCATTGTATTTATTTCTTTATGCCCAGTAATGCTATACATGGTTATCAGGAGGGGATCTAAACTGTTTCAAAGATATGAAATTTTTCCCCTATTAAGCCCCTCCGCTCCTGCCCTATGAGGCCAATATCAATCATTTATACAAAATTGATTCCCTTCACAAACGTTTACAAAACATCTTCTCATATCATAGAACTGAAGTTTACAAAACATCTTCTCATATCATAGAACTGAAGTTTACAAAATACCTTACCATATCATAGAACTGAAGTTTACAAAATACCTTACCATATCATAGAACTGAAGTTTACAAAACATCTTCTCATATCATAGAACTGAAGTTTACAAAACATCTTCTCATATCATAGAACTGAAGTTTACAAAATACCTTACCATATCATAGAACTGAAGTTTACAAAACATCTTCTCATATCATAGAACTGAAGTTTACAAAATACCTTACCATATCATAGAACTGAAGTTTACAAAATACCTTACCATATCATAGAACTGAAGTTTACAAAATACCTTCTCATATCATAGAACTGAAGTTTACAAAATACCTTACCATATCATAGAACTGAAGTTTACAAACATCTTCTCATATCATAGAACTGAAGTTTACAAAACAAATCATAGAACTGAAGTTTACAAAATACCTTACCATATCATAGAACTGAAGTTTACAAAATACCTTACCATATCATAGAACTGAAGTTTACAAAATACCTTACCATATCATAGAACTGAAGTTTACAAAATACCTTACCATATCATAGAACTGAAGTTTACAAAATACCTTACCATATCATAGAACTGAAGTTTACAAAACATCTTCTCATATCATAGAACTGAAGTTTACAAAATACCTTACCATATCATAGAACTGAAGTTTACAAAATACCTTACCATATCATAGAACTGAAGTTTACAAAATACCTTACCATATCATAGAACTGAAGTTTACGAAACATCTTCTCATATCATAGAACTGAAGTTTACAAAATACCTTACCATATCATAGAACTGAAGTTTATAAAACATCTTCTCATATCATAGAACTGAAGTTTACAAAATACCTTACCATATCATAGAACTGAAGTTTACAAAACATCTTCTCATATCATAGAACTGAAGTTTACAAAACATCTTCTCATATCATAGAACTGAAGTTTACAAAACATCTTCTCATATCATAGAACTGAAGTTTACAAAATATCTTCTCATATCATAGAACTGAAGTTTACAAAACATCTTCTCATATCATAGAACTGAAGTTTACAAAATACCTTACCATATCATAGAACTGAAGTTTACAAAATACCTTACCATATCATAGAACTGAAGTTTACAAAATACCTTACCATATCATAGAACTGAAGTTTACAAAACATCTTCTCATATCATAGAACTGAAGTTTACAAAATACCTTACCATATCATAGAACTGAAATTTACAAAACATCTTCTCATATCATAGAACTGAAGTTTACAAAACATCTTCTCATATCATAGAACTGAAGTTTACAAAACATCTTCTCATATCATAGAACTGAAGTTTACAAAATACCTTACCATATCATAGAACTGAAGTTTACAAAACATCTTCTCATATCATAGAACTGAAGTTTACAAAACATCTTCTCATATCATAGAACTGAAGTTTACAAAATACCTTACCATATCATAGAACTGAAGTTTACAAAACATCTTCTCATATCATAGAACTGAAGTTTACAAAATACCTTCTCATATCATAGAACTGAAGTTTACAAAACATCTTCTCATATCATAGAACTGAAGTTTACAAAACATCTTCTCATATCATAGAACTGAAGTTTACAAAACATCTTCTCATATCATAGAACTGAAGTTTACAAAACATCTTCTCATATCATAGAAATGAAGTTTACAAAATACCTTACCATATCATAGAACTGAAGTTTACAAAACATCTTCTCATATCATAGAACTGAAGTTTACAAAACATCTTCTCATATCATAGAACTGAAGTTTACAAAACATCTTCTCATATCATAGAACTGAAGTTTACAAAATACCTTACCATATCATAGAACTGAAGTTTACAAAACATCTTCTCATATCATAGAACTGAAGTTTACAAAATACCTTACCATATCATAGAACTGAAGTTTACAAAATACCTTACCATATCATAGAACTGAAGTTTACAAAACATCTTCTCATATCCTTCTCATATCATAGAACTGAAGTTTACAAAATACCTTACCATATCATAGAACTGAAGTTTACAAAACATCTTCTCATATCATAGAACTGAAGTTTACAAAACATCTTCTCATATCATAGAACTGAAGTTTACAAAATACCTTCTCATATCATAGAACTGAAGTTTACAAAATACCTTCTCATATCATAGAACTGAAGTTTACAAAACATCTTCTCATATCATAGAACTGAAGTTTACAAAACATCTTCTCATATCATAGAACTGAAGTTTACAAAATACCTTCTCATATCATAGAACTGAAGTTTACAAAACATCTTCTCATATCATAGAACTGAAGTTTACAAAATACCTTACCATATCATAGAACTGAAGTTTACAAAATACCTTACCATATCATAGAACTGAAGTTTACAAAACATCTTCTCATATCATAGAACTGAAGTTTACAAAACATCTTCTCATATCATAGAACTGAAGTTTACAAAACATCTTCTCATATCATAGAACTGAAGTTTACAAAACATCTTCTCATATCATAGAACTGAAGTTTACAAAACATCTTCTCATATCATAGAACTGAAGTTTACAAAACATCTTCTCATATCATAGAACTGAAGTTTACAAAACATCTTCTCATATCATAGAACTGAAGTTTACAAAATACCTTACCATATCATAGAACTGAAGTTTACAAAACATCTTCTCATATCATAGAACTGAAGTTTACAAAATACCTTACCATATCATAGAACTGAAGTTTACAAAACATCTTCTCATATCATAGAACTGAAGTTTAAAAAATACCTTCTCATATCATAGAACTGAAGTTTACAAAATACCTTACCATATCATAGAACTGAAGTTTACAAAATACCTTACCATATCATAGAACTGAAGTTTACAAAATACCTTACCATATCATAGAACTGAAGTTTACAAAATACCTTACCATATCATAGAACTGAAGTTTACAAAATACCTTACCATATCATAGAACTGAAGTTTACAAAATCTTACCATATCATAGAACTGAAGTTTACAAAATACCTTACCATATCATAGAACTGAAGTTTACATATCATAGAATACCTTACCATATCATAGAACTGAAGTTTACAAAATACCTTATCATATCATAGAACTGAAGTTTACAAAACATCTTCTCATATCATAGAACTGAAGTTTACAAAATACCTTACCATATCATAGAACTGAAGTTTACAAAATACCTTACCATATCATAGAACTGAAGTTTACAAAATACCTTACCATATCATAGAACTGAAGTTTACAAAACATCTTCTCATATCATAGAACTGAAGTTTACAAAATACCTTACCATATCATAGAACTGAAGTTTATAAAACATCTTCTCAATCATAGAACTGAAGTTTACAAAATACCTTACCATATCATAGAACTGAAGTTTACAAAACATCTTCTCATATCATAGAACTGAAGTTTACAAAATACCTTACCATATCATAGAACTGAAGTTTACAAAACATCTTCTCATATCATAGAACTGAAGTTTACAAAATACCTTACCATATCATAGAACTGAAGTTTACAAAACATCTTCTCATATCATAGAACTGAAGTTTACAAAACATCTTCTCATATCATAGAACTGAAGTTTACAAAACATCTTCTCATATCATAGAACTGAAGTTTACAAAACACCTTACCATATCATAGAACTGAAGTTTACAAAACATCTTCTCATATCATAGAACTGAAGTTTACAAAACATCTTCTCATATCATAGAACTGAAGTTTACAAAATACCTTACCATATCATAGAACTGAAGTTTACAAAACATCTTCTCATATCATAGAACTGAAGTTTACAAAATACCTTGCCATATCATAGAACTGAAGTTTACAAAATACCTTGCCATATCGTAGAACTGAAGTTTACAAACTATCTTATATGTTAGAAAGTCTACAGGACATCTAACAATATCCTAGAGGACAAGAGAAATACTCACCAAAACCTGAGCTGTAAAATGCAGTAAATCCTTTACCAGCCATTGAGTAGTCACTGATAAAGTTAACCAACAGAGTATTTGATTGGGCCCTGATCATGTCTGGAACAACATTTCCACAGTAACGACCAATCAGAGGAGAGGACAAGTCTGCTCCGTCACGGACATCCACATAGTCATATGCACATGAAGGATGGGCCTCCAAGTCAAACATCGTAAACCTGCAAATAAAGTAGAAGTGCACAGTGTGGTTTCTTTCAAGCTCAAGTAGTAAAAAGTGAGCATCAAGAAAGTCTGCAAGCATGATTGCAGAGTTTACTTAAGTGAATATACACTATGAACCAGGTATTTATATAGGAAAATAGGTTGTCTGTCAATTGGATTAAACTCTTTTCCATGGAATGTTTTCGCTACATACAGGTGTGTAAATGAAAACATAAAATGTAATTTTTCCATGTAGATTTCACATGGAAACTTTTTCTTGTACATGGTTTTACATCCCTTTTGTGATTTTGCAAGCACTCAGTGTGCTTATCAGGTCATGTATGATAACGATAACAAATTATGACTATTAAAAAATCAAGATGGCCACCTGTTGGCCATATTGTTTTCAGGTCAGTCTCAAAATAGGACAATACACAACTAGGGACCCAGAGGAACCCATGCATATGTGAGGGTGATGCATCCGGTAATTCTCAACACACAGCTATAACAAACTATTTGTGTGAAATCTAAGATGGTCACATGTTGGCTATTTTTCAGATCAGTTTGGAAAATGGAAAAATGCACAACTATAGACAAAGTGAATCCTACAGTTGGAATTTTGGAATAATCCAGAACTTCTCAAGCAATAACAAGAATTGTTCAATGACGGACTGGCCACAGACGAAGGGCACACCATCACCACAGCTAGCCCATCTCCTGGTGATGGTGGGCAAAACATTTCAGCTCGTCATGGGTTTAAACTGACACCTTGAACAGCTGTTTGAAGCTAGGTAATGTTTAAAGGAAGATAAGTCCCAGACTGTAAGGGTTGTTAGGTAGTTAAAGCACTGAAGGTAATTCTGAATTTCTAAATATGATATAAAGGATATTATTTGTGATTCTCAGAAGAATTTAACACACAACATCGATGGACTATATAATGGTTTTTGGTACAAATATCATATCTTAGTCCTTTTAGTTCATGAGAAGAGGTTCTCTCCCCCCCCCATCCTGTTGGGTCAGGTGAGCTAATAAAATTGATAACATTGATTAAAAAGGTTGACTTAGTAGCATTTAGAAATGTGACATCAAGAAAGCCAATATATAATATTACTCCCCTGTATCTTTAGAGAGTTACATCACATTTTAATCAATAGCAATGTTTGTCTAAGATGACCTAAAAACCTCATATACAATCCTACTTCAAATAGACCACGCGATCAGTTGCCACGGTGATGAGCCAGGAGCAGTTAGCATTGTGATGGTACTCTGATGGTTCCTGAGGCGTGCTGATAAATCCATAGGAATTAGTGAAATTTCCACCACATTCTGTAAAACACACCAATCACAAACTTCAATCTCTCGGAGTTTACAGAATTTATATAAAAAAATACTGCAAAATTATTTGTTTTTGTGGGGTATTTTTTTTGTCGACTTCACGGATACACTTAATTCACCAATGCATATGTCCACAAACTGTGGAAATTCACTGATTTATTGTGCTATACTATCCTACAGAGAGATGAGTTTCATCAAAATATATGACTGTACAGTACCTGTATATCCTTCAGAACTACAAAGGTAGTTTTTTTTTATGATTTGAAACTTTTGTGCTATTACAGATATTTTGAAACAAAAATGTGTTTCTCATTAAAGTGACTAGTTACAACACTGACTTATTTTCTACTTTCTTTATTACCATAAAATGTTTTCTTTCAGCATTTTATTCCATTATCGTAAACAGTTAAAAGTACAATCTTTTGAAATAACAACATGTAACACAATATATATATATAAAAAAGAGAAAACTTTGGAAAATTCCTTTCTTATAAGTTTGCCCATAGCACTATGATTTAGAGATCAATAATTTTGAAAATGGAAAAGATATCAAGTATTACTTTTGAAAGATTTTTGTCAAAGAATGATTCAGTCTAAAGGAGAAGAGGTTCCTTGATTTTTAGTAAAAAGAAGGACTTACCTGAGGTTTGGTAATTCAAGACAAATCCACGACTTACAACAGTCGCATCTGTTCGGAACCTTAAAAACATGGAGCCTAAAGAACTAAAGGCCTGTGGGATTGTGCTCCCACAGAACCTGCCCCGACGCCTGCCTGATGAACTGTTGCCTGAAAATGCCTCCAAGTAGTCATAAGGACAGGAGTAGCCACCTGGTTGTAACGAATGTAAAAAAGTGTGATTACATTACAGTCAAAATCAATCATAAGAAGAGTTGGATGCAGGTTAGACTCAAGGATATCACCAAACTGGAATAAATTACATCATTATACCAGGGCATGAAGTTTCAAACAATAGGATACTCATTTTTTATGAAAGGTTACCTTCTAGATCAAATGTACTGAAGATGGCCACAATGAAGCGTTGTGGGTCGGTATTGATGGTGTAGTTACACAGTAGGTTGTTGTCATAGTTGCCTGGATAGCCAGGGGAGACAATTCTACCATTCGGCTCAGTAAACACTGACCCACAACCTGAAAAAGGAAAATTTAGAACGACACTGCTATTTAACTCAATCCTAGAAAATCTTATTTATCATTGAGATAATGTCACAGAGAGGCACAGTGCCATATATAGCCCTTCTTACCTATCTTAAATATAGATTATGAACAAAATTAATACATACAATCAAAAAATCATCTGAAAGACAGCAAAGTTATTAGAATTGAGTTCCATTCTCCCAAATATGCTTCAGACAAAACATAGAGAATATTCTGGCACAGGAGTCAAACTCCTGGCTTGTTCCCAAATCGGTACAGAATCAAGGCATTTCTACAATTCCCCTTCTCCCATGGATACTTCTGACAAAATCAGCTTAGTCCTGGCAATTTTAAGGAAAAAGTTGATGAACAATGTATGCTGCGATATGTCCATGGGCCCTTCCGGCCAGGTAAGTTAAATACTTTTGATGTATTTTACAGTGATAGAATATGAATGTAACCGATTTGCCTAGTTCTGTTAAATTCTATATGGTGCAACAAGCAGATGAACTTAACCTACCTACAGTCCAGTTAGCAGAAAACCCATTTCCATTTGTGTTAATATTAGAACGGAACTTCACAACTAGTCGATCTGTTGTAGAGCTCTGTGGAGGCGGAGTCAAATTACTGCACCATCGCCCTAAAGGTGCCAAAGTTCCATTCCAGAGGCCATCATTTACCTAAAGACAAAACCCCAATGAGTGAGTGATTTGTTTTTGTGTTTTCCTTCTGAGGAGGAGGTCTGATTGTTTAATGACAGGAATATTTACTGGGAAGGCGACTAAAGAGAGCCAAGTTAGAAAGAGGCTGGAGTGTCTACTGAGGAGGTTAGAGTGTCTACTGAGAAAGAGGCTGGAGTGTCTACTGAGAAGGTTAGAGTGTCTACTGAGAAAGAGGCTGGAGTGTCTACTGAGGAGGTTAGAGTGTCTACTGAGAAAGAGGCTGGAGTGTCTACTGGGAAGGAGACTCTTGAGAGCCAAGTTAGAAAGAGGCTGGAGTGTCTATTGAAGAGGTTAGAGTGTCTACTGAGAAAGAGGCTGGAGTGTCTACTGAGGAGGTTAGAGTGTCTACTGAGAAAGAGGCTGGAGTGTCTACTGAGGAGGTTAGAGTGTCTACTGAGAAAGAGGCTGGAGTGTCTACTGGGGAGGAGACTCTTGAGAGCCAAGTTAGAAAGAGGCTGGAGTGTCTACTGAGGAGGTTAGAGTGTCTACTGAGAAAGAGGCTGGAGTGTCTACTGAGAAAGAGGCTGGAGTGTCTACTGAGAAAGAGGCTGGGGTGTCTACTATGAAAGAGGTTGGAATATTTAATGAGGAGGCTAGAGTGTCTACTGAGAATGAGGTTGGAATATTTACTGAGGAGGCTGGAGTGTCTACTACGAATGAGGTTGACATATTTACTGAGGAGGCTGGAGTGTCCACTGAGAATAAGGTTGGAATATTTACTGAGAAGGCTGGGGTGTCTACTAGGAATAAGGTTGGGATATTTGTTGAGGAGGCTGGAGTGTCTACTAAGAATGAGGTTGGAATATTTACTGGGGAGGCTGGAGTGTCTACTGAGAATGAGGTTGGAATATTTACTGAGGAGGCTGGAGTGTCCACTACAAATGAGGTTGGAATATTTACTGAGGAGGCTGGAGTGTCTACTAAGAATGAGGTTGGAATATTTACTAAGGAGGCTGGAGTGTCCACTACAAATGAGGTTGGAATATTTACTGAGGAGGCTGGAGTGGATACTAAGAATGAGGTTGGAATATTTACTGAGCAGGCTGGAGTGGATACTAAGAATGAGGTTGGAATATTTACTTAGGGGGCTGGAGTGTATACTACGAATGAGGTTGGAATATTTACTCAGGATGCTGGAGTGTCTACTGAGAATAAGGTTGGAATATTTACTGTGGAGGCTGGAGTGTCTACTACGAATGAGGTTGGAATATTTACTAAGGATGCTGGATTGTCTACTATGAATGAGGTTGGAAAATTTACTAAGGATGCTGAAGTGTCTACTATGAATGAGGTTGGAATACTTACCAAGGATGCTTGAGTTTCTACTAAGAATGAGGTTGGAATATTTACTGAGGAGGCTGGGGTGTCGTCTACGAATGAGGTTGGAATATTTACTAAGGATGCTGGAGTGTCTACTACGAATGAGGTTGGAATATTTACTGGGGAGGCTGGAGTGTCTACTGAGAATGAGGCTGGAATAGTTACTGAGGAGGCTGGAGTGTCTACTGAGAATGAGGTTGGATTAGTTACTGAGGAGGCTGGGGTGTCTGCTAAGAATGAGGTTGGAATATTTACTGAGGAGGCTGGAGTGTCTACTGAGAATGAGGTTGGAATAGTTACTGAGGAGGCTGGAGTGTCTACTGAGAATTAGGTTGGAATAGTTACTGAGGAGGCTGGGGTGTCTACTAAGAATGAGGTTGGAATATTTACTGAGGAGGCTGGAGTGTCTACTAAGAATGAGGTTGGAATATTTACTGAGGAGGCTGGAGTGTCTACTGAAAATGAGGTTGGAATATTTACTGAGGAGGCTGGAGTGTCTACTGAAAATGAGGTTGGAATATTTACTGAGGAGGCTGGAGTGTCTACTACGAATGAGGTTGGAATATTTACTGAGGAGGCTGGAGTGTCTACTACGAATGAGGTTGGAATATTTACTGAGGAGGCTGGAGTGTCTACTACGAATGAGGTTGGAATATTTACTGAGGAGGCTGGGTATACATAAATGATAAACTTTCAGAAGAGACACATACATGTAGTATATCTTGAAACTAGTGAATTGTGAATTGTTATTAATTGAGTGAAATTTAGACAGACTTCCTGTAGAAGTAGCATTTAAGATAAAAACTGACAAAGAACTAGAACAGTACAAACTATGTAAATATTGAAGAAAATCAATCAAGTTATCATTTTCAATATTTCAAAAACACTGCTGCTTTTGATTATTTATCGGTTTGTTTTTTTTCTATATCTTTAAAGTTTTCTTTTCTTTTTTCAGATGTCTTCTTTTGCTTCAATCAATGAGGGACATCAGAAATTCATTATTTGGCTCATATGTTTAGTGGTATACAACATATTATACCTCAACATAATCCCAGGTGCAGGAGGCATGGCTTTCAAGGTCAAATGGTGGATTGAAGGTCAAGGACACATGGTAACCAGGAGACACATTGATGTCCCATACACATTCTGTTCTGTGAGGGTAACTCTGTGGGTAGTTCGGACTCATAATCTGGCCATCGTTACTGTGGTACAACCCACCACAACCTTCAGTAAAATACAAGGTCAGTCATCAGAATACCAGAATAAAAGGTCACAGGGTGACAAAGTCATAAGGTCATATGGTATGAGGTCATAAGTTCACATCCTTACAAAGTCATAAGGTGATATTGTGACAAAGTTATAAGGTCACATTGTAAAAATGTCACAAGGTCAGATTTTGTCATGGTCATCAATTCACAATATGAAACATGCAATGTATAATGCCATAAAATTTGGACAATAAAAAATCATCTTTCCAAGCCAAAAAGGTAGACTCAGAAATATATTGACCCCATGGCTTGAGATAAACTTCAGTCAATTTACTGTTTATGAATATAATGATATGACAGTACCTCCAGATTGAAAGAAGTACGTTAAACGGAAGCCTTGATTGCTGATAGAAATGTCCGTCTTGAAGTACACACGAATGGCGTTGTACTGGGATGTGAATGAAGGTGGCATTGTTGTACCGCAGAATTTGCCAACAGAAGGAGAGTCTCCATATGGACCATTCAATATCTCCAAATAATCAAATACACAACTGGAATGATTTTCTATGTCGAAGTTGGTGAATTGTACCTGCATAACATTATAATAATAATGAAAATTAGAAGTAATGCTGATAAAACATGATAGAAACTCAATTCACTTTTGAATTAACCTGGGGTTAATGTTTGTAATTATCTATTTACTGTAAACAACATCCAGGCTCAAAGAAGTTTCCCTCCAAAAAATTTACAACAAGTGCCCCAATCCAACATCATTCCTTACCAATATTATGAACAACAATTTTCATTTTTTTGCACTTGACAACTGCTTGTTTAAATCTACCTGGTACATAACTTTGTTAGCCATATTAATACCCACTATTGTCAATCAGTTACAAAGCAGTTTCGAGGTTTGATTTGAAAATCAAATTGTGGTATATCATATAATCTTACATATACCATGGGTTAATTGAAAATTTGGTGCATAATACAAATTGTGAAAAAAATGGAATTTTAGCCTGTTTTGAATACCGGCGAAATTTTGGACAGCCCTTTCAGTCAGAATCAAATGAGTGATAGGAAAAAGATACAACCTACATGAAGATTACATGAATAAAATGTGATAATGTTGAGATTGGATTGATACTTCTTATTCATGATGGCATGATTTGAAAATATGTTCAGCAAAATATACTGATAGGCTCTGTTTTGGAGAAAACTTTCCCCATTTTGGGGGAAATGTTATCCATGTATTGTTTATAATAAGAGAAGAAACATCACACTTGGAGAATACTTTCCATTTCCAACAATAAATTTCCTAAGCTACCAGGTAAAATTCCTGAGTACCTACCCATAAATCGTTAATTGATAGATCAAAGGATATAAATTTTAAAAGATTTTTGCCCAAAAGATTAGGATATAGTGATCAGGAGATAAGAACTGGAAAAGAGATCATGGACACACATTATGTGTACAGTATTTCCCTCTTCTTAAAAGAGGAGATATATGGAATAATAACAATATATACAAAAAAAAATGGACATTAAAATATCTTTTAAGTCCTTGCAGCAAACTTTGTCAACTGAGATAAGTATGTAAAACAATCCTGAATTTAGATGTCAAGTTTGTGAAAATATTCTTGAATTTAGGTTACTTTGTGACAAGAGTGTCGGTAAAACTGATGAATACTCCCTGAACACTCTACCTGACACAAAATTTTAACAAAGGGAGACAATTCTGTTATTAATGAGTTACAGGCCCTGAATTTGGTATAATGCACATTCTGTTAGTACGACCAATGTATATACCAAGTTTCTTTATCCTAGTTTTAGTGCAAGCATCACTATGCTAATGACAAAAAAAATTAACACAGGGCAATTACTAAGGAATGATGGGCCTTGAGAATGCTACACTGCACCTTGCTTTTGTATGACTGATATAGAAATGACGTTTCAGTATCCTGGTATAAACGCAGGGAAGGTAATGCCCTGGACACAAAATTTTAACATATTGCAATAACTATAATTGAGGGGTTGCAGACCCTAACATCTGGACACAAGTTTCATTATCCTAGCTTAAATGTAAGCAAAGTGATGTTGCAGACAAGATATCTTTAACAAATGTCAAATACTCTAATTAAGGGGGAACTGGGTCCTGAATTTGGTATACTACATATTGTCTTCCTATGATCATTGTAACAACCAAGTTTAATTATCCTTGTTTAAATGCAAGCAAAGTTATGCTCCGGACACAAAATTTTAACAAAGGGTAATAACTCTGTAATTTAGGGATCAAGGGCTCTGAATTTGGTAAACTTATCATCTTCGTATGTTTTAAGTATACACCAAGTTTCATGATCCTTACTTAACAATTAACTGTGGGCAAAGTTATGCTCCAGACAGGAAAGGACGAATGGACAAACATGGTGGCTACTATAAGCTTCCCAAATACATTTGGGGGAGCATAAAAAAGTGAGTTTGTAAGAACCATTTTGTAAGATATCTTGCAAGCTCATAATAAAATTATCATAAAAGAGAAAAGAGATTGTTTCCAAAGGGAATTTCCAATTTTTTGTGGATGATCTGTGAAATGCACCAGATTGTATGGTCTAATAAATAGTCCATTCACTTTATAGAGCTGCAGTATAACTGCTCCATTAGAAGAGCTTAGAATTCTTGGACATTGCAACTTCAGATCCATGTTTCTCAGAAAACTGTGACACATCAGTGTATCCTGTGCTGTAAAACATGGTTGTGGCCATGGATAAGACACATGGAACCCTTCCTCAAAATTGTTTTTCATATGGAGATTAATCCATCAAACGAACAGTTTTTACAAACGACTGCACTAGTGAACCATCTTGACAGTTCTCTGTCCATGTATTAACTTACATTGACACGGACACCTTCTGGAGCCTGTATGATCCAGGCACACGAGTCGCTGTGATTGTAGAGGTTTGGATAGTTTGGACTCGTAATCACACCGTTGTCCTGGGTCAAGATACCACCACAATCTGTAAAAGTCATTCTTAATATAAAACTTAGTACCCATACTCAGGTCAAACTTTCAAACAACAACTGGATTCCCATAATAAGGTCAAACTGTAAAACAACAACTGGATTCCCATACTCAGTTCAAACTGTAAAACAACAACTGGATTCCCATAATAAGGTCAAACTGTAAAACAACAACTGAATTTCCATAATAAGGTCAAACTGTAAAACAACAACTGGATTCCAATACTCAGGTAAAACTGTCAAACAACAACTGGATTCCCATAATAAGGTCATACTGTCAAACAACAACTGGATTCCCATACTCAGGTCAAACTGTAAAACAACAACTGGATTCCCATACTCAGTTCAAACTGTAAAACAACAACTGGATTCCCATACTCAGTTCAAACTGTAAAACAACAACTGGATTCCCATACTCAGTTCAAACTGTAAAACAACAACTGGATTCCCATACTCAGGTCAAACTGTAAAACAACAACTGGATTCCCATACTCAGGTCAAACTGTAAAACAACAACTGGATTTCCATAATAAGGTCAAACTGTCAAACAACAACTGGATTCCCATACTCAGTTCAAACTGTAAAACAACAACTGGATTTCCATAATAAGGTCAAACTGTCAAACAACAACTGGATTCCCATACTCAGGTCAAACTGTAAAACAACAACTGGATTTCCATAATAAGGTCAAACTGTCAAACAACAACTGGATTCCCATACTCAGTTCAAACTGTAAAACAACAACTGGATTCCCATAATAAGGTCAAACTGTCAAACAACAACTGGATTCCCATACTCAGGTCAAACTGTAAAACAACAACTGGATTCCCATACTCAGGTCAAACTGTAAAACAACAACTGGATTCCCATAATAAGGTCAAACTGTAACACAACAACTGGATTCCCATAATAAGGTCATACTGTCAAACAACAACTGGATTCCCATACTCAGGTCAAACTGTAAAACAACAACTGGATTCCCATACTCAGTTCAAACTGTAAAACAACAACTGGATTCCCATACTCAGTTCAAACTGTAAAACAACAACTGGATTCCCATAATAAGGTCAAACTGTAAAACAACAACTGGATTCCCATACTCAGGTCAAACTGTAAAACAACAACTGGATTTCCATAATAAGGTCAAACTGTCAAACAACAACTGGATTCCCATACTCAGTTCAAACTGTAAAACAACAACTGGATTCCCATAATAAGGTCAAACTGTCAAACAACAACTGGATTCCCATACTCAGGTCAAACTGTAAAACAACTGGATTCCCATACTCAGGTCAAACTGTAAAACAACAACTGGATTCCCATAATAAGGTCAAACTGTAAAACAACAACTGGATTCCCATACTCAGGTCAAACTGTAAAACAACAACTGGATTCCCATAATACGGTCAAACTGTAAAACAACAACTGGATTCCCATACTCAGTTCAAACTGTAAAACAACAACTGGATTCCCATAATAAGGTCAAACTGTAAAACAACAACTGAATTCCCATAATAAGGTCAAACTGTCAAACAACAACTGGATTCCCATAATAAGGTCAAACTGTCAAACAACAACTGGATTCCCATACTCAGTTCAAACTGTCAAACAACAACTGGATTCCCATACTCAGGTCAAACTGTAAAACAACAACTGGATTTCCATAATAAGGTCAAACTGTAAAACAACAACTGGATTCCCATACTCAGTTCAAACTGTCAAACAACAACTGGATTCCCATACTCAGTTCAAACTGTCAAACAACAACTGGATTCCCATACTCAGTTCAAACTGTGAAGCAATTAAACCTCAGTTAGCAGTTGTCTATTTATTAATACAAGATTTTTATGATTTTTCAAGGTAAGATAAAACATTCTCCTCCTGGCATTAGTAATTAGTCACATACATCTGTTTGTGTTCAGTAGACTCACTAACAAATGACATTGTTGACTTTGCAACAGATTATGTACATATTACACCCTGTACTGACTGGAGGTTAAGAGGGGTAACATAAACAAAAACTCATTATAAAGAACCCCACCCATATTCATAAAAGTCTCCAATATATTTCACTAAATCTTGCAGTCCCAAGTTTTGGTACCAATCTGGAGACTTGAAATAAAATGTATTATTATCACTTCAAGATTTAAGGATTTAATAGGATGTTTAAGCACAAACATGAATGGATTAAGCAGCAAACTCAATAAAACTAACAATCTTTAGTCGTGAAAAACTCAAATTCGACATCTATAATTTTCCAGTTTTAACCCCTGAAATATTTGCCAATCATGTATCTGACCTTGATAGTGACCTTGACCTGAGATGCACTACAGATATTTGCCATGAACCCTAAATAATCTGAGCTTAACACTACATAAGTTTACCTTGATGTTTATCCAAATAATAAAGAGAATGTTGGATTGACAGGCAGTGATCTTGACTACACCACTGATATTTGTCCTTAACATGAAAGAACATTACCTTGACTTTTAATGCAATATTGAGAATTAATATCGGATTGACACCAACAGCATGATGCATCAACAAATATTATTTTACATATTTCATTTTGATTCTAAGATGCTTTTGAGAAATGAAAATGCTGATGACAGACAGACAGACATTACTATAGGAACAAATCTAACAGGGTTAGTATATACATACTTTTCTTGGAATCCCAGAAACCTTCACAGAAATGTCTAGCAAAAGGATCTAGCAGTTGATGTTGAGAAAGGCTTTGTATCAGGTGAATACCATTGTCATATAAAACACAACTTTTTTACCTGTAAATCCATAGTTCAGGCTAAAACCATGATCAACGATACTTGTATCAGTCTTAAACCGGACCCACAGGTAAGGGGAAGGTGAGAATATCGGCCCAGGCATATAAGTTTTTCCACAATATTTCCCAATCAATGGACTTTCAGCTGAATTTCCTTCAAATTGAAAACAAATTCTTGATAAGACTTGTATGTTTATATCCTTAAAACAATGTTGTTATGGATACGAGGAAAGACATTGGCACTCATTTCACAAACTTTGTTGTATAAAATGATATCCTAACATCAGGTCAAATTTCAGATGAGCATTCTTAAACTGAAAAAGACTTCTTTTATATTGTAGACAGCACCAGACAACACCTTTTTTTTTATGATATTTAAGATATTCTGCAAATACATTCCAGAGTGATAGCAAGTGCTATGAGTGTATTGTTTTATCTATTTGTAAGAGATGCAATTTTATATAACTGTCGATGAGGACTGATAATAGTGCCTTTATGTTAAGTCAAATAAGCCTGGAGGTTCTTGATGTATGCTTCATATCATACAATCTTACCTTCCCGTACTTCCAGGAAATCATAAACACAGTTTTGATGTGATTCAAGCTGGATATTTTGAAAACTTAAAGCCATTGATGTGTCACTGATGTTGAGGTTGGCAATCACCCACACACACTGCAGGTTGTTTGTATAGTTTGAGCCAGTTTCATATCCAGGGGAGCTAATTGTACCAGGATTGTTTGTTAATAGTCCACCACAGACTATAAAATATAAACGTGTGAAAAATGTATCAACATAAAACTGAATTTCATGGTCCCCAGGTCTTACATTTCCATCTGCGTAAGAAGGTTTTATTTATAATTATAGAACAATTAATTGTCTGTTTATTAGGGCACATTCAGAATATCATAAAAAACATGGAACAATGATAGTATGACAAAATATAGAAATGTACACAATAGATATATACAGTCGAATGGAAGTCTGTATAGCAGGGCAAAAAGAAAGGAAGTCATCACAGCAGGGCAAACAGGAAGTCTGTATAGGAGGGCAAGCAGGAAGTCTGTATAGCAGGGCAACAAGAAGTCTGTATAGCAGGGCAAACAGGAAGTCTGTATAGCAGGGCAAGCAGGATTACTGTATAGCAGGGCAACAGGAAGTCTGTATAACAGGGCAAACAGGAAGTCTGTATAGCAGGGCAACAGGAAGTCTGTATGGCAGGGCAAACAGGAAGACTGTACAGCAGGGCAAACAGGAAGACTGTACAGCAGGGCAAACAGGAAGTCTGAACAGCAAAGCAAACAGGAAATCTGTATAGCAGGGCAAACAGGAAGTCTTTATAGCAAGGCAAACAGGAAGACTGTACAGCAGGGCAAACAGGAAGACTGTACAGCAGGGCAAACAGGAAGTCTGAACAGCAAAGCAAACAGGAAATCTGTATAGCAGGGCAAACAGGAAATCTGTATAGCAGGGCAAACAGGAAGTCTGTATGGCAGGGCAAACAGGAAGTCTGTATAGCATGGCAAACAGGAAATCTGTATAGCAGGGCAAACAGGAAGTCTTTATAGCAAGGCATACAGGAAGTCTGTACAGCAGGGCAAACAGGAAGTCTGAACAGCAAAGCAAACAGGAAATCTGTATAGCAGGACAAACAGGAAATCTGTATAGCAGGGCAAACAGGAAGTCTTTATAGCAAGGCAAACAGGAAGTCTGTACAGCAGGGCAAACAGGAAGTCTGAACAGCAAAGCAAACAGGAAATCTGTATAGCAGGGCAAACATAAAATCTGTATAGCAGGGCAAACAGGAAATCTGTATGGCAGGGCAAACAGGAAATCTGTATAGCAGGACAAACAGGAAATCTGTATAGCAGGGCAAACAGGAAGTCTTTATAGCAAGGCAAACAGGAAGTCTGTACAGCAGGGCAAACAGGAAGTCTGAACAGCAAAGCAAACAGGAAATCTGTATAGCAGGGCAAACATAAAATCTGTATAGCAGGGCAAACAGGAAATCTGTATGGCAGGGCAAACAGGAAGTCTTTATAGCAAGGCAAACAGGAAGTCTGTACAGCAGGGCAAACAGGAAGTCTGTATAGCAGGGCAAACATAAAATCTGTATAGCAGGGCAAACAGGAAATCTGTATGGCAGGGCAAACAGGAAATCTGTATAGCAGGACAAACAGGAAATCTGTATAGCAGGGCAAACAGGAAGTCTTTATAGCAAGGCAAACAGGAAGTCTGTACAGCAGGGCAAACAGGAAGTCTGAACAGCAAAGCAAACAGGAAATCTGTATAGCAGGGCAAACATAAAATCTGTATAGCAGGGCAAACAGGAAATCTGTATGGCAGGGCAAACAGGAAATCTGTATAGCAGGGCAAACAGGAAGTATGTATAGCAGAGCAAACAGGAAGTCTGTACAGCAGGGCAAACAGGATTTCTGCTTAGCAGGATGTTACCTTGCTCATTGTTTGATGTGTATGAGGCACGGAATCCTCCGTTACTGACGGAACCATCTGTACGGAAAACGACCTTCATAGTGTTTCCACTGGATTCCTGAAGCTGTGGTATCGTCTCGCCACACAAAGTCGTCATTCTTGGGGAGTCAGCCATGATTCCATTGTAAACCTGTTAGTGTATTAATGTAGAAGAACTGTAAACCAACATATTTCTGCAGTAATATTAGTTTAGGATTCATCATGTTAACTATCACTATCCTTACTGCAGTTCAATAGCAATTATTGTGGATGCACAAAATCATCAGTATGACAATTTGCTGAAAAAAGATAATGCTCTCAAATTTTATTGTACCAGACTAAGTATGTTTACTGTAACTGTTAATATTTATTGTACCAGACTAAGTATGTTTACTGTAACTGTTACTATTTATTGTACCAGACTAAGTATGTTTACTGTAACTGTTACTATTTATTGTACCAGACTAAGTATGTTTACTGTAACTGTTAATATTTATTGTACCAGACTAAGTATGTTTACTGTAACTGTTACTATTTATTGTACCAGACTAAGTATGTTTACTGTAACTGCTAATATTTATTGTACCAGACTAAGTATGTTTACTGTAACTGCTAATATTTATTGTACCAGACTAAGTATGTTTACTGTAACTGTTAATATTTATTGGTTCAAATTTGTACTTTCACTTTGATGTTTCCTTTGTTCCTGTAACTATTTTTACTGTTCATAGTTCCACTTCAGTTTTGAGTCCTAAAGATGTAATACTATTTCTGAACTAGAGCATGAATTCAACTCACCGCAACATAATCAAATCTACAAACTAAGTCACCTTCCAAGTTAAAGTTATCAAAGGTCAAGGACACTCGGCGACCTTGCTGAACAGTGATTAACCAGGTACACACTCGAGAATGAGGATACTGGCCTGGGAAGTTGGGTGATGTAAAGGACCCAGTCGGGGATGTCATTTCACCACCGCACACTGCAAACAAACATATACAATGTTATTATTGACATTCTCAATCAACCATGTCATCATTAGACAACAACCTCCTTTAAACGTCTTGATTTCAGTTACTGACAATGACCTAAATTTAGTAAATTTTTCTAGTTGAGTAAAACTTGACAGTTTTTCACAATTAAATGATGGAAATTTTAAGAAAAGAACTACATCTTTTGCACTCGCGAAAAATACAACCGAATTCAGCATGGAAGTGAAAGAAACTTTATTTAATTAGCAAGACTATGAGGGCAACATTACCTTCCACACTTGCTTGGAAGTTGATGAGAAAACCTGCAGCATTATAGGCAGAATTGGATCTGAATGTGACCAGTGCAAAGCTGTCGGACGTATCAATAGAGCTGGGTGGACTCTGACCACAGGACCGCAACAAGACAGGACCTGAACATACAAATACTTCATCTTCATTGTTATTCCTTTATAATATGCTCCTTGATCCTTTCTACTTTTATTTATGATAAAAGTTATCCTCTGTATTATTTATTTACTGTGAACAAAATATAAGTAATATCTGTCAGGATTAAGGTAAGGTGTTCAGCAAAATCCATTAAAATAAATCAGTGAAATAATTCAAGACATGTATGTATACACTTATATTACAATTAATAAAATGTTACTTGTTTAATCATCCCTTTAATTTACCTGTTGAACCACAACTGTATGTTACCTGTTGAACCACATCTGTATGTTACATGTTGTATCAGCCCTGTATGTTACCTGTTGAATCAGATCTATATGTTACCTGTTGAATTACACCTGTATGTTACCTGTTGAATCACACCTGTATGTTACCTGTTGTATCAGCCCTGTATGTTACCTGTTGAATCAGATCTATATGTTACCTGTTGAATCACACCTGTATGTTACCTGTTGAATCACACTTGTATGTTACCTGTTGTATCAGACCTTTATGTTAGATGTTGAATCACACCTGTATGTTACCTGTTGTATCAGCCCTGAATGTTACCTGTTGAACCACACCTGTATGTTACTGTTATTCCTGTATGTTATCTGTTGAATCCTTGTTACTTTTATTTATGATAAAAGTTACCTGTATTATTTATTTACTGTGAACAAAATATAAGTAATATACCTGTTGAATCACACCTGTATGTTCAGCAAAAACCATTAAAATAAATGTTGAAATAATCAAGACATGTATGTATACACTTATATTACCAATTAATAAAATGTTACCTGTTGAATCACACCTGTATGTTACCTGTTGTATCAGCCCTGAATGTTACCTGTTGAATCACACCTTTATGTTACCTGTTGAACCACACCTGTATGGTACCTGTTGAATCACACCTGTATGTTATCTGTTGAATCACACCTGTATGTTACCTGTTGAATCAGACCTGTAAGATACCTGTTGAATCACACCTGTATGTTACCTGTTGAATCAGATCTATATGTTACCTGTATAATGACACCTGTATGTTACCTGTTGAATCACACCTGTATGTTACCTGTTGAACCACACCTGTATGTTACCTGTTGAATCACACCTTTATGTTACCTGTTGAACCACACCTGTATGTTACCTGTTGAATCACACCTGTATGTTATCTGTTGAATCACACCTGTATGTTACCTGTTGAATCAGACCTGTAAGATACCTGTTGAATCACACCTGTATGTTACCTGTTGAATCACACTTGTATGTTACCTGTTGTATCAGACCTTTATGTTAGATGTTGAATCACACCAGTATGTTACCTGTTGAACCACACCTGTATGTTACCTGTTGAATCACACCTGTATGTTACCTGTTGAATCAGACCTGTATGTTACCTGTTGAATCACACCTGTATGTTACCTGTTGAATCAGATCTATATGTTACCTGTATAATGACACCCGTATGTTACCTGTTGGAACACACATGTATGTTATCTGTTGCAACACACCTGTATGTAACCTGTATAATGACACCTGTATTTTACCTGTTGGAACACGTTTGTGTTACCTGTTAAAACACATCTGTACATCACCTTTTGAATCAGATGTGTATGTTATCTGATGGAACATACCTGTATGTTACCTTTTGAACAAATCAGACATGTATGTTTCCTGTTGGAACATATCTGTGTGTTACCTGTTGGAACACATCTGTGTGCTACCCATAGAAATATACGACATACCTGTAGCATTGATGTCCCTGATTTCCAGAAAGTCAACATCATCTGTATCACAGTTGTAGGAGTACTCCAAGTTAAAATTTGTGATGGTGAAGGTGATGTAGTGACCAGTGGGTGCCTCAATATCCCAAACACAGTGACTATTACTGGGGTAGTTAGTGGGATAATTTGGTGAGGTGATGGAGCCACTCATTCCGTACACTCTTCCTCCACAATCACCTACAGATCAATAAGGAAGGTGTGATTTTATAGCCAAATAATTGATCCGCATGTAGTTCATTACTGTTACAGTTGCTATAATCCATTCATTCTGCGCTATTTAAGAGGATGGAATGACATGTAGAAGAAAGATACCTAAAAACTGATAAAACTAAGAAATATTCGTTATACAGTTTGTGTAACGTTTTGGTAAATCGTGAAAATTGTACCACTGAGAACTAGAACTGTCATTCTGAGGACTTATACCCCACAGCAAACAGTCTCTATATCAAGTGTTGTAGTGCAGCCCCAGTGACCTCAGCAATTCATATATTTTTGAATTTCATATGTACAATTCCTTTGTAATACCTTATCTCCTTATATAATATGAAAGCTATGGGCCATTATACAAAAATATATGTATGGTAACTTAGTTCTAATCTGATCAAGTTTTACTAAAATCGGTCAAAGGACTGATGAGCTATTACACAAATTAACCTAGATATAGTTACCTGGTTACCATGGAAACCAAAACAATGGGGAAAAAATACATGCATATCTACACATGGTCCCTGTATAACTTGAAACTGGCTCACTAATTGAGTGGCAGCTGTCCCAGTTTTTCTACAGAAGGACTGACAGGAGGACAGAAAAAAGAACAGACAGGAGGACAGAACAAAGGACAGACAGGAGGACAGACAGACAGAAGGACAGACAGGAGGACAGAGAGAAGGACAAACAAACAGGACAGACAAAAGGACAGACAAACAGGTACTAACTTTGTTGCTGGGGTATTAAAAAAACTTTCCTCAAAACATATCTCCGAGATTCATTTTCAATGAATACATTTCAGAGTTATTATCGTCAATGCCCTGTTTTATCAGTAAACAATCCACTCTACCTATTTTGTACATAGCCTTGAATCCAGACTGAGCGACACCGAGATGGGTACGGAATCGCACAAACATCACGTTGGCTGTCGACATCACTGTACTTGGCAAGGTGTTCCCACACAAATGGGCTAAGACTGGAGAGTTTATGGTACCACCATCCCGCACCTCTACATAATTATACTGGCACCTAGAGAAAACAAACAAGCATTTTCATTTTTAAAAATCTAGTTAGGATCTCCTTTCATGGAAAGTAATAAAAAAGTATACAAATTAAAACATGCTTGTGACATAGCTAAGGTTTCAGTGTGACATGGCTAAGGTTTCAGTGTGACATGGCTAAGGTTTCAGTGTGACATGGCTAAGGTTTCAGTGTGACATAGCTAAGGTTTCAGTGTGACATGGCTAAGGTTTCAGTGTAACATAGCTAAGGTTTCAGTGTGAAGTAGCTAAGGTTTCAGTGTGACATGGCTAAGGTTTCAGTGTGACATGGCTAAGGTTTCAGTGTGACATAGCTAAGGTTTCAGTGTGACATAGCTAAGGTTTCAGTGTGACATGGCTAAGGTTTCAGTGTGACATAGCTAAGGTTTCAGTGTGACATAGCTAAGGTTTCAGTGTGACATGGCTAAGGTTTCAGTGTGACATAGCTAAGGTTTCAGTGTGACATGGCTAAGGTTTCAGTGTGACATGGCTAAGGTTTCAGTGTGACATAGCTAAGGTTTCAGTGTGACATGGATAAGGTTTCAGTGTGATATGGCTAAGGTTTTTAGTGTGACATGGCTAAGGTTTCAGTGTGACATGGCTAAGGTTTCAGTGTGACATAGCTGATGTTTCAGTGTGAAGTAGCTAAGGTTTCAGTGTGACATAGCTAAGGTTTCAGTGTGACATAGCTAAGGTTTCAGTGTGACATAGCAAAGGTTTCAGTGTGACATAGCTAAGGTTTCAGTGTGATATAGCTAGGGTTTCAGTGTGACATAGCTAAGGTTTCAGTGTGATATAGCAAAGGTTTCAGTGTGACATAGCTAAGGTTTCAGTGTGACATAGCTAAGGTTTCAGTGTGACATAGCAAAGGTTTCAGTGTGATATAGCTAAGGTTTCAGTATGACATAGCTAAGGTTTCAGTGTGACATAGCTAAGGTTTCAGTGTGATATAGCTAAGGTTTCAGCTAAGGTTTCAGTGTGATATAGCTAAGGTTTCAGTATGACATAGCTAAGGTTTCAGTGTGATATAGCTAAGGTTTCAGTGTGACATAGCTAAGGTTTCAGTGTGATATGGCTAAGGTTTCAGCTAAGGTTTCAGTGTGACATGGCTAAGGTTTCAGTGTGACGTGGCGAAGGTTTCAGTGTGACGTGGCGAAGGTTTCAGTGTGACGTGGCTAAGGTTTCAGTGTAACGTGGCTAAGGTTTCAGTGTGACGACGTGGCTAAGGTTTCAGTGTGACATGGCTAAGGTTTCAGTGTGACGTGGCTAAGGTTTCAGTGTGACGTGGCTAAGGTTTCAGTTTCAGAAATGATGCTGATATCAAATAAAGAGGACTTTCATGTTGATAAAAAGTTTTGTTTGTCAACCGTTTTTTTCTTCCATCCTGAAAAAGTAAGAAAACTCAATGGACTGAGACAAAAATACATATGGAATATGAGACTTATCTTTCCAGTAATTCTCATGAATAGTGACTTTCAAAACACAAGACGGCTATTCACTAAACATTTTATATTTCTGTTGCCTTATAAATGGAAAAGCCAATACTGGACACAGTGCCAAACCCATAGATGAAATTTGGAAAAGCTCCATTCAAGAAGCCCCAAGAAATTAGGGGTAACGTAACATTATCAAAAACACAAACTACATACTGGTTATGGTCCTGAATATTAAAGCTGTCGATAAAGTCAATCTGTATGCTGCGAGACGCAGGAGCAGTGATGACCCAGACGCAGTCCACATTGTGAGGGTAGACAGCAGGGTAGTTAGGGGAAGTGAAGTAACCGCTAGTCACTCCGTCAGTCAAAAACAGTGTATCCCCACAGGTTACGCTGACCTCTGTGAACTCTAATTGGAACCCAGTTCCTACCATGCTTCTGTCGCTGACAAAGTTCACAGTGAGGTAGTTACTGGAAGTGTTCATGGCTTGAGGTAATTGAGAACCACAGTATCTTCCAGTTAAAGAGCTGCCAATTGGAGGAGAAGATAGGCTGGGTCCACCCAGTAACTAGAAAAATAGGTTTAGAATATTATTGAGACATGGTTAGCCAAGTACCTTGCACCATTATAGAGTAAAAAGATGATATATAGATAGTACCTTGATAATTCAGTGACCTCTTTTGTCTTATGGTCAATATGGGTTATAGGCCAGTCCTATCTAGAGTTAGGCCTGTTATATATTTAAGTGTAAGCTGCTACAGTATTTCAATATTTTACCTCTTTGACACTGTATAATAATCAAGAGATTTTTTTTAAATTTTTGGACGCTACCAACCTACAGGCTAATTGTATATATCAAGTTCTCTGATGTCCAAAAGGAGATATTAGATATTATTTGACCACTGTTGTTTTCAACAAAGGCAAATTTCATCTTTAGAAAACACTTTAGCACACCTTTGGTTAATCAGTACATACAGGTCACAATGAATATTGACCTTTTGGTTCCTTAGAAGAAGAATTTATCCTGTATACAAAAGGCGAGTCAACACTAAAGGGGAATTAATTTCTCAAATTTAATACAAGACAAAATGGTCGTAGAAGGTTGAAATAATGAGTTTAATGGGAAGTCATTCATCCCCAGGTAAATATGGCCGATTCTAAACCAACAGATTTAGGTAAAAGGATTTTCCAATAAAACATTAGGTGCATGTGATATACAGTACTAACTATAATTGTCTCACCTGAACACTGTCCCCTTGGCAAGCTTCTCCTGATCCCAACACATTGAATCCACCAATGAATTCTACTCTGATTGTACGTCCAACATCAACCCTCACATACCAACTACAGTTAACGTTATTTGGATATGAGTTCGGATAGAAAGGACTCCTAATTACACCAGTAGGCATACGTAATATTCCACCACAAACTGCCAATGAAAACAGCATCCTGTATCTAATTCATGTTAGTGTAATATTAGTGTACTGTTCCTCATTCTGAAGCTACTAACAGTCGATGTCATATTTCTACATGTATCTCGAAAAAGTTCACTGTGATTGGTCTTTCACAAACTATTTTATAATGCTAAAAATAACTTTTGTGTTCATCTCTGTCTTAATTTCTAACAATTCAAAAATGGCCACCTGGAAGCCTTTTTATTTCTTCTGATCAGTCCCAAAATCAAACGAGCACAAGGAGAGATTAAAAGGAATGTACATATGAAATTTGAGAGATATCCATTCAGTACTTCCTCAGAAATAGCAATAACATTCTTTACTAGGCAAAATCCAAGATGGCTGCCTGTCAGCCTTTTTGTTTTTCTGGTCAGTCCTAAACTCCAGCAGGCACAACTAGGGACCTCAAGGAATCGATACATGATATTTGAGAAAGATCTATTGAAGAGTTCTCAAAAAAATAGTGATAACAAACTTTTGAAGTCAAAATCCAAGATGGCTGCTTGTGAGCCATTCTGTTTTTTCTGATCAGTACTAAAATCAAACAGCCACAACAAGGGATCAAGGAAAGTATATACATGAAATTTCAGAAAGATGTTTGCTGTAGTTCTCAAGAAATAGCGATAACAAACTTTCAAAGTCAAAATTTAAGATGTCCGTCTGTCAGCCATGCTGTTTTCCTGATCAGTCCCAAAATCTAATAGGCACAACTAGGGATCAAGGGGAACCTACATGTGAAATTGAAGAATGATCCATACAGTCCTTCTCAAGAAATAGCGATAATAAACATTCAAAGTCAAAAATACAAGATGGCTGCCTGTCATCTTCTAAAGAAATAGCGACAGATGGACCACAGACAAAGAAAAATTTGAATATCCATCTGATGATGGTGGGCTGAAAAAAAAATTCACATCAAAATGTGAAAGAAAGTTAAATATATTATCTCCTAGCAAATTTTGCTACCTTGCTATGAATTTTAGCCAGGGATTATTGTTTAAGGCCAAATCTAAACTAAATGAGTAAAACAACAAGAATGGAAGATCACTACAATACAGATGATAGATTAATTAATGTATCATTCTGCTGCCTTTTGCTGATGTCCACTTCTGCTTTGTTATCCTGCACTTATCTGCCCTGTTATCACTTGATTTTGAATTTACCTGCCTGCAGGTTGACAGAGAAACCCGTTTTGTTGACAGAGTAATCCGTTTGAAAACGCAGAGTCATATGAGGGGTTGTGGACAGGATAGGCTGGTCATTAGGGACGCGTCCACAGAACCGCCCTAGGAGTGGGCCGTAGTTCCCATTTACTACTGCACCTGGAAGATTATAGAACCAACACAGATTTAACACATTTCAATGCAGAAAATAAAAAGCACTATTCTAATTGATTAAAACTAAAAAAAGTTTTAATTTTTGGAGAATAATGATATATTTATAAATCATCATTCTCCAAAAATTATAACTTATATATATATATATATGTACAGTATCATCTTCTAACCAGGTATTAAACACGTTCATATCATGTAATGCAAATTCTTAACACATTTTTCTCACTTGTGTGTGCGAACCCATGTCATCAGACTGTTAATTGTGAAATTGATCCAACAATGCATCAACTTGCTCTGCTAAAACTACTGAAAAGAGTGTGCCATATAATTCATTTATTTTATCAAATGGCAATGAGAACAACAATATTCAATCGTCTAATTTTGTAGATAACATGGGGAACAACAATATTTAATCGTCTAATTTTGTAGATAACACCGTGAACAACAATATTTAATCGTCTAATTTTGTAAATAACATCGTGAACAACAATATTTAATCGTCTAATTTGGTAAATAACACCGTGAACAACAATATTTAATCGTCTAATTTTGTAAATAACACCGTGAACAACAATATTTAATCGTCTAATTTGGTAAATAACACCGTGAACAACAATATTTAATCGTCTAATTTGGTAAATAACACCGTGAACAACAATATTTAATCGTCTAATTTGGTAAATAACATCGTGAACAACAATATTTAATCGTCTAATTTTGTAGATAACATCGTGAACAACAATATTTAATTGTCTAATTTTGTAGATAACATCGTGAACAACAATATTTAATCGTCTAATTTTGTAGATAACATCGTGAACAACAATATTTAATTGTCTAATTTTGTAGATAACACCGTGAACAACAATATTTAATCGTCTAATTTGGTAAATAACACCGTGAACAACAATATTTAATCGTCTAATTTTGTAGATAACACCGTGAACAACAATATTTAATCGTCTAATTTTGTAGATAACATCGTGAACAACAATATTTAATTGTCTAATTTGGTAAATAACACCGTGAACAACAATATTTAATCGTCTAATTTTGTAAATAACACTGTAAACAACAATTCTTAATTGTCTAATTTGGTAAATAACACCGTGAACAACAATATTTAATCGTCTAATTTTGTAGATAACATGGGGAACAACAATATTTAATCGTATAATTTTGTAGATAACATGGTGAATTACAATTCTTTATGGTTTAATTTTGTAAATAACACAGTGAACAACAATAATTAATCGTCTAATTTTGTAGATAACATGGGGAACAACAATATTTAACTGTCTAATTTTGTAGATAACATTGTGAACAACAATATTTAATTGTCTAATTTTGTAGATAACACCGTGAACAACAATATTTAATTGTCTAATTTTGTAAATAACACAGTGAACAACAATATTTAATTGTCTAATTTTGTAAATAACATGTGAACAACAATATTTAATCGTCTAATTTTGTAGATAACACAGTGAACAACAATATTTAATTGTCTAATTTTGTAGATAACATCGTGAACAACAATATTTAATCGTCTAATTTTGTAGATAACATCGTGAACAACAATATTTAATCGTCTAATTTTGTAGATAACACCGTGAACAACAATATTTAATCGTCTAATTTTGTAGATAACATGGTGAATTATGAAATGCCGTCCTTGAAAAGCAATCCAAATAAAAGCTTTCTTCAAGAAATGGAAATTAATTTTCTATCTTTCTTAAACAGTAACCTTTCAACCTCCAGTCATCTAAGGCAAGCAATAAAATACCGGAAGAAGGGTGAAGTTGGAGTAGAATTAGTCCATCAGAACTTATAAAAGTATTGTGCTGAAACCAATTTCTCTTTCTATAGTGAAAGTGCCCTGGACCTCCAGACCTAAAAATTAATCAGAATACTCACCATCATTGACAAAGAGGGAATCATATCCACAAGATGGATGATTCTCAAGATTAATATCAGTGACATTGAACCAGACAATGCTTCCTGGTGCAGCGTTCAGATTCCACACACAATCCAGATTATCAGCATAACCATTAGGATATCCAGGGGAGATAATTGTGGTTATCTGATATGGAAAGATATCATGGGTCCCTCCACAACCAGGAGCTGGTAAGAGAATCAAATTAATTAGCTAAAAGTACACTCATCTTCAACCTAGATCTGCTGAGGGATGGGCTCATTCTGTTAGACATTTCTCTCTTCTGTCAAAATCTACACATCTTTACAAACAGAATACAGTGTAAACAACCAGCTTTTCATTTACCTTTGTTGTGTATACTGTAGATTTTATAACAAACTTGACGCCATCATCATTTTGTATACAAATCATCAGAACTTTGAAAAACATAACATTGAGTGATATGTTTAAGTGAGCCTTCATAAAAAGTGAAGTGAGATTCTATTTTGTAACACTACAGTGTGTGTATAGAAGTGAGAATTTATTGCGTAACACTACAGTGTGTATATAGAAGTGAGATTCTATTGTGTAACACTGCAGTCTGTGTATAGAAGTGAAATTGTGTAACACTACAGTCTGTGTATAGAAGTGAGATTCTATTGTGTAATACTACAACCTGTGTATAGAATTGAGATTCTATTGTGTAACACTACAGTCTGTGTATAGAATTGAGATTCTATTGTGTAACACTACAGTCTGTGTATAGAATTGAGATTCTATTGTGTAACACTACAGTCTGTGTATAGAATTGAGATTCTATTGTGTAACACTACAGTCTGTGTATAGAAGTGAGATTCTATTGTGTAACACTACAGTCTGTGTATAGAAGTGAGATTGTGTAAAACACTACAGTCTGTGTATAGAATTGAGATTCTATTGTGTAACACTACAGTCTGTGTATAGAAGTGAGATTGTGTAAAACACTACAGTCTGTGTATAGAAGTGAGATTCTATTGTGTAACACTACAGTCTGTGTATAGAAGTGAGATTGTATAACACTACAGTCTGTGTATAGAAGTGAGATTCTATTGTGTAACACTACAGTCTGTGTATAGAAGTGAAATTGTGTAACACTACAGTCTGTGTATAGAATTGAGATTCTATTGTGTAACACTACAGTCTGTGTATAAAAGTGAATTTCTATTGTGTAACACTACAGCCCGTGTATAGAAGTGAAATTGTGTAACACTACAGTCTGTGTATAGAAGTGAGATTCTATTGTGTAACACTACAGCCCGTGTATAGAAGTGAAATTGTGTAACACTACAGTCTGTGTATAGAAGTGAGATTCTATTGTGTAACACTACAGTCTGTGTATAGAAGTGAGATTCTATTGTGTAACACTACAGCCTGTGTATAGAAGTGAGATTCTATTGTGTAACACTACAGTCTGTGTATAGAAGTGAGATTCTATTGTGTAACACTACAGTCTGTGTATAGAAGTGAGATTCTATTGTGTAACACTACAGCCCGTGTATAGAAGTGAAATTGTGTAACACTACAGTCTGTGTATAGAAGTGAGATTCTATTGTGTAACACTACAGCTTGTGTATAGAAGTGAGATTCTATTGTGTAACACTACAGCCTGTGTATAGAAGTGAGATTCTATTGTGTAACACTACAGCCTGTGTATAGAAGTGAGATTCTATTGTGTAACACTGCAATCTGTGTACAGAAGTGAGATTGTGTAACACTACAGTATGTGTATGTGTTATATACCTGCAAAGCATCTTTTTTATGAATTCTTCCTGAAACAACTTTATTTTTCTGTGAATTGAGAAGTAAAGGCATAATTCATTCAGTCTGATGCTTGATGTACATATCAGATATAAGCACCGACTGTTACTAGAAAGTGTGTTTATATCTAGATATTGTAAATTGTGTTGGAGATAACCAGGTATTCAATTTGTGTATCAATTTTTCAATAAAGGGCAATAACTCTGTAATTATTGGTTTGTCAGCTCTAATTATATAACATTGTACATCACTTTAACATGACACCTATATACATAAAGATTCAATATCCAAATTTAAATCTATGTGGAATCAAAGTTATGTTCCAGACAAAATTGTTTTAATAAAGGCCAGTAATACTTAAAGCGGATGGGGGAGAGATTCCTTACCCATAGGTTGCACCTAGGGAAAGTTATCTCTGTGGCGTTTTTTGATCCCAATCTTAGACTTGTTAAATAATTTTTCATAACATTGTTAACAGGAACATTTGGTATATGATGTACATTCATGAGAGTTTACATATTTACATTTACATATATATACATATATAAATGGCCAATTTCAATTCATATTGAGCCTTTGTTGTTTATTTACAAGTCTAACTAGCTTGCCATGGTAGCTGTTCATAGTGGAATCATTTATAAAGGCCAGTTATACTTTTATTAAGCAGTTGTGGTCCCTGATTTTGATACACTGCAAAAATTGCCCTAATATGACTGTGTTCATACCAAGTTTCATTATCCTAGTTCAAATGCAAGCCAAATTATGTGCCAGACACAACATTTTTACAAAGGGCAATAACTCTATAGACCAGAGGCGATGGGCCTTGAATCAAGTACACTGTTAATGCCTTGGTGTAACTGATGTATCCATGATCCTAGTTTATTTGTGCTCTGAGTACAGAACAGATTGATGGATGGAAAGACAAAGCGGCAACCATTATTATCCCTGAAAATGTTATCATTGTGACAACATACTTGGTGTGGTGGATACCCCTGGTGGCAGGGTCGTTGGTGCCATTTCATTTGTGGCCTGCCAGTCAAACAGAAAACCTTGACCTGAGGCTGAGAAGTCTGTATGAAACTCAACTCTTAGCTGATTAGTGGTAGTCAGTACTGGTTCAGGAATGGTCAAACCACAGTACCTCCCGATCTCAGGGCTGTCAGCTGATCCGCCATCTCGGAACTGGGGAACAGACATACATTTGTACAGTAAAATATTTGAATTGTTTTCTCATAATGACTGTTATTGTCCTATTCACTTTTTTTGTCTACTTTCTGCATTTTTGGCACCAAACTGATTCCTAATTAATAGTTATATTCTCTTTCCTGATCCCTTGATATGGCTAAAAATATGTATTCTGATGAGCCTTTCACAGTGCAAAAATAAAGCTGAAACATCCAACCAATTTTTTAAGCTGGTTCATGTTGTGGAAACTCCTATCTTACCTTTTGATAGGACACCCTACACACCATTTAGGTGTCCATGTTCCAGAGAGAAGATCACTGAAAGCTACACATGCAGTGATGTTGGCTCTCGTCTTGTTTTCAGTATCAACAATTGAAAAGCATGTAAGTATACCCATTAATCATGAGAAAACCAGTTAAACCAGACTTGGACAACGTTCCACTGAAATAATTTTTATGTGAACTAATGTCAATTTCTACAATGTATACAGAAACAGTAGCAAGAACATCTGTTCATTATCAACACTGATTATTGGTATTGAGACTCTACCAGGAGGTAGTCGTAAATGCAGCCTGTCTGTCGGAACTCCAAGTCCATTGCTGTGAAGGCAACACGAATGCGCATGTTGGTATCCACAGTGATGGTCCAGGTGTAGTCTGAATTGTGAGGGTACTGACTAGGGTACAAAGGAGAAGCCACTTGTCCTGAACTTCCCGTAATTTCACCTCCAAAAACTGTAAAATACAAAAGAGGGATATCACACCAAGGAAAAAAGAGAATTCAATGATAGCAAAATATTTTATTGTGCAGTACAGCTAATGAAGACACATTTAATTGGTTGAATACCATATAAAAATCTTGAATAAAATCCATATTCAGTGAAATTTAAACAAGAGATCAGGTGTTCACATAGATACACCTCCAAACAAAGTGATTAACACTGACTAACACTGTATCTTCTTTAATCAGGTGTAGATCTTGATGGGATGATTACAAACCAAATCCCTTTTGGGGTTTATGATATGTCTTGTACAAAATTTAATCGTGGACAGATGGATGGATGCACATATCGAAGCACTGACATTATCTATGTGGGAGGATGGTGGGGATGAGGGTGGTGATTGTGCAAATGTCACACCACTGTACACTGACATTATCTATGTGGGAGGATGGTGGGGATGGGGGTGGTGATTGTACAAACGTCACACTACTGAACACTGACATTATCTATGTGGGAGGATGGTGGGGATGGGGGTGGTGATTGTACAAATCACACTACTGAACACTGACATTATCTATGTGGGAGGATGGTGGGGATGGGGGTGGTGATTGTACAAATCACACTACTGAACACTGACATTATCTATGTGGGAGGATGGTGGGGATGGGGGTGGTGATCGTACAAATCACACTACTGTACACTGACATTATCTATGTGGGAGGATGGTGGGGATGGGGGTGGTGATTGTACAAACGTCACACTACTGAACACTGACATTATCTATGTGGAAGGATGGTGGGGATGGGGGTGGTGATTGTACAAACGTCACACTACTGAACACTGACATTATCTATGTGGGAGGATGGTGGGGATGGGGGTGGTGATTGTACAAATCACACTACTGAACACTGACATTATCTATGCGGGAGGAGGGTGGGGATGGGGGCGGTGATTGTACAAATCACACTACTGTACACTGACATTATCTATGTGGGAGGATGGTGGGGATAGGGGTGGTGATTGTACAAACGTCACACTACTGTACACTGACATTATCTATGTGGGAGGATGGTGGGGATGGGGGTGGTGATTGTACAAACGTCACACCACTGTACACTGACATTATCTATGTGGGAGGATGGTGGGGATGGGGGTGGTGATTGTACAAACGTCACACTACTGTACACTGACATTATCTATGTGGGAGGATGGTGGGGATGGGGGTGGTGATTGTACAAACGTCACACTACTGTACACTGACATTATCTATGTGGGAGGATGGTGGGGATGGGGGTGGTGATTGTACAAACGTCACACTACTGAACACTGACATTATCTATGTGGGAGGATGGTGGGGATGGGGGTGGTGATTGTACAAATCACACTACTGAACACTGACATTATCTATGTGGGAGGATGGTGGGGATGGGGGTGGTGATTGTACAAATCACACTACTGTACACTGACATTATCTATGTGGAAGGATGGTGGGGATGGGGGTGGTGATTGTACAAACGTCACACTACTGAACACTGACATTATCTATGTGGAAGGATGGTGGGGATGGGGGTGGTGATTGTACAAACGTCACACTACTGAACACTGACATTATCTATGTGGAAGGATGGTGGGGATGGGGGTGGTGATTGTACAAACGTCACACTACTGAACACTGACATTATCTATGTGGAAGGATGGTGGGGATGGGGGTGGTGATGTGTCACACTACTGAACACTGACATTATCTATGTGGGAGGATGGTGGGGATGGGGGTGGTGATTGTACAAACGTCACACTACACTGACTGTACAAACGTCACAACACTGACATTATCTATGTGGGAGGAGGGTGGTGGGTGGTGATTGGTCACACTACTGAACACTGACATTATCTATGTGGGAGGATGGTGGGGTTGGGGGTGGTGATTGTACAAACGTCACACTACTGAACACTGACATTATCTATGTGGAAGGATGGTGGGGATGGGGGTGGTGATTGTACAAACGTCACACTACTGAACACTGACATTATCTATGTGGGAGGATGGTGGGGATGGGGGTGGTGATTGTCCAGCCTTTCCAGAATTTTTTTTTTTTTTTTTATTTTGTTTTTCAAGATTTTACAAAGGTATGCAATACACGATATATACTAGACTCACATACACATACACACCCTAGCACACATCACACTACACCCATGTACACTCACTCAAAACATGCACTCATTATTTCCTACTCTTTCCTCTTTGCTGACATGACATACAATGTACTACTGTGTTTCATTCACACGCCCCAATAATAATACAAACTCAATGACTGCTGTCATCATCATCATCATCATCATCATCATCATCATCATCACCATCGTCATCATCATCACATAGTTATCATCATGATCATCGTATCATCATCACTTCATTATTATGATCATCACCATATCATCATCATCATCATCATCATCATCATCATCATCATCATCATCATCGTCATCATCATCACATAGTTATCATCATGATCATCACCATATCGTCATCATCATCATCACTATCATATCACCATCAGCAGTGACACATATTCAGCATTGTAATCATCATATCATCATCACCACTTCATCATCAACCTTTCATCCTCATTATCACATCATACACTGATCAACAACATTATTTATTATCATTAGTGGTTTGCCTCATCATCATCTATTCACACCTAATCCCCAAACTTTATTCAAAATTATATGTTTTCAATAGTGTAATCCCAAACCAGAAGTGCAAGCATGGATTGGGAGTAGCGAGATACACCCCACATAACAGCCTTTCCATGTTGCAACTTCTGCTTATTTGATACAAAGTGTAATTCACGTTAAAAAAAAACATAAAAAAATAATTGAGGTGTGAATAGCTGGTGATGATTCTTTGTTATCTGCCCTTGTTGTCAAAGATTACACAGAGCATAGTACAGCCAGACTAAATGATAGCATAGAGGAAATATCAATAATTAACATTATACATAGATTGCTCTCTCTCACTGAATCATTCTCTACAATTAAAGAAACAGACAAAGCGATGAAAACAGAAATAGGAAGATAGGGGATGGGGATGGGGGAATGACATAAGAAGTCCATGGGATGTTGAAACAAATTTTTAGCTAAAGACAGTGAAACAAAGATATGACAGCACTGTCAAGGATAAAAAGTATACTGTACACTGACATTATCTATGTGGGAGGATGGTGGGGATGGGGGTGGTGATTTTATCAAAAATTTGAAGATTTCATACCTGAACCATATTGTCCTAGGAAGCCAACAGAATTTGGACCAGGAGTTTCATCTGACCGAAACTTCATCCACAGTCCCTGATATGAAGTAAGATTACTGGGAATGTTTGTACCACAGTATCGACCTATAAGATTTCCATTAACGTCTCCTTCCCGTAGCTCCAAGTAGTCAAAATTACAGGATGGGCTGTCTTCTAATGTAAATGTGCTAAAACAACAAAATATTAAGTATGAAGTGTTACAAGCATAAGATCAGACTATTAGGTCCTTCTCACTCTGTAGTTTTAATCGTCTGTTACTGTTTCTTTACTTTTGATCATATACACACAGTTAGATGAGATTTTATGTATAAACATTGAACTAGCAAGTAATTCAAATATAGTCAATTTTAAAGATTTTCTACATTTTAATGTTTTAAAGACATTGGAGTTTGCTAAGCTAATATCTTTTTAATAAATATATGTATATAGAGACAAACCTCGTTATCTTGAATGCGGTACTGTGGGAATACTTTGAGATAAAGAGTATTTGAATTAAGTGATTTCAAATGTTTTGTGTAAAGTTAAGCAAGAATTAACAAAATGCTTTGCCATTTATTAAATGGGGTCTTTGAGCTATCAAGTTTCAGATAGCTGTGTTTGACTGTAATGCACAACTTTGCATAGGTACATCATTTAAATCATACTGACATCTCAACTCACATAATAAAACCTTCTAAAACCTTACTACAGGCTTTCTGTGTCACAGTACAAGAAGTGTATTGACAGCGGCAGCAGCGTGTACTGTGACAATTATTTGGAAGAGACTCTGTGTTAACATTTATCAGTTAACAGATCCAGGTGTTTTTACAGTGTTACAGTGTAAACAGAAGACAACCAAAGTATACACATCAACTTTCCACAAGGGAAAATCTGATGAACTCTACAAACAGGAACTGTTAGCTTGGATTTGCTTGCTGAAGCTAAGTGTTGCTATTGCTTTAACTGTGACAGAATATGATGAACGTAGAATCTGCAAAAAAAATTTTCAACAAATAACTCTGGATGACTTGAAGAAAGATACAGGTTTAAAACTATAGTTGATTTTCTTGATAAACACCTAGCCAAGGATGTTCTGGCTGACAGCCTGGAAAAAATTAAAGAATTTTAGGATCTTGCTAGAACTGTAGGTCAGTCAATCAGTTACTTCATTTTGAACTTTGACTGTAAATACAGGAGAATTGGAAACCAAATTACCATAAGAAAACCTTGCAATGAAATTCCCGAGGAAAGCAGACACTACTTAAGAAGGAAGAATACTTTAACAGTCATGAATTACAGAAATCGTGCCAGCATGTAAGTGGAAGCCAAAACATCTCTGAGTTTAAAGGAGAAGGTGTGTAAAAAGTGACATACCAATCATCAAACATTCCATCGTTGTTGCCTAGGTCAGCAATAAAAAAGCAGGGTCAAAATGGACTAGGAAAATGACAGAGTGGTGATAATGGGACAAGAAGTAGCCTTGAATCTTACATCATCTGGACACTACTGCCTTCCAATCAACAAAATAGAAACACTGCTGAGAAAGTCAAGGTTGTGAAAACGGAGGAACTTGGTCCAGAAAAACGTAAGGCAAAATTGTTAAAACTTCACAGGCAGTTAGCTGATCCACCAAAGATAAGGCTTGTGGCACTATCAAAGGATGCTATGCCATATGAGTAAGACTAGGATGAGGACAGAAACAGACTGAGAACTCTGTAAGATCTGTGTGAAGAATCCATCAGTTGTAGCTTTACTAACGGCTACAGAATTCAATGAAAAGTGGCGATTGACCTCAAACAATACAAAGGCTGTTGGATGATACATGGTGTCAGGTTTTATCTAGCAACCTAGTAATGTGATTGATGTCTTAATGAGGCAATGGGTTGGGGTGTTTGGAGTCATGGGTGAAATAATAACTGACAACAGAGGAGAATTCAGCTCTGAAGAGATGCATGAAGTTCCATCAATGTTGAATGTATTTGTGTGTAGAACACAGAAGGAGTCTATCGCAAAATGGTTTGTGTGATTGTGTACATGCTGTCACTGATATGATGCTCATGAAAATAGCTGCAAAAAACTCAAAAGTGGAGCCCAAAATGCTCTTATCTTGGGCAAACCTGGTAAAGAACTCCTAACAAATGTGGAATGGATTCAGCTGTCATCAACTAGTATTCAGGTACCTACACCCATCTTTGTATCCCAAAAACAAAAGATTAAAAAATCCTGTCCTCCCTACGACCATGAGCCTTCATGTCATGAACATAGAGTAATCTCTCTTCCTCTTATCTTTATGGTTACCGGAGCGGGCGGACGTGCTTCTCACAGCTGAGTGCCTTCCTTTACTGTAGCATTAAGATCTGCTTATAGCCGAGTAATTCTTTACTTGGCTTTTGCTTTATACCCATTAGTTATATTAACAGTCTATTGCAGACTATTATTTCGTTAACTATCCTGCTTATTTCGGCCTTTATTTGGCCGGCTTTTGTTCGGCCTTCGTTTGGCCATTGTTTGCTCCACATACCGAGTGCGTGACCACGTGTTTTGCGCCGTTCGGTTTTTGTGAAGATTTTTCGTATTTTATTATTTGACCGCTTTTTTGTTTATTCATTTTACGTTTCGTTAGCTTTTGCTTACGTTTGTGTTTGAGTTTTGGAGTTGTTTTTTCTCACTCCATTTATTTTTGTTACCGCTTATTTGTTTAATAACATTTATTATTTGTAACAATTATGGCTAGTTCGGGGTTACGTCGTAGTTCGGCACATGGGTGTTCCCATTTCTTTGGAGAGCAGGACCCCCATGATGCCTGTCCCTTATGTCATCCTTGCAGCGAGACTGCGCCGTGCGAACATCGTTCGCACGCCGGGTCCGCTGTAAAGAATCCCCTGCCGGTACGGCGAACTTCTCGCTGGAAGAGGTTCGTCCTCATCTTCTGTTAGGAGAAGTAAGCCAGCCACTTCTACTACCCCCGTTCCTGAACCGTTGAGTTTGTTACTGCTGGGGGTGTTCTCGTCTCTCCGAGCTCCGCCATGGAGCAGCGGGTGGCTCCCCCGTCCAGGCATGTCCTGGTGGTGTAAGGAGGAAGCAGCTCGACCCTGACTCAGCGAAGTCTAGGGTCAAATCGGCCGGTAGCTCCTGACAGCCGGCGGTGCTACAGTTGGAAAGGGACTTCCGGTCTCAGGTCTCTGATTCGTTCAGGGACCTCGGCGCGCCAGGTGGCGTCGTTGGTGGGGGCAGTTTTGACTCCGGGCCCGTACCTTCAGGTATAGGGTCAGGGGCCACTGACTTTTTGTCAGGATTGTCGGTGGCTATGGGGATTAGTGACACTGAGTTCACTAATCCTAGTGTCAGTGCGGGGCCTGTTTTCCCACCCTAACATGTTGCTGGCTCTGGGGCTTTTCGTTCAAATCCAGAATTTCCAGTGCAGGGTTTCCCAGGAGGTTTCCCCCAGGGGTTTGGGGCTCCAGGTCAGGCTTCCGGTTTCCGGTCGCCTTTTCCCCTGGGCTCGGTATGCCGGGGTGCCTGCGGGCACTTATTCCTGGGCCGCCCAGGCCAACCTACGGATGGTTCTGGGTACCAGCAGTTACCCAGCGGTTATGGGCCCAGCCCATACATAGCTGGGTTTCCACCTGGTGGGAGTGGCGGTTCATCCTGGTCCTTTGGACAGGGTGTCCAGCCCCAGGCTCAGGCAGGCCAGTTTGGCCAGTTCTGGGGTCACTCCCAGCCCGCGGGACCGTTCCCATGCCCTCAGGGGTTTGGGTTCAACCCCATGGGTCTTCCCTCGTGGAATCCTTGGGGTATGGTCTCTCCCTCTAGGAGACGATATAGCAGTTCCGTATCCTCCCAATGTTCTGCTACTTCGGGGGCCATATCAGCCGGTCCTCCTGCTTTCAGGGGTCAGCTTCGGGTCTTCCACCCAAGCCTTCAGCTACGGCTGTTAGACGCTCTGCGTCTAAACGCCGTATAGAGGAGTCCCTCTCTCCGGAGCGGGCTCCTCTGGCGGCCCCTGTTCATCCCAGGGCGACTTCGGACGCTATCGAGGAGGAGATGAACATTGAGGGCGCGGGCTCGGAAGAGGATGATGATGGGATCCATCTGTCTCCTAGGTGCTCAGCGATAGATCCGTCTGAGTCATCTAACGATGACCCTTCCGACCAGGAGGGTTCCAAGGGGGTATGGGGCCCCAGGACCGCTGAAGCCGAGGCTCAGCAAGTGCTTTCGGGAATGCGGGCCATACGGGCCGACACCTCCCGGATTCTCGGGGCGGAGGTATGCCCACCGCCTACTGCATCGTCGGTGCCTGAATCCACATCCCTTCTAGGTTCTTTGGTGGCTCCTCGGGCTTCCGTTCGATCCGATCGGACTCTACCAGAAGGCACTATCGTGTCTTCGGCTTTGGTCACTGCCCGGGCTCGGGTCTTAGAGAAGAATTCCTCCTCTACCCGCACCCCCGGGTTTGCCGGTCTGCAGCTCGGTGTTGGTGATTTGTCGGAGGCCTCTTCCTCTGACTACGCCACACCTGACGGGCAACTGGCCCCTCAACCAGCAACCAGACGGTCCTCCCGCTCAGCGCTCTTGTCCTCCCGCAGGCTCAGGCTCTGGGTGGGCAGACGATTCGCTGTTTTGGCAGGGACTCGATCTACCCCATCCGGAACTTCCTGTGGGTAGGTGTCTCTACGCTTTCCTGTCCCAGTGGCAGGAGATTTCGGAGGACGCTTGGGCTTTGTCAGTGGTCAAGGAGGGTCTAGGTATCCCCCTTCTTCGGGATCCGCCCCTTATCGCCCGGCCGATTTTCTTTCCTCCTCCGGGGGATTTTGAAAAGGCCCGGGTGATAGAGGAGTAGAGGAGATTCCTATGTCGGAAATCACTCCCGGTTTCTATTCCCGAATGTTTCTCGTTTGAAAGAAGTCCGGGGCGTGGCGTCCGATCATAGATCTCAGTGCCTTCAAAAGGGTTCTCCTCACTTCACGATGAAGACCCCACAGGGCCTCCGTGAGGGACGGAATGTGGGCTACTTCGGTAGACCTGAAGGACGCCTATTTCCATATCCCAATCAAGAAGTCGGCACGGAAGTTCCCCCATTTCACATGCAATGGCAAGGTCTTCCAATTCCGGGCCATGCTCTTCGGGCTGACGACAGCTCCTTTGGTATTCACCAAACTGCTGCAGGTAGTCGTGGGACTCTTTCACTCTCGCGGAATAGACGTCCACATCTATTTCAACGACTCCCTCATGCTTCACAGGGTGAGGGAATCGCTAGTGAAGAATACCCGGCTGGTCCTGAAAGTCTTGCTCAGAGTCGGCTTCATTCTTTCCAGGGAGAAGTCGGAGGTTTCCCCATCTCAGGACTTCGTCTTCCTGGGGAAGCGTTTCGATACGGTTCTGGGCATAGCCCTACCACCGGTGGAAAAATTCGAGAAGGCCAGGGCTCTAGCTCTGTCCTTCATCGAACGGTCGCAGGTCCAGGTGCGTTGGTTCCTTAGTTTTCTGGGGTATCTCAATGCTCTAGCAGATGTGGTCTCCATAGGGAGGCTACACACCAGACCTCTCAAGATGTTCCTCCTCTCCAACTGGGTTCCGTCATCCAGGAAGTGGGAGGCCTGGATAACTCTCACTCAGTCGGTCAGGGAGTTCGCTCGCTGGTGGACTATTCGGGAGAACGTTATCCGCGGGGTTCCTCTGACCACGCCTGTCCCCTCTGTGACCCTGTTTACGGATGCGTCCATGACAGGATGGGGAGCTTACCTCGACGGCCATTGCCGCTTGGGGGAGTGGTCTGGGGATCAGCTCTCGGAGCACATGAATGTGCTCGAGATGAGGGCAGTTCTTTTGGCACTGCAATCCTTTCGGGGGTTTCTGCAGTCCAAGGCGATTTTTCTCACATCCTGTGTGTCCTCTCCATTCGCATTCTTCTCCTCTGCCAGGAGATGCAATTGTCCATTGCGGTCAAGCATCTTCCGGGCAGGCTGAATGTGTTGGCGGATACCCTCTCCAGGCGCCGCCAACCGGTGTTGATGGATTGGCAGCTGTGTCCCTCGGTGTTCCATGGAATTTGTCAGGTGTGGGACAGGCCTTTGATAGATCTGTTTGCCACTTCTCTGAACAATCAGCTGCCAACCTTCGTCTCTCCTCTCCCAGATCCGAAGGCTTAGGCTGTGGACGCCCTTTCTCTGGACTGAGACGGGATGCATTCCTATGCATTCCCTCCCTTCAACCTGGTGGGCAGGGTGCTTCAGAAGTTCAATGAAGAGCAATGATGCTCCCTACTTCTGAAAGCCCCTCTATGGCCGAGGTAGCCTTGGTTTCTGGAGCTCTTGTCGTTTCCCATGGCTCTCCCCACCAGACCGAATCTCCTTCGCCAGCCTCGGCCCATGACGACACACTCTCGGCCAGAGATCCTCCACCTTCACGCATGGAGGCTATATCTGGAAGCCTCGCCAAGGCAGGCTTTCCTCAAGAGGTGTCGGATTGCATCGCGCGATCTATCAGGGCTTCCTCTTCTGCCGTCTGCCAGTCACGATGGAAGATCTTCTGTGATTGGTGTGTTGGCAGGGAGGTTGATCCATTCGAAGCCTCTGTACAGCTGATTGTGGATTTCCTACTCTCCCTGTTTAGGGACTGCAATCTGGCACCTGGCACTATTGCTGGCTATATGACAGCAATGGCCAGTGTGTTGGCTTTTTATGGTAGGAAGGAGATAGGTTCTTCCTCATCTCTTTCTGCCCTAATCAGAGGCTTCGCTCTAGATAGACCCAGAGCTCGGCAGCTGGCCCTGCAGTGGAATTTAGCCTTGGTGCTAGATTCCCTGACGAGATCTCCTTATGAGCCTATGGAGTCTGCCTCTTTGAAGTTTGTTACTTTCAAGACAGTCTTCCTTTTGGCTCTGGCCTCTGGACATAGGAGGAGTGAAGTGCACGCTTTGTCGTCACTTCCTTCTTGCCTTCGGGGCTCCAGATCCCGTCTGTTTTTGCCCAACAAACAGGGACAGCGAGACATCTCCTCCCAGTCGGTGTCTAGGTGGGTCTGCCAGGTCATTAAATATGCTTATGAGCGTGGGTGAGAGTGCGGGCTCATGAGGTAAGGGCCCTCGCTGCATCCTGGGCCCTCCTTAATGGGTCCTCCTTTCAGGGGGTCATGTCTGCTGCCTTCTGGCAGGGCAGGGATACATTCACAGATTTTTATCTGCAATCCCTAGCTTCCCACTCAGAAGGTTTGTATTCATTGGGGCCTCTGGTGGTTGCACAGTCTGTGGCTGTGCCTCTCCATTAGCCCGGGGGCTGGTCTTTTCCGTTTGGCAGCACGTGGGTTACCTGCTCATTCACGGGGAGGTTCCCCTCCTTCTTTGCACTCTGTCCCCCCTCCCTACCATGTTCGGTTGTGCTAGATGGGCTGCCTGGCTGCTAGTCACCACTACGGTAAGACGAATTCGCATACTAAAGATATGGTAATTATTACTGAGATGAAATTAAGGTTTTTTTAATGTAAAACCAATTTTCATGAGGTAATACTTACCATAACTTTATGGAGTCCCACCCTATCCTCCCCTCTTCCTATCTGCCTGGCTTCCCCTCTGCGGATGCCACATAAAGGCTAAGAGGAAGAGAGATAACTATGTTCATGATGTGAAGGCTCATGGTTGTATGGAGGGCGGGATTTTTTAATCTTTTGTTTTTGGGATACAAAGATGGGTGTAGGTACCATATTTGCATACTAAAGTTATGGTAAGTATTACCTCATGAAAATTGATATTACATTAAAAAACCTCAATTCTAAATGTGAAAAATTTACTTACAAAATTGACATGTAAACAGTTGAACCTTGACCCCACAGTTTTCACGTTGATGGAATCGTTGTTGGAATTTTATATTGTCCATGATTTTCTTCATGTAGGCAATAAGCAATTGGAAGAAATGATATTCAGACCCATAGAGTGTGTATAGTAGGGGGAGTAGAGGAAGGAAGTTTAAGGTAAATTGGATTCCAGATAAAGTAAAACAGGGATTTGCACTTGATCACTCCATTTTTGTGGATAAACTCTAAATCACCCTCAAATTGACCAAGTTTGTGCATTAAAAAAAAAATGTGGGCTTGCTGATGGCGATCAGTCTCATTAGTAAATTGGTCAGTTGAACTAGGCAGAGCAAGGATCACATCCAGACTTTTGAATTAGTTGTGAACTAAACTTTCCAAGGCTCCATCACTGATTTGTTACAAGCAATAAAAGCTATAGGAAAGTTGAAGAACATAAGACCCATTCAGGTGTACCTGCCCTTACAAGGCATTTAATAAAGGACTGGGGAAGTTTCCTCTTCAGTAACACAGATTTGGGTAGCATCAACATAGGTGGTACTGGACATCAAACAACATCAAGAAAACAATGTAATCAACAATAGCTGCAGACGCTTCGAGTGTGGAGGAAGGGCTTGAGTCTGCAGTTTACTTCAGAAAAGCATTGGAAAACATTTGTGGGATAGCAGAGCTTGCGTATCACTGATTTTATAAACAATAGAAGTGGGATTGAAGCTCTACAGTCCACAAAACTGATAGATGACAAATGGCCGAGAATAGACGTTGTTTCTATCCTGAAAATGAAATTAAATAGCTGTGTTGAGGTCAAATGGTGTCCGTACAATTAGCCAATTCTTTGACAAATCCGGAAATGGACTGTAACATGTGCTTCAGAGAGGAAAAATTTGTTTGATGTGTTTAAAGGGGCATAAGAATTCCCATGACTAGAGGATTGTCTAACCAAATGATGGTCTCGCAGTCATTTTTTATTTTTGTTTTTATGCCAATAACTTACTAATGATATAACTGTTAATTCATAGGTGTACATGTCGTTTTTTCCTTTCTCTAATTCTATCATATGGCAACTCAATTTGAAATAATTTCTGTCACTAAAACGGGAAATTGTAATTGATGTTAATCTTCTATAATGATGAAAGGGAGATAACCCATACCACTGCTTTATCTATATTTACCTCCCTTGTAAAGAGCTTTTGTTTTTTTTTAAAAGTAGATTTTGTTATTGACACTGTGTGAATGAAATGGTGGACAATTGGCAGTGTGTTAACAATTTCTCAGTGACAATTTCTAACTGATATGAGAAGTACTCTACAATGACAATATACAAATAATTTGAACCTTAATGATCAATTCCACCTAAAAACACCAGCAAACTTTTAATTTTCTAAACCAAGATATCATGTATGTAACAAACCTAAATGAGACCATGACACGATTTCCGGGTGATACAGTGAATGTCCACACACATTCGGTACTCGGCGGGTACATGCTTGGGTATCCAGGACTAAGGAAAGATCCTCTTTCTGCTGTAAAATCCCCGCCACAAGCTTCAAAATGAAAATTTTTAGACATCATGACCTCCACCTCAAAATTTAGTATTGAAGTCATTTATTATGAATTCTACAGGAGAATACCTTTAATTCACTGATATAGTTGATAATTTAGGAGCAAAATATACAACAAACTATGAAAATAGGAATGCATATACTGATTAATATGTTGGAGTATTTCATTCATGTTACAAGAGTTGGTTACATATATTAATCAATTGTTGAGACTGTAGGACAATGATTATTGAAGCATCAATTTAACCTCTAGTTACTCACCAGAAGAAGATTTAGAGTAAACAGCTCTAAACCCTGTCCTTTGTACAGAAATATCTGTAACAAACCTAACAAACAGGGCTGAGCCAAGGGAGGTAATTGGGCTTGGGATCGTGTTGCCACAGTATTTGCCAATTAACGGGGCGGCTTCATCGTCACCATTGTATACAGACACATAATCATGTATACAAGAGGAATAGAACTCCGTGTCCATGTGTGTAAAAGTTAATGTAATTCTGTCAGCTGTAACAAAGATGGAAACCCCCTATATATGCCACACTACTTTTGAATTCTATAGATATCTACATCTTAAATGTAATCAGATTTCTAATTAACATTTTGACATCTAATTATGAAGAATCAAACCAACGTGATATTTTAAACATTCACAATTCTACTCGTCAACAAAGTTTTCTTCAATATTTCAAAGACTATTTTCACTCTATTCAATATCTATTTTCATTCTCAGATAATTCAATGATTATTATCTTCACTCTTTCCAGGATTTTTATTATATCATAAAAGACATTTCTAATCCAAATCAAAGAGGACTTTCCCCAACTCTTCAATTCACAGAGAACCATCTTACTGTACAAAGATTATTTTGATCCTGTTCAAGGATTTTTCCATTTCATTCATATTTTCATAAAATTCAAAGAGAACTTTCCTATTGTTCAAAGAGAACTTTCCTATTGTTCAAAGAGAACTTTCCTATTGTTCAAAGAGAACTTTCCTATTGTTCAAAGAGAACTTTCCTATTGTTCAAAGATAATTTTCATATTGACCAAAAGTAATTTTCAACAATTCAATAATTATTTTGATGCTGTTAGATATTTTTGGTTGGTGATGAAACACTGACTGAGGTTGTACCTGAATGGTCGGCCAAGATCAGCCAGGAACAGTTACTAAGGGGATCATAAATTCCGGGGTAATTTGTTGACACAATTTCTCCGTCTTGTTCTGCGGTGAGTGTTCCTCCACAACCTGTTCGCAATTCAAAGTCGTTTAACATGTGGACTGTTCCTGATTTTTGTAGTGATACATTATTCAACATCACAACTAAAGAATCCAAAATCAGAATGCAGTTTTTTCCTGTTTTCCTAATTTCTATGACTTTATCATTTATAATCTATAACATTTACAATTATCAAATTATGTATCAACAATTTTCTATAAAATCCAAAAACAGAATAATAATAATATGAGAAATCATACTTATTCTTAATATTCTTTTGTACTGTAATAACTACATATATATGTAGAATTAAATTGCTTTCAATTTATGTTCTGTTATCAATGCTTGGACGTGATGAACATTTGCAGTTGTAATAAATATATATATTAAATTAAATTGCTTTAATTTATGTCTTGTTATCAATGCTTGGACTTGATGAACATTTGCAGATGTTTGGTATTTTGTTAAATAAATGACATGAAATAAAACAGTATTTGTCTAAAATAATAAAATGTATATAAATCTATCACAGCTGGCCAGTGTACACTGAACCTACACATACAGGGTTCATAGAAATCACATTAACAGCTAATAGTTAATATCATTAAAAGGTTTATCAGAAAAAGTTCAAAATTCATCAGCAATGTTTATAGCGAGACCTATTTCACATGGCCTCTAACAGTAGTCATTAATTATATCTATGTCTCCACCAGGACTGTAATCTGAAAACTTGTTTACTCAAGACATATACAAAGCTAAACTAGACTTTACATACACATCTTGAAGGAAGTTACATGTTCTTGTGAAAGTAATGCAAAGTCACAATCAATATCTCCTCGCTGGGTCCCTACATGGTCACAATCAATATCTCCTCGCTGGGTCCCTACATGGTCACAATCAATATCTCCTCGCTGGGTCCCTACATGGTCACAATCAATATCTCCTCGCTGGGTCCCTACATGGTCACAATCAATATATCCTCGCTGGGTCCCTACATGGTCACAATCAATATCTCCTCGCTGGGTCCCTACATGGTCACAATCAATATCTCCTCGCTGGGTCCCTACATGGTCACAATCAATATCTCCTCGCTGGGTCCCTACATGGTCACAATCAATATCTCCTTGCTGGGTCCCTACATGGTCACAATCAATATCTCCTCGCTGGGTCCCTACATGGTCACAATCAATATCTCCTCGCTGGGTCCCTACATGGTCACAATCAATATCTCCTCGCTGGGTCCCTACATGGTCACAATCAATATCTCCTCGCTGGGTCCCTACATGGTCACAATCAATATATCCTAGCTGGGTCCCTACATGGTCACAATCAATATCTCCTCGCTGGGTCCCTACATGGTCACAATCAATATCTCCTCGCTGGGTCCCTACATGGTCACAATCAATATCTCCTCGCTGGGTCCCTACATGGTCACAATCAATATCTCCTAGCTGGGTCCCTACATGGTCACAATCAATATCTCCTCGCTGGGTCCCTACATGGTCACAATCAATATCTCCTCGCTGGGTCCCTACATGGTCACAATCAATATCTCCTCGCTGGGTCCCTACATGGTCACAATCAATATCATGTTCACAATCAATATCTCCTCGCTGGGTCCCTACATGGTCACAATCAATATCTCCTCGCTGGGTCCCTACATGGTCACAATCAATATCTCCTTGCTGGGTCCCTACATGGTCACAATCAATATATCCTAGCTGGGTCCCTACATGGTCACAATCAATATCTCACTGGGTCCCTACATGGTCCCAATATACATGGTCACAATCAATATATCCTCGCTGGGTCCCTACATGGTCACAATCAATATCTCCTCGCTGGGTCCCTACATGGTCACAATCAATATCTCCTCGCTGGGTCCCTACATGGTCACAATCAATATCTCCTCGCTGGGTCCCTACATGGTCACAATCAATATATCCTAGCTGGGTCCCTACATGGTCACAATCAATATACATACATGGTCACAATCAATATCTCCTCGCTGGGTCCCTACATGGTCACAATCAATATCTCCTCGCTGGGTCCCTACATGGTCACAATCAATATCTCCTTGCTGGGTCCCTACATGTTCACAATCAATATCTCCTCGCTGGGTCCCTACATGGTCACAATCAATATCTCCTCGCTGGGTCCCTACATGGTCACAATCAATATCTCCTTGCTGGGTCCCTACATGTTCACAATCAATATATCCTAGCTGGGTCCCTACATGGTCACAATCAATATCTCCTCACTGGGTCCCTACATGGTCACAATTAATATATCCTAGCTGGGTCCCTACATTGTCACAATCAATATCTCCTCGCTGGGTCCCTACATGGTCACAATCAATATCTCCTAGCTGGGTCCCTACATGGTCACAATCAATATATCCTAGCTGGGTCCCTACATGGTCACAATCAATATATCCTAGCTGGGTCCCTACATGGTCACAATCAATATCTCCTTGCTGGGTCCCTACATGTTCACAATCAATATATCCTAGCTGGGTCCCTACATGGTCACAATCAATATCTCCTAGCTGGGTCCCTACATGGTCACAATTAATATATCCTAGCTGGGTCCCTACATTGTCACAATCAATATCTCCTCGCTGGGTCCCTACATGGTCACAATCAATATCTCCTCGCTGGGTCCCTACATGGTCACAATCAATATCTCCTAGCTGGGTCCCTACATGGTCACAATCAATATCTCCTAGCTGGGTCCCTACATGGTCACAATCAATATCTCCTTGCTGGGTCCCTACATGGTCACAATCAATATATCCTAGCTGGGTCCCTACATGGTCACAATCAATATCTCCTCACTGGGTCCCTACATGGTCACAATCAATATATCCTAGCTGGGTCCCTACATGGTCACAATCAATATATCCTAGCTGGGTCCCTACATGGTCACAATTAATATATCCTAGCTGGGTCCCTACATTGTCACAATCAATATCTCCTTGCTGGGTCCCTACATGGTCACAATCAATATCTCCTCGCTGGGTCCCTACATGGTCACAATCAATATCTCCTAGCTGGGTCTCTACATGGTCACAAATTTAACAGAGATCAATACATAATATTTCCATGCCTCCAACAGAGACTGACCCTGTACCTCTATCTCCACTATCTAACTAATCTATTGCTCAACTGACAGAGTTAGAGATAAATTCTCCTTAGCTTACTTGTATGTTGCAGTAAGTGACAATTACTCCCTCTCCAGCGAATAATTTAAAGTTTTCTGTGATTGGTGTGAGGGAAAGTATTTTGTGGATGCTGTCAGCTGAGTCTCTTAATTGAAACATAAATAGATTGTTCCAAATCACTTACCGGTAACATAGGTTGCATTAAAACCTTTACGAGACACACTTGAATCAGTTCTCATACGTAGTAGCATCTGGTTACCAGAGCTGCGATATGTTGGGGGAGAAGGGAGAGAACTCCCACAGTGAGACATTAACATGGTGTTGTGTATCGTAGGACCATCAAATACCTAATCCAAAACAGAAAACAAATAAATTCATGAAATATTCTCAACGTCTAATTTGAATGTTGTGAACAATCTATGATCATGTGGTGACATTTTAGGAAGTTGAATAATAATATGAAACATTTATATAAATCATTATTTAGTTTGTAAAACTGCTCATGGACATTACTAAAATTATAATTCAGTGTTACATATTGTACAGATACATTACCACTAGAAACAAGGCATACAAATCACACATTAATCACATCAGTCATTGATCATGGGGAGTACGTATGTACGTAGCTGACATATGCACTGGACATTGGCAGTATGTGAGTCAAAAATGCAGAAGAAAAAAATGAATTTAAATAATTTTTCGAATTTTTAAAAAAATTATTGACTTCCTGGTAGCAGATGGTAAGCTATTACTTAAAGTGGCTGTAACCTTTCCGAAACCTACTGTAAGTCATAGCAAGGGAGTTTAGAACACATGCAAGGAAGAATTTTACTGGAGCATTGTTAAAGGTTACACTGATGTTAGACAGAAGTTCAGAGATGAAGGGACATAATGTGTTGGGACAGTATACTGACATGTAACTAGACCCGTCCCTCCTAAAATGGCAGGATCAAAAGTTAATTTACCTTCACATAGTCAAAGTTACAGTTGCTACCGCCTTCCAGGATGAAGTCATTGAAGGTGAGTTGGATGTTCTTAGAGGGAACCACAGTGATGAGCCAGACACACTCAGTATTGTGTGGGTAATTATTTGGATAATTGGCAGAAGTGAGAGTCCCCATAGGTGTGGAAAAGTTTCCTCCACAGCCTAAACAGTAAACATATACAAACAGTATGTTTACTCTATAATCATTTCCATTTCACAAAAATAAACAAATTGTTATTATGGAGACAATAAAAGGAATTGTAACATTCTATATTAGACTAATTAAACTTTTTGAAAAAAAAAAATGTTCAATATCAATTTTGATTCAAGCATTATTATAAAGTTTTAATTATTTTCTGTTAAATTTTCTTTAAATTTACTTCAATAAAAAAACTAGAGTTCTTACCTCCAGGGAGCGATCTGTAAGTGGCATGAAAACCTCTCCCACTGACATAAAAGTCACTACGGAAACGTAGAAACATCTGGTTACCAGTGGCTGTAAACACTTGTGGTTCTGTCTGGGTGTGGCACAGCGTTGCCAGGAGTGGTGAAGCACTGTCCATACCACCATATATCTGAAAGAATATAGTTACAGTTTTAATGATATTGGAATACTCGGAAAAACATTCACCTCAAATAAGATATTCATTTTCAGCAGGTGTTGAATTTAACCTTTGCCCTATTGACAAAAGGACGAAATTTCAAATTTGGCTAAAGTTTCCCTGCATATGACCAAATTAGTATTTTGTCAAAATCCACTCAGTCGTTCATAACTAGTAGTGATTTGTAGGAAAAGTTGATGGGCAAAGGAAAGACAAAAGCTCTTCCAGCAACATGAACTAAAAAGTTCTCAATACCAAAATTTCCATTCATATCATAATGTCCAAATTCTTATAAAATCTTTCAAGTCTTGTATAAGAAATTGAAAGGGATCACTTTCAAAATAAGATATCAAGTTAACATGTTCATGATGGCATCACCATGACCTGTGGTCAGGTGACCTATAAGAGTACCTCCAATCCATCAAAACCACAGCTGGCGTGAGGCTCAAAGTTGAAGTCATCAAGTGTGAGTTCAATCTTCGTTCCTGATGCTACGTTGATGCTCCATTCACAGACACGTAAGTGTGGGTAGTTATTTGGGTAGTTAGGACTCGCGAAACTACCTGTCTGTGTGACTAGGTAACCTCCACAACCTGATATCAAATAACAACTCATTGTCAGAACAGGGTAGTTAGGGTTTGTGAAATTACCTGTCATATTCACAAGGTAACCTCATCAATCATATCTTAGTGTTAAAACACTATAACAGTTTTGCCAACTCATCTCATTTCAACAGGTCAATGTGATACTGACTATACTCTGATCTGCTCGTAAAAGATTCTAAAATCAACTGATGTTTCTTTACTTTTGATCAAATTTTAAAAAATTCAAATTCAATTTCTGTATCAAACATTAATATCCAAATCCAAATGTGATGTATATACTAAAGAATTGAAGTTTTTTTTACCCAATGATCATTTTACCCTGTTATCCTTTATTTTGAAGGCCATGATCACATATTATTTGACAGGTTCACATAAAAAAAGCACCTGAAATTTGGATCTAATGAAGGAAGAACTCACCATTAGTGACATATTCTAGACGAAATCCATTATTGGCCAAACTGAAGTCAGACATGAACTGTACTAGCATTTTGTTGGAGGTGCTGTTTACAGGGTCAGGAAGATTGGTACCACAGAACTTCCCCAGGGACGGTGATGTTATCAGCTCTCCATCACGAATCTGAGACAAAAAGGTATCAGTGAAACAGATGAATGCTTCCTGAAAACAGCACGACTGAACAAAGGGCAATGACTCTATCATTACAGGGTGTGATACCCTGAATTTGGAATACTGCACATCGTCTTAGTATAATAAAAATATACACAAATTTTCATTATCCTTGTTTAAATGAAAGAAAAGTTATGTTCAGGACATAAAATCTTATAAAAGGAAAATAATCTCTGTAGTTGCAGTTACAAGGAGTTACTAAATTTGGTACACTGCACATCTTCTTAGCATTATAAGTGTATACACCAAATTTATGATCCACCCTTTACTGTTATGCTCCAGACACCAAAGATCACGTGTAATAAATGGAGAAAAGTATATAAAAGTCTTTTGGTCCTTTCGGCCAGCTGAGCTAGAAATTAGAAAATCCAAGCTAACATCATATCACCAGATGGCATAGAACTTAAGTTGTACAAAGGGTGAATCTTTGTCTTTAATAAAACCAGAAAATCCATATAAGAAACACTACCCTACATCATCAAGGAGCAGGTAGTGAGAACTTGTAAAGCAGGTGAAATATTCATCTCAAACTACTGAAATGTCTTTATTGATGGGAGGAAGGGAATACCTGCAAATAATCCCAGGAACAGGAGTGGTGTGTCTCTACATCAAAATGAGAGAAGGCAGCATTTACAGTGTTCCCTAAAGATGTCTCTATTATCCAGGTACAGTTACGATTGTGAGGGTACGGCTCAGGAAAGTTGGGACTTTCTATTACTCCAGAAAATGATGTCAATCTTGAGTTACATACTGTAATACAAAGTCACACATCATAACGAGAGAAAACGATGTCAATCTTGAGTTATATACTGTAATACAAAGTCACACATCATAACGAGAGAAAACGATGTCAATCTTATACATACTGTACAAATACTTGAGTTATATAAAGTCACACATCATAACGAGAGAAAACGATGTCAATCTTGAGTTACATACTGTAATACAAAGTCACACATCATAACGAGAGAAAACGATGTCAATCTTGAGTTACATACTGTAATACAAAGTCACACATCATAACGAGAGAAAACGATGTCAATTTCATGATACACAGTGAAATTAAGTCAAGAATCATGATGAGAGAGAAAGAGAGAGAGAGAGAGAGAGAGAGAGAGAGAGAGAGAGAGAGAGAGAGAGAGAGAGAGAGAGAGAGAGAGAGAGAGAGTGTGAGAGACACAGAGAGAGACACAGAGAGACAGAGAGACAGAGAGACAGAGAGAGAGAGAGAGAGAGACAGAGACAGACAGAGTGAGAGACAGAGAGACAGAGAGAGAGAGAAATAAAAGCAATTATGGCTCAGGTTGATCTACTCTCAAAAGAAATGATCTTCGAGCTAGGAATAGTGTGATTTTTCTACCATTAACATATTTAAAACAATGCTGTGAGTTCATAAAATTGAATTCAGAATAACATAAGCCCATCCCATCTTAGAGTCACCACTTACTACTTATCAGTGTAGTAAATGATGTAGAAGCCCCGCCCTCCTACAGAGTACTTACCAGTGTAGTATGAGATGTAGAAGTCCCGCCCTCCTACAGAGTACTTACCAGTGAAGTATGAGATGAAGAAGCCCCGCCCAGTTACAGAATACTTACCAGTGAAGCATGAGATGAAGAAGCCCCGCCCTCCTACAGAGTACTTACCAGTGTAGTATGAGATGTAGAAGCCTCGCCCTCCTACAGAGTACTTACCAGTGTAGTTTGAGATGTAGAAGCCCTGCCCAGTTACAGAATACTTACCAGTGAAGCATGAGATGTAGAAGCCCCGCCCAGTTACAGAATACTTACCAGTGAAGCATGAGATGTAGAAGCCCCGCCCAGTTACAGAGTACTTACCAGTGAAGTATGAAATGTAGAAGTCCCGCCCTCCTACAGAGTACTTACCAGTGAAGCATGAGATGTAGAAGCCCCGCCCAGTTACAGAGTACTTACCAGTGAAGCATGAGATGTAGAAGCCCTACCCAGTTACAGAGTACTTACCAGTGAAGCATGAAATGTAGAAGCCCTGCCCAGTTACAGAATACTTACCAGTGAAGCATGAGATGTAGAAGCCCTGCCCAGTTGCAGAATACTTACCAGTGAAGCATGAGATGTAGAAGCCCCGCCCAGTTACAGAATACTTACCAGTGTAGTATGAGATGTAGAAGCCCTGCCCTCCTACAGAGTACTTACCAGTGAAGTATGAGATGTAGAAGCCCCTCCCAGTAACAGAGAAGTCTGTTTTGTATTTTATCCATAAGACATTAGATGGTGATCGGGTAACATTGGGGAGAGTTGATCCACAAAACTTCCCTAGCTGTCTGCCAGAAGCGCTCCCATCACGTATCTGTCAGCCAAAATAATTAGATATATTCTATAATTTGGAAGTTAATGCTGTCTCACACTTCATCATATTCTTGTAATCAGTGTCATAAAACCAACCAAACATTGCATATGTGATAACGCCATGCCACATACATGTGTGTAATCACCAAAGAAAGACAGAGACGGAGAAGATATCACTAAGTTAGATTTTGTATCAGTCAAGTATAATGCATTTTCACAAACTTTTACTTTAAACTAAGTTAAGTGATACTCAGTATTCTATACACAGAATCAGTATTTTATACACAGAATCAGTATTTTTTTCAAATAAAATTGATGCTATTTGTCACAAAATTTTCACTTAACCCTCCCAGAGACTTTGTAAAGTGAAAACTTGAAGGATTATTTCATCAAATTCACGTTAATCAAAACCTATTTACCTTAATTACTGTAAATATATCTAGGCTTAGAAATATTAAGGAGTAAAAGTTAGTAATCTTACTTTAACACTTTTTATACTAAAATATGATTGCACTCATTCTTAATGAGAATGTGCTGATTCCTCAATGCATTCATTAGTTAAAATTTGATATGGCACGAAATTTGTCATAAGTTTGTTTACAGTAAGTGTTCAAGAGATGAAGTTTGATGATGACGATAAGTGTTCAAGAGATGAAGGTTGATGATGACGGTAAGTGTTCAAGAGATGAAGGTTGATGATGACGGTAAGTGTTCAAGAGATGAAGGTTGATGATGACGGTAAGTGTTCAAGAGATGAAGGTTGATGATGACGGTAAGTGTTCAAGAGATGAAGGTTGATGATGACAGTAAGTGTTCAATAGATGAAGGTTGATGATGACAGTAAGTGTTCAAGAGATGAAGGTTGATGATGACAGTAAGTGTTCAAGAGATGAAGGTTGATGATGACGGTAAGTGTTCAAGAGATGAAGGTTGATGATGACAGTAAGTGTTCAAGAGATGAAGGTTGATGATGACAGTAAGTGTTCAAGAGATGAAGGTTGACGATGACAGTAAGTGTTCAAGAGATGAAGGTTGATGATGAGGGTAAGTTTTACGATCATTGCATATAGAAATCTTTCTTTTTGTGACATGATGTCAGATGCCTGATAATGCCTTTGTATAATTTGTTCTCATTATGTAACATTATTTACTTGGATTGACCAAGATTTACATGGCGGATGTCAAAGATGAAGCAGAAAGACTAAGATAGGCTGAGGAAATCTGAATTTTCCTTTTATTTCTAGTATTAATGATGAAAGTCAAATATAATGCAGAGGTCGCCAAACTTCAGTTTGTAAAACTGCTCAGGAAACCTTAATTTTGCAGTATTTTGAGTATTTAAATTCCAGGTCAGAGGTTACAATAAGTTTAGTATGTGACATACTGTATTTTCATGGTGAACAATGATTTTCCTCGGTTTGATGACAGATACATTAATAAGCCGACCAAGACTTTATACAAATTGTTCCACTTAACCTGAGGATAGTTCTGACCCCACAGTCAAGACCCACAACTTAAAACAAAATTCATTCTCCATCACCATGTAAGTCTTCTGATACACCTGGACAAACTAATTCGGTCAAATCCCTTAATCTGAAGGATTTTACACAATAACCTATATTTCTCTGAATTATCTACTTTGATGAGGCCTTACATAGACCACACTCACTCAACTACAAGAAACTACCCCAAAATTGGTTTGATAAAGATTTTTTTTTGTGACATTTACCAAGATGTAGTCAAAATAGCAGTCACTGCTGCTGCCCTCCATGTCAATATCAGTGACGTTGAGGATGATCTGACTGCCATGTGACACGGTGATGGTCCAGAAACACTCAGCATTATGTGGGTAATTACTGGGATAATCAGGAGAGACAAAACTGCCAGTAGGAGTGGTGAGGTCTCCTCCACAGCCTACAACAATAGGAATTACAAATCTATCAAACTTAAATATTCTTTGTCACTTTAACTTCTACAAAAATCTAAAACTTGTAGTTTTTATAAAGTCTGTTTAATTTCATCTTCTACTATTTAAAATTTCTTCATGGATTGAGACTACTGACAAACCGATGAAAATAAATCCTCCATCACAATTGATGATTTTACATTATCTGATAAGTTCATGATAAAAAAGATTGAGCATGTCTGGCTCAAAAATTGTGTATTTTCATCAAATTTCATGGGTAGTTTTTTATTTTTGTAAATAAAAACCTGGAGAGTGAAAAGTACTGTGAACTGAAAAATTTCTCTTCGGTTTAATTTTTGACCTTTCCATGAACAGAAAAGGTGAATTTAAGATGGGGGTGAATTTGTAACACTTCTACAGCCCTTACAATCCTCAGAGGGCAAAATGAACATGAGGCCAATTTGTTTATAATTGTGCAAGGGTAAAAATTCACTGGGGCAAAAACATCTCAGTATACCTTAATCAAATGTCAGGAACAATAAATGAAATCTTAATCTGAAATTAATTTTTTGAGTGAATTGAATCAAGTTATACAAATACTGACCCGTAGCTGTTGCCTCGTACACTATACGGAATCCACGTGCTGATAAAGAACTGTCGGATTGAAACTTGAGCCACATCCTGTTGCTATGTGACCGTATAATCGTGTCAATTGTATTTCCACAATACCTGTTCACTAGCGGTGAGTCATCAAAACCCCCATTTCTGTCAAAAGATAAACCTGCATATTACTAAAATTGACTCTGTAGCTGTATTTATCTGATGCCTGGCAATAGACCCAACAACATCTTTTGAATCAATTCTGTCCAGGACCAGTCCAATGTTTTACTGGAATATCACCTTACCCACAAACAAAACCTGGAGTCCTAGGGTAGGACCAATGTTTTACTGGAATATCACCTTACCCACAAACAAAACCTGGAGTCCTAGGGTAGGACCAATGTTTTACTGGAATAACACCTTACCCACAAACAAAACCTGGAGTCCTAGGGTAGGACCAATGTTTTACTGGAATATCACCTTACCCACAAACAAAACCTGGAGTCCTAGGGTAGGACCAATGTTTTACTGGAATAACACCTTACCCACAAACAAAATGTTTTACTGGAATAACACCTTACCCACAAACAAAACCTAGGGTAGGACCAATGTTTTACTGGAATAACACCTTACCCACAAACAAAACCTGGAGTCCTAGGGTAGGACCAATGTTTTACTGGAATAACACCTTACCCACAAACAAAACCTGGAGTCCTAGGGTAGGACCAATGTTTTACTGGAATATCACCTTACCCACAAACAAAACCTGGAGTCCTAGGGTAGGACCAATGTTTTACTGGAATAACACCTTACCCACAAACAAAACCTGGAGTCCTAGGGTAGGACCAATGTTTTACTGGAATAACACCTTACCCACAAACAAAACCTGGAGTCCTAGGGTAGGACCAATGTTTTACTGGAATAACACCTTACCCACAAACAAAACCTGGAGTCCTAGGGTAGGACCAATGTTTTACTGGAATATCACCTTACCCACAAACAAAACCTGGAGTCCTAGGGTAGGACCAATGTTTTACTGGAATATCACCTTACCCACAAACAAAACCTGGAGTCCTAGGGTAGGACCAATGTTTTACTGGAATATCACCTTACCCACAAACAAAACCTGGAGTCCTAGGGTAGGACCAATGTTTTACTGGAATAACACCTTACCCACAAACAAAACCTGGAGTCCTAGGGTAGGACCAATGTTTTACTGGAATAACACCTTACCCACAAACAAAACCTGGAGTCCTAGGGTAGGACCAATGTTTTACTGGAATATCACCTTACCCACAAACAAAACCTGGAGTCCTAGGGTAGGACCAATGTTTTACTGGAATATCACCTTACCCACAAACAAAACCTGGAGTCCTAGGGTAGGACCAATGTTTTACTGGAATATCAAAACCTTAGTCCTAATGTTTTAAACAAAAACCTGGAGTCCTAGGGTAGGACCAATGTTTTACTGGAATATCACCTTACCCACAAACAAAACCTGGAGTCCTAGGGTAGGACCAATGTTTTACTGGAATATCACCTTACCCACAAACAAAACCTGGAGTCCTAGGGTAGGACCAATGTTTTACTGGAATATCACCTTACCCACAAACAAAACCTGGAGTCCTAGGGTAGGACCAATGTTTTACTGGAATATCACCTTACCCACAAACAAAACCTGGAGTCCTAGGGTAGGACCAATGTTTTACTGGAATATCACCTTACCCACAAACAAAACCTGGAGTCCTAGGGTAGGACCAATGTTTTACTGGAATATCACCTTACCCACAAACAAAACCTGGAGTCCTAGGGTAGGACCAATGTTTTACTGGAATATCACCTTACCCACAAACAAAACCTGGAGTCCTAGGGTAGGACCAATGTTTTACTGGAATATCACCTTACCCACAAACAAAACCTGGAGTCCTAGGGTAGGACCAATGTTTTACTGGAATATCACCTTACCCACAAACAAAACCTGGAGTCCTAGGGTAGGACCAATGTTTTACTGGAATATCACCTTACCCACAAACAAAACCTGGAGTCCTAGGGTAGGACCAATGTTTTACTGGAATATCACCTTACCCACAAACAAAACCTGGAGTCCTAGGGTAGGACCAATGTTTTACTGGAATATCACCTTACCCACAAACAAAACCTGGAGTCCTAGGGTAGGACCAATGTTTTACTGGAATATCACCTTACCCACAAACAAAACCTGGAGTAGGGTAGGACCAATGTTTTACTGGAATATCACCTTACCCACAAACAAAACCTGGAGTCCTAGGGTAGGACCAATGTTTTACTGGAATATCACCTTACCCACAAACAAAACCTGGAGTCCTAGGGTAGGACCAATGTTTTACTGGAATATCACCTTACCCACAAACAAAACCTGGAGTCCTAGGGTAGGACCAATGTTTTACTGGAATATCACCTTACCCACAAACAAAACCTGGAGTCCTAGGGTAGGACCAATGTTTTACTGGAATATCACCTTACCCACAAACAAAACCTGGAGTCCTAGGGTAGGACCAATGTTTTACTGGAATATCACCTTACCCACAAACAAAACCTGGAGTCCTAGGGTAGGACCAATGTTTTACTGGAATATCACCTTACCCACAAACAAAACCTGGAGTCCTAGGGTAGGACCAATGTTTTACTGGAATATCACCTTACCCACAAACAAAACCTGGAGTCCTAGGGTAGGACCAATGTTTTACTGGAATATCACCTTACCCACAAACAAAACCTGGAGTCCTAGGGTAGGACCAATGTTTTACTGGAATATCACCTTACCCACAAACAAAACCTGGAGTCCTAGGGTAGGACCAATGTTTTACTGGAATATCACCTTACCCACAAACAAAACCTGGAGTCCTAGGGTAGGACCAATGTTTTACTGGAATATCACCTTACCCACAAACAAAACCTGGAATCCTAGGGTAGGACCAATGTTTTACTGGAATATCACCTTACCCACAAACAAAACCTGGAGTCCTAGGGTAGGACCAATGTTTTACTGGAATATCACCTTACCCACAAACAAAACCTGGAGTCCTAGGGTAGGACCAATGTTTTACTGGAATAACACCTTACCCACAAACAAAACCTGGAGTCCTAGGGTAGGACCAATGTTTTACTGGAATATCACCTTACCCACAAACAAAACCTGGAGTCCTAGGGTAGGACCAATGTTTTACTGGAATATCACCTTACCCACAAACAAAACCTGGAGTCCTAGGGTAGGACCAATGTTTTACTGGAATATCACCTTACCCACAAACAAAACCTGGAGTCCTAGGGTAGGACCAATGTTTTACTGGAATATCACCTTACCCACAAACAAAACCTGGAGTCCTAGGGTAGGACCAATGTTTTACTGGAATATCACCTTACCTTACCCACAAACAAAACCTGGAGTCCTAGGGTAGGACCAATGTTTTACTGGAATATCACCTTACCCACAAACAAAACCTGGAGTCCTAGGGTAGGACCAATGTTTTACTGGAATATCACCTTACCCACAAACAAAACCTGGAGTCCTAGGGTAGGACCAATGTTTTACTGGAATAACACCTTACCCACAAACAAAACCTGGAATCCTTGGGTGGAATATATGCTTCAATTGAATAGCCCTCCATTACCCCTTAACAATCGTGGAGTCCTGGGTGGGATAGATGCTTGAATAGCCCTCCTGACCCTAGATATCTGGAATCTTTGCAATTGTTTTATTATTATTTGCTATTTAAAAGTTGGATCGTTTCCTTTCTTTTCTCTCCTTTCTTCTGTTTTTACTCTTAGAGACATGAAATTTATAAATTCTTCTTACAAAATAGTGATAATAATCTTTAACTTCCAAATAAAACCTGTCAGCTGTTTCTGTTTTTGTTATCAGTACCAAAATCACAAAGACACAACTAAGGAAAGAAAGAAATCTGCATATGAAATTTGAGAAAGACCCATCCTGTACTTAAAAAGAAATAGTGAAAACAAACTTTCATTGGCAGAATCCAAAATGGCCAACTGTTGGCCATTTTGTTTTTATTAATCAGTTTCTGAATCAAATGGGCACAACTAGCAACCCACGGAAACATACAAATGAAAATTGCGACAGAGAAATCAAGTACTTCGAAGAAATAGTGATAACAAAAATTGCCACAAATGGATGAACAATGGACCATATATGGATGACGGTGGCATAAAAAAAGAGCATAGTGTTTCCCCAAGTTGTAAAACAAACCTGATTTCTAGGAAGTCAAACATGCAGTTGGTATGACTCTCCAGCTGGAAGTCTGTGACATTTAGAAGGATCTGGATGTTACTGGGAGCAACAATGGTCCAGATACAATCTCTCTGGTGTGGATAGTTATCAGGAAAGTTAGGACTGGTAATCACCCCTGTACTGGTCGTCAAACTCCTACCGCAAACTGTCGAAGGAAGCAACATAAAGTGAACTGTAAGAAAGTGTTTTGACAAAGATTCAACAAATTACAAACTTCTATGGCAAACTGTCAAAGGAGACTTGCTTCTTTCTTGTATTGTAATGTACAATCCTGTATATTCTGTGTAATGTGATGTACATCCCTGTAAATTCTGTGTAATGTAATGTACATCCTTGTACATTCTGTGTAATGTAATGTACATCCTTATACATTCTGTGTAATGTAATGTACATCTCTGTACATTCTGTGTAATGTAATGTACATCCTTGTACATTCTGTGTAATGTAATGTACATCCTTGTATATTTTGTGTAATGTAATGTACATTCCTGTACATTCTGTGTAATGTAATATACATTCCTGTACATTCTGTGTAATGTAATGTACATCCTTGTACATTCTGTGTAATGTAATGTACATCCCTGTACATTCTGTGTAATGTAATGTACATTCCTATACATTCTGTGTAATGTAATGTACATCCTTGTACATTCTGTGTAATGTAATGTACATCCTTGTACATTCTGTGTAATGTAATGTACATCCTTGTATATTTTGTGTAATGTAATGTACATCCCTGTACATTCTGTGTAATGTAATGTACATCCTTGTACATTGTATATTTTGTGTAATGTAATGTACATTCCTGTACATTCTGTGTAAAGTAATATACAACCTTGTACATTCTGTGCAATGTAATGTACATCCCTGTATATTCTGTGTAATGTAAAGTACAATCCTGTATATTCTGTGTAATGTAATGTACATCACTGTACATTCTGTGTTATGTAATGTACATCCTTGTATATTCTGTGTAATGTAATGTACATCCTTGTACATTCTGTGTAATGTAATGTACATCCTTGTATATTCTGTGTAATGTAATGTACATCCTTGTACATTCTGTGTAATGTAATGTACATCCTTGTACATTCTGTGTAATGTAATGTACATCCTTGTACATTCTGTGTAATGTAATGTACATCCTTGTATATTTTGTGTATGTAATGTACAACCTTGTTTATTTTGTGTAATGTAATGTACATTCCTGTACATTCTGTGTAATGTAATGTACAATCCTGTATATTTTGTGTAATGTAATGTACATCCTTGTATATTCTGTGTAATGTAATGTACATCCCTGTACATTCTGTGTAATGTAATGTACATCCCTGTATATTCTGTGTAATGTAATGTACATCCTTGTACATTCTGTGTAATGTAATGTACATCCTTGTATATTCTGTGTAATGTAATGTACATCCTTGTACATTCTGTGTAATGTAATGTACATTCTTGTACATTCTGTGTAATGTACATCCCTGCATATTCTGTGTAATGTAATGTACATCCTTGTACATTCTGTGTAATGTAATGTACATCCTTGCACATTCTGTGTAATGTAATGTACATCCCTGCACATTCTGTGTAATGTAATGTACATCCTTGTACATTCTGTGTAATGTAATGTACATCCCTGTACATTCTGTGTAATGTAATGTACATCCCTGTAATTCTGTGTAATGTAATGTACATCCTTCTACATTGTATATTTTGTGTAATGTAATGTACATTCCTGTACATTCTGTGTAATGTAATGTACATCCTTGTATATTTTGTGTAATGTAATGTACATCCCTGTACATTCTGTGTAATGTAATGTACATCCTTGTACAATCTGTGTAATGTAATGTACATTCCTGTACATTCTGTGTAATGTAATGTACATCCTTGTATATTTTGTGTAATGTAATGTACATTCCTGTACATTCTGTGTAATGTAATGTACATCCCTGTACATTCTGTGTAATGTAATGTACAATCCTGTACATTCTGTGTAATGTAATGTACATCCTTGTACATTCTGTGTAATGTAATGTACATCCTTGTATATTTTGTGTAATGTAATGTACATTCCTGTACATTCTGTGTAATGTAATGTATATCCCTGCACATTCTGTGTAATGTAATGTACATCCTTGTACATTCTGTGTAATGTAATGTACATCTTGTACATTCTGTGTAATGTAATGTACATCCCTGTACATTCTGTGTAATGTAATGTACATCCTTGTACATTGTATATTTTGTGTAATGTAATGTACATTCCTGTACATTCTGTGTAATGTAATGTACAATCCTGTATATTCTGTGTAATGTAATGTACATCCTTGTACATTCTGTGTAATGTAATGTACATCCTTGTACATTCGGTGTAATGTAATGTACAATCCTGTACATTCTGTGTAATGTAATGTACATCCTTGTACATTCTGTGTAATGTAATGTTCATCCTTGTATATTTTGTGTAATGTAATGTACATCCCTGTACATTCTGTGTAATTTAATGTACATCCTTGTACTTGTATATTTTGTGTAATGTAATGTACATCCCTGTACATTCTGTGTAATGTAATGTACATCCTTGTACATTGTATATTTTGTGTAATGTAATGTACATTCCTGTACATTCTGTGTAATGTAATGTACAACCTTGTACATTCTGTGTAATGTAATGTACACCCCTGTATATTTTGTGTAATGTAATGTACATCCTTGTACATTGTATATTTTGTGTAATGTAATGTACATTCCTGTACATTCTGTGTAATGTAATGTACAACCTTGTACATTGTATATTTTGTGTAATGTAATGTACATTCCTGTACATTCTGTGTAATGTAATGTACATCCCTGTATATTCTGTGTAATGTAATGTACATCCCTGTATATTTTGTGTAATGTAATTTACATCCCTGTATATTCTGTGTAATGTAATGTACATCCTTGTACATTGTATATTTTGTGTAATGTAATGTACATTCCTGTACATTCTGTGTAATGTAATTTACATCCCTGTACATTCTGTGTAATGTAATGTACATCCTTGTACATTGTATATTTTGTGTAATGTAATGTACATCCCTGTATATTTTGTGTAATGTAAATTACATCCCTGTATATTCTGTGTAATGTAATGTACATCCTTGTATATTGTATATTTTGTGTAATGTAATGTACATTCCTGTACATTCTGTGTAATGTAATGTACAACCTTGTACATTGTATATTTTGTGTAATGTAATGTACATTCCTGTACATTCTGTGTAATGTAATGTACATCCTTGTACATTCTGTGTAATGTAATGTACATCCTTGTACATTCTGTGTAATGTAATGTACATCCCTGCACATTCTGTGTAATGTAATGTACATCCTTGTACATTCTGTGTAATGTAATGTACAATCCTGTACATTCTGTGTAATGTAATGTACATCCTTGTACATTCTGTGTAATGTAATGTACAATCCTGTACATTCTGTGTAATGTAATGTACATCCTTGTATATTTTTTGTAATGTAATGTACATCCCTGTACATTCTGTGTAATGTAATGTACATCCTTGTACATTGTATATTTTGTGTAATGTAATGTACATTCCTGTACATTCTGTGTAATGTAATGTACAACCTTGTACATTCTGTGTAATGTAATGTACACCCCTGTATATTCTGTGTAATGTAATGTACATCCTTGTACATTGTATATTTTGTGTAATGTAATGTACATTCCTGTACATTCTGTGTAATGTAATGTACATCCTTGTACATTGTATATTTTGTGTAATGTAATGTACATTCCTGTACATTCTGTGTAATGTAATGTACAACCTTGTATATTGTATATTTTGTGTAATGTAATGTACATTCCTGTACATTCTGTGTAATGTAATGTACAACCTTGTACATTCTGTGTAATGTAATGTACATCCCTGTATATTCTGTGTAATGTAATGTACATCCCTGTATATTTTGTGTCATGTAATTTACATCCCTGTATATTCTGTGTAATGTAATGTACATCCTTGTACATTGTATATTTTGTGTAATGTAATGTACATTCCTTTACATTCTGTGTAATGTAATTTACATCCCTGTACATTCTGTGTAATGTAATGTACATCCTTGTACATTGTATATTTTGTGTAATGTAATTTACATCCCTGTACATTCTGTGTAATGTAATGTACATATTTGTACATTGTATATTTTGTGTAATGTAATGTACATTCCTGTACTTTCTGTGTAATGTAATGTACAACCTTGTACATTGTATATTTTGTGTAATGTAATGTACATTCCTGTACTTTCTGTGTAATGTAATGTACAACCTTGTACATTGTATATTTTGTGTAATGTAATGTACATTCCTGTACATTCTGTGTAATGTAATGTACATCCTTGTACATTCTGTGTAATGTAATGTACAACCTTGTACATTCTGTGTAATGTAATGTACATCCCTGTATATTCTGTGTAATGTAATGTACATCCCTGTATATTCTGTGTAATGTAATGTACATCCCTGTATATTCTGTGTAATGTAATGTACATCCTTGTATATTTTGTGTAATGTAATGTACATTCCTGTACATTCTGTGTAATGTAATGTACATCCCTGTACATTCTGTGTTATGTAATGTACATCCCTGTATATTCTGTGTAATGTAATGTACATCCTTGTATATTTTGTGTAATGTAATTTACATCCCTGCACATTCTGTGTAATGTACATCCTTGTACTTTCTGTGTAATTTAAGTGTTTTTCTGTGTCTTGATAAAGAGCAATTCATCCTTGACCTCCTAAGCAATGACTACCTGCACTTTCCCATTTACTATGCTAACTGTAGAAGTATTTTACATTCCACAACCATCCACAAATTTTGTACATGGTTTAGCTTCAATAATGAACTGTATATTGTCCATTATTGTCTTTATCTGAACCAATGCTTTCTGAACGTCAAACAAGCTCTTCAGTGACAGTAATTTAACATGGGTTAAGTTAGATATTCCAAAGTTGCCACAAAATAGTGGAATTTGTACATGATATTTATATCTGAAGACAATATTACCAGTAGATGCGTTGAGTGTAACATATGAAGCAGTGAATCCTTCATGAGCTATACTGCTATCAGCGCTGAATGTGATTGTCATAACGTTGCTGGTGGAAGTCACGCTTGGTGGGGTCATTCTACCACAATACCTGTAAATCAACATGTACTTCTTTATCAACAAACACATTCAAGGTTTCCATTTTGACCTGATATAGTCACAAATAACTGTCACTAATTTTATTTAGGTCATCTGACCATCATGGATACTGAAAAGATTACTTTGATCCAATCACATTTCAGTCATTCTCGCTTAATGAATTAGTACATTGACAATAAATGCTATTTCGGCAACAAACAGAATCTGCAATTAGGGCAATCCTATTTGAGAACAATACATTTGGAGTGGAAAGTGATTTAAATAATGAGACAATATGCATGTTACAGTCCGTCATATGACAGACTTAATTTTATTTGAAAATCAGAAATGCAGCAAAAAATATAATTAAGTTTCAGCAGAGTACAAAAGTTTAAACTGTCACAAGACAGAAATGATTGATTTTTGTTTGAACTATATATATAATTTATTCCAAATAATGGAAGGTTTAAGACAGAACACAAATTTAATTAATTTTTTGTACATTTAAAGTATTTATATAACTAACTTATCAAAGATGTAAAGTGTTCGTATATTTGTATCATGATTAATTTCAACCTTATCTATACAAGATTATACAATTCTGAATAGAAACTGACTTTGTCTTAATATTCCAGAATTTATCATTAATTCCAAATATCCAAAGTCATCATCTGAAACATACGCCAAGGCCTCTATCATGTAGCCCAGTTACACAGAACAACACCACGATAAATGAACAACATGTACTGGACGTTGGAACAGATACATGTAGAGTTCAAAATGTACAGATTCATAATTTCCTGTCAAAGATAAGACAATAAACGCAAAATAAAATACCAGCCATTTCAACTCATACTTAAAATTTCAGGAAATATATGTGTATTCAGCAAGTAAGCTTCGGAGAGGTACGGCTTGTCCTCTCGTTTCGAAGAGGTATGGCTTGTCCTCTCGTTTCAGAGAGGTATGGCTTATCCTCTCGTTTTGGAGAGGTACGGCTTGTCCTCTTGTTTCATAGTGGTATGGCTTATCATCTTAATCTGAACTTGCCAAATATTCCTCAGTTTAGCCTCAGTCCTGATATGTATCAAGCATTTCTCTTGCATGTTCAGCAAGTCCAGCCATTTGAACGGCTTACGGAAAAGCAACCTGACCTATACAGCTGAGCTTTCTCAGTCTTTGCCTTTTTAGAAGTACAACTTCTGTAGTCAGTGAAACAGTTTCTTTGCGTTCACGTTTTTTCAAATAAGCAAGTCACTTGATCAGCCATATGCTTCCATCCAAGTCAACAAGTGTGTTGAATTTAAGTTAATTTAACATAGTCTGCACTTGTTGTAAAAAATGCTAAATTCATAATTAATCTGCAAACCTTTGGTATTGAAGTCACAAAGAGCAGGTCTTACCTTCCAATACGACTGCTTTCTATGGCTGATGAGTTATCATATACATCCACGTAATCAAAGTAGCAGGTCGCACTGCTACTGCCCTCTAGTGTGAAGGAATTAAAGGAAAGTCTGATGATGAAGCCCGGACTAACAATGATCCTCCAGGTACAGTTGGCCCCATGGGGATATGTGTTAGGGTGGCCAGGGCTCTGGATACTGCCACTATGATCCGTCAACTCACCACCACAAGCTATACAGAGAAAACCATGATCAAATCTTTGTAATAAATGCCCTGAAATTTTATTATGATAACTCAACAAACTAGAATACCACTGAAGCTGATGAATGCTCCCCAAAATGACTTAATTGGACACAAAATTTAATCAAAGGCCCTTAATTTGGTATACTGCACATTCTCTTAGTATGACCAATGTATACACCAAATTTTAATCACTCCTTAATTATAGGGAGTTTTAGTTCTTGTACACTTCTCCTTATTGAGATCTATCTACCTATGTCCTTGTTGAGATCTATCTACCTATGTCCTTGTTGAGATCTATCTACCTATGTCCTTATTGAGATCTATCTACCTATGTCCTTGTTGAGATCTATCTACCTATGTCCTTGTTGAGATCTATCTACCTATGTCCTTGTTGAGATCTATCTACCTATGTCCTTGTTGAGATCTATCTACCTATGTCCTTGTTGAGATCTATCTACCTATGTCCTATGTCCTTGTTGAGATCCTTGTTGAGATCTACCTATGTCCTATGTCCTTGTTGAGATCTATCTACCTATGTCCTTATTGAGATCTATCTACCTATGTCCTTGTTGAGATCTATCTACCTATGTCCTTGTTAGTCTATCTACCTATGTCCTTGTTGAGATCTATCTACCTATGTCCTTGTTGAGATCTATCTACCTATGTCCTTGTTGAGATCTATCTACCTATGTCCTTGTTGAGATCTATCTACCTATGTCCTTGTTGAGATCTACCTATGTCCTTGTTGAGATCTATCTACCTATGTCCTTGTTGAGATCTATCTACCTATGTCCTTGTTGAGATCTATCTACCTATGTCCTTGTTGAGATCTATCTACCTATGTCCTTATTGAGATCTATCTACCTATGTCCTTGTTGAGATCTATCTACCTATGTCCTTATTGAGATCTATCTACCTATGTCCTTGTTGAGATCTATCTACCTATGTCCTTGTTGAGATCTATCTACCTATGTCCTTATTGAGATCTATCTACCTATGTCCTTGTTGAGATCTATCTACCTATGTCCTTATGTCTATTGTTGAGATCTATCTACCTATGTCCTTGTTGAGATCTATCTACCTATGTCCTTGTTGAGATCTATCTACCTATGTCCTTGTTGAGATCTATCTACCTATGTCCTTGTTGAGATCTATCTACCTATGTCCTTGTTGAGATCTATCTACCTATGAAGTGTCATGTTGGTACCTCTTATAGATTTGTAATATGCTGCAAACAAAATTATGATGAACGGACAGATGGACAGACAAGCTTAACACTAACACAAATTTACTGTAGCTAGATCCTGTTTGTAATGTTTTCTGAGGCGAGATTTATCTAACTATATCATCATTGTGGGTTTCAAGTTTTGGCCAAAAATTCTGACACATTTGATCCTTGTGATCTAAATAAATTCGATTAAACACCATGTCCAGAGCCTCTCCATTATTCTGAAGGTGCATTCAATGGAAAAATTTAATGCCATATAAATGGATATCAAACAACTGCATACTTAGCTTCACTTCTTTAAGGAAGATTGAGCTAATCAAGACACACATTTAAAATTGAATCTAAAGATTTTAATTGCCTAATGTGACCTTGACATTTGACCCTTCAATTGAAAGTTTGATAGGGTTTGCCATTCGGTAAATAAAAAGAAGCATGTCGGGATGAATTCTCAACAGAACATTCTTCCCTTGAAATTGTGCTGAAAACTAATTCTATACTTTTTTCCTGTACATTTCTATGAGAGACATGGTAAAACAATGATGATAACAAAGGACAACAACTATTTTTAAAGAAAAAAAGAATCTTGGGAAAATAAGGAAAGGTATACTTCCATGGTGGATATAACTTACGAGCTACATAAGAGACATATGATGCCAAGAATCCCAGATTCTGTACGGAAGAATCAGTCACAAATTTCACCCTCATAGAACTCTGCGTTGTAGTCACAGGGTCAGGTATATCAGACCCACAAAAGTGGCCGAGAAGTGGGGATGTATCTGAAGTCCCGTCTCGTATCTACAAACATCAAAAACCAACAATATCAGTTCTATATAACAGCCTCAGATTGGGGATGTTCCTGAAGTCCTATCTCGCACTTACAAACATGACCACAAATCAATGCTACAAAAGTAACTCGGAATTCAGGGTGTTTCTGTTCTACTGTCTCATATCTACAAAACATCAAAGGCAAAAATGCTGACAAATGTAAAGCAATGTTTTTATGTACAGCAAAATTAAATTGTCCTGATCCTAAAATTTACAGGATAACAAAAATTGTTACGAAAGGAACAGTTACCTTCACATTTGTAGACTGACAATCAAACGTAAACTAAATCATTGGATACATGTATCTATGTATGGAATAATCGGGACATACCTCTACATAGTCAAATAAACATGTCGTTCCTGAGATTCCCTCAACATCAAATGCAGAGAAGGTCAAGGTCACAATATTTCCATAGGGTTGGTCAATAGAATAGACACATTCCTTGTTTTCTGGGTATGCATTTGGGTAGTAAGGAGACTGTAGAGATCCTTGAAGAGCAGTAAACAACCCACCACAAGCTGAAATATAGAGAAAAAACTAAATGTCCAATCATGAGCTGAAATACTGAGAGAAAAATATACTTTCCACAACCTGAAATACAGACAGAGCAATGAATGTCCCTCCACAAGCTGTAATACAGACAGAGCACTGAATACCCCTCCACAACCTGAAATACAGACAGAGCGCTGAATACCCCTCCACAAGCTGTAATACAGACAGAGTGCTGAATACCCCTCCACAAGCTGTAATACAGACAGAGCACTGAATACCCCTCCACAAGCTGTAATACAGAGCACTGAATACCTCTCCACAAGCTGTAATACAGAGCACTGAATACCCCTCCACAAGCTGTAATACAGACAGAGCGCTGAATACCCCTCCACAAGCTGTAATACAGACAGAGCACTGAATACCCCTCCACAAGCTGTAATACAGACAGAGCACTGAATACCCCTCCACAAGCTGTAATACAGACAGAGCACTGAATACCCCTCCACAAGCTGTAATACAGACAGAGCGCTGAATACCCCTCCACAAGCTGTAATACAGACAGAGCACTGAATACCCCTCCACAAGCTGTAATACAGACAGAGCGCTGAATACCCCTCCACAAGCTGTAATACAGACAGAACATTGAATACCCCTCCACAAGCTGTAATACAGACAGAACATTGAATACCCCTCCACAAGCTGTAATACAGACAGAGCGCTGAATACCCCTCCACAAGCTGTAATACAGACAGAGCACTGAATACCCCTCCACAAGCTGTAATACAGACAGAGCACTGAATACCCCTCCACAAGCTGTAATACAGACAGAGCACTGAATACCCCTCCACAAGCTGTAATACAGACAGAGCATTGAATACCCCTCCACAAGCTGTAATACAGACAGAGCACTGAATACCCCTCCACAAGCTGTAATACAGACAGAGCACTGAATACCCCTCCACAAGCTGTAATACAGACAGAGCACTGAATACCCTTCGATATGTTGAAATAAAGACAGGGTAGTGTTTGTCCCAAACAAATTATTGAATTATTATTTTTCTATGTAATATCGATGCTTAATTTGCAAATAGTGAAGAAAATCAGACTGACACTGCTTGGCCTGTGCTTTTGTTGCTATTTTACATATATATATATATATATATATACATTACAGCAGTTCTTAAGGAATACAAAGTGTTGAAGGTGTTGTTTTATACCTGTAGTCCACTCCACACGGAAGCCACGGTTATGTATTGATCCATCAGTTCTGAATTCTATGAACATGACATTTCCTGATGATGTCAGAGGAGATGGAATGCTGGTTCCACAGTAACGACTAAACAGTCGGGAATTTTCATCACTGCCATCTCGTACCTGAGAAAAAAACTCTGGTTAGGTCAAATAACTTCCATTCTGATGACCTTGCAAGGTGCTGTAAATCACTTTTATGCAACACTAATATGCAGGAAGAGTCAATCGCAAATTCAAATCCTTCATGACTCTTTGTATGAATATAACTCTAAATGACATCCATGCTGATTCAGTTACCAATATCAGAGTTCCTATATCTAACAGCCTCTCATTTATGAATTTAAATCATTTCTACATCAGGTTCATAAAATCATTTCGGAGATATGTTAGAACAGGTAATTTCACAATATACAGTATTAGAACAATCTAAGTGTTTCACAGTACTACAGAAGTTATAGCAAGACTTAAACTGCATCTCCTTGTCCACATAACCCTTATTGTCTTAAACAAAAACAAGATGAATCTCCACTCCTGATGCTGGGTTAGTCTGTAGTCCTTCCTACAGCTTGACTCTTTAAATGTTTCTGTCAAAAGTCTTATCCCGTTTGAGAAAGCAACAATAGTATTGATGCATTTTTAAAAGTGGAAAGTATGAAAAATTTGACACTTTAATTCAGAGAATCAGTAAAAATTAAGATCTGGAATAAAGTTCATTTTAAAATAGCCTCCCTAACCATAAAATAACTGGCATAAATACATCTGTAGTAGAGTGGAATAACTCCATCTTATCTACCTCAACAAAGTCGTAAGAACAGCTGAGTGGAATAAATCCATCTTATCTACCTCAACAAAGTCGTAAGAACAGCTGAGTGGAATAAATCCTTCTTATCTACCTCAACAAAGTCGTAAGAACAGCTGAGTGGAATAAATCCATCTTATCTACCTCAACATAGTCGTAGGAACAGCTGAGTGGAATAAATCCATCTTATCTACCTCAACATAGTCGTAGGAACAGCTGAGTGGAATAAATCCATCTTATCTACCTCAACATAGTCGTAGGAACAGCTGAGTGGAATAAATCCATCTTATCTACCTCAACATAGTCGTAAGAACAGCTGAGTGGAATAAATCCATCTTATCTACCTCAACATAGTCGTAGGAACAGCTGAGTGGAATAAATCCATCTTATCTACCTCAACATAGTCGTAGGAACAGCTGAGTGGAATAAATCCTTCTTATCTACCTCAACATAGTCGTAAGAACAGCTGAGTGGAATAAATCCTTCTTATCTACCTCAACATAGTCGTAGGAACAGCTGAGTGGAATAAATCCATCTTATCTACCTCAACATAGTCGTAGGAACAGCTGAGTGGAATAAATCCATCTTATCTACCTCAACATAGTCGTAAGAACAGCTGAGTGGAATAAATCCATCTTATCTACCTCAACATAGTCGTAGGAACAGCTGAGTGGAATAAATCCATCTTATCTACCTCAACATAGTCGTAAGAACAGCTGAGAGTGGAATAAATCCATCTTATCTACCTCAACATAGTCGTAGGAACAGCTGAGTGGAATAAATCCATCTTATCTACCTCAACATAGTCGTAAGAACAGCTGAGTGGAATAAATCCATCTTATCTACCTCAACATAGTCGTAGGAACAGCTGAGTGGAATAAATCCATCTTATCTACCTCAACATAGTCGTAGGAACAGCTGAGAGTGGAATAACTCCATCTTAACTACCTCAACAAAGTCGTAGGAACAGCTGAGAGTGGAATAAATCCATCTTATCTACCTCAACATAGTCGTAGGAACAGCTGAGAGTGGAATAACTCCATCTTAACTACCTCAACATAGTCGTAGGAACAGCTGAGTGGAATAACTCCATCTTATCTACCTCAACATAGTCGTAGGAACAGCTGAGTGGAATAAATCCATCTTATCTACCTCAACATAGTCGTAGGAACAGCTGAGTGGAATAAATCCATCTTATCTACCTCAACATAGTCGTAGGAACAGCTGAGTGGAATAAATCCATCTTATCTACCTCAACATAGTCGTAAGAACAGCTGAGTGGAATAAATCCATCTTATCTACCTCAACATAGTCGTAGGAACAGCTGAGTGGAATAAATCCATCTTATCTACCTCAACATAGTCGTAGGAACAGCTGAGAGTGGAATAAATCCATCTTATCTACCTCAACATAGTCGTAAGAACAGCTGGGAGTGGAATAAATCCATCTTATCTACCTCAACATAGTCGTAAGAACAGCTGAGAGTGGAATAAATCCATCTTATCTACCTCAACATAGTCGTAGGAACAGCTGGGAGTGGAATAAATCCATCTTATCTACCTCAACATAGTCGTAAGAACAGCTGAGAGTGGAATAAATCCATCTTATCTACCTCAACATAGTCGTAGGAACAGCTGAGAGTGGAATAAATCCATCTTATCTACCTCAACATAGTCGTAGGAACAGCTGAGTGGAATAAATCCATCTTATCTACCTCAACATAGTCGTAGGAACAGCTGAGTGGAATAAATCCATCTTATCTACCTCAACATAGTCGTAAGAACAGCTGAGAGTGGAATAAATCCATCTTATCTACTCAACATAGTAATAGGAACAGCTGAGAGTGGAATAACTCCATCTTAACTACCTCAACATAGTCGTAGGAACTGCTGAGTGGAATAAATCCATCTTATCTACCTCAACATAGTCGTAAGAACAGCTGAGTGGAATAAATCCATCTTATCTACCTCAACATAGTAATAGGAACAGCTGAGTGGAATAAATCCATCTTATCTACCTCAACATAGTCGTAAGAACAGCTGAGAGTGGAATAAATCCATCTTATCTACCTCAACATAGTCGTAAGAACAGCTGAGTGGAATAAATCCTTCTTATCTACCTCAACATAGTCGTAAGAACAGCTGAGAGTGGAATAACTCCATCTTATCTACCTCAACAAAGTTGTAAGAACAGCTGAGTGGAATAAATCCTTCTTATCTACCTCAACATAGTCGTAAGAACAGCTGAGAGTGGAATAACTCCATCTTAACTACCTCAACATAGTCGTAAGAACAGCTGAGTGGAATAAATCCTTCTTATCTACCTCAACATAGTCGAACTGTTGAGAGTGGAATAAATCCAACTTATCTACTTCAACATAGTTGTAAGAACAGCTGAGAGGAATAAATCTGTCTTATCTACCTCAACATAGTCGAAGGAACAGCCACCGTGCTCCAGGGCCATATCTGTAAATGTCAGGGTAATACTATCCCCTGTAGACACAGTGATAGTCCAGGCACAGTATCCATTGTGGTCGTAATAATTTGGATAGTTCGGGGAGGTAATCACACCTGTCTCTCCTGTCAGTTGTCCTCCACACTGGTCACCAGCTGATAATAAATGTTCCAATTTTATAACAATCAGACATCCGTCACCATCAAATGTAAAATTTTAAAGCTAATAGTGAAGAAATATTACTCAGATTCTGATATTGTGAGGTAAGATGTTGTTTTAAGACAATTCATAAATCTCAAAGTTAACATGTGAAACAGTATTGAGTATTCCATAATTTAACAGGATCATAAATATGTATTTTGGCAGTAATCTCATTTTAGCACTTTTCATGTGATGGATTCGGTGCTAAAAGCTCTTCTTGCAGTTTGTGTATGTTGTTACCATAGATACAAACAGACGCTGGAAGACTAGTGATCAGAATAGCCCACCATAACCAGACAGTAGGCTAATAAAAGAAAAATTAACAATGAAAAATTCACTTTTAAAAATCTAACAATATATTTGAAGATCACATCAATACCATCTTAATTGTGATAGGCATCCTGTAACAAGATGTAGTTCTGGTTAGACACAAAGTCTCAGAACTAAACTAAACAGTCACAAACCATTTACTGCTTTACATCATATTAATGCCACTGAAAGGTGACTGCTTCCTTGTAACTGCTCCATGTAGATCTTAAACCCATGACCCAGAGGTGGAGGGCAAGTGAATAAGATAAAGGTGTTAACCACTGGACCACTGAGGCCCTTGTTTTTTTCAAGGAATAACCAAGCATTATAAGGGATGTAAATGTTCGAGATTTTACTCTCACCAGAAATTGCCACATAAGTGATATGGAATCCACGATCTGTCAGCATGGAATCAGAATGAAACTTGACAAATGCGTTTGGGCCTGTGGTAGATAGAGGGGGTGGCTGAGACGTGTTACAGTATCGTTGCAATATCTGAGATGTAGGGAAAGGACCATCTCGAATCTAAACAAATATAAAAGAATATTGTTATCACATTGTATGAGAGACACATATCTGAACAAAAGTAAAAGTATCACAGCTATTGTCATCTCATTAAAAGCCGGATTATCAAAGTCTACGTTATCTAAGTAATGTCAGACCTGTGTGTTTACATCCTGTCAGCATTTCACTGACACAATTTCAATACTACATGCTGACAGCATTTTCACTAATAGATATTTAACAATGCAGTTTTGTCCATCGCTACTTTTGTAGAAGTTTACTAACCTCCAAATAGTCATAGCTACAGTTGGGATGCGACTCCATAGCCAAGGCTGCAAACGTAAACATGATATTATTACCAGGAGGAACAGAGACCTCCCAGGAACAAGTACTGTCATGTGGGTAGTTGCCAGGGTAACCAGGACTGTTGATACTTCCATGAGTTTGGTTGGCTAAACGTCCACCACAGACTGAAACAAAAAAAAAGTTTTATAAACTTTCTAAGGGGATTTTCATTTGACATGTTTACACAGAAGAAGTAATTTGGGTGTATTTTACACACAATGGGGCACAGAGTTATACAGAAAGAAGTAATTTGAGTGTATTTTACACACAATGGGGCACAGAGTTATACAGAAAGAAGTAATTTGGGTGTATTTTACACACAAGGGGGCACAGAGTTGATACAGAAAGAAGATATTTGAGTGTATTTTACACACAAGGGGGCACAGAGTTTATACAGAAAGAAGTAATTTGGGTGTATTTTACACAAAATGGGGCACAGAGTTGATACAGAAAGAAGTAATTTGGGTGTATTTTACACAAAAGGGTGCACAGAGTTGATACAGAAAGAAGTAATTTGGGTGTATTTTACACAAAAGAAAGAGTTTATACAGAAAGACGTAATTTGAGTGTATTTTACACACCAGGGGGGACTGAAATCCAAGTGGCAGAAAATCCTTCATCAGTAACGGAGGCATCTGTGAAAAACCACAAGTACATCTGGTGTTGAGTGGTGTTGATTGGCTGACCATTGTTCGGAAGGGTGGAGCCACAGTACCTCCCCAGAGCATAGGAGGCAGCTGTGGGCCCATCGTTTATCTGTAAAAAGTCGTAGCCACATGTGGTGTGGGCCTCCACATTGAAGGAGGTGAAGGTCAGACTCACGATCTGAAACATATATTCACATCCTGGATTATGTTATATAAATCAGTGACCTTTGTAGACAGGTATTCTTTAGAGATTGATGGCCCTATAAACAAGTGACCCTTTATACCGTTAACCCTATATACAAGTTACCCTATAGACAGTTGACCTTTTGAGGTAGGTGACCTTTATAGACAGGCATTCTTTATAGACATAGGGCCCTATAATTAGATGATCCTATAAACAGAACTATAGACAGGTGACCCAAGAGACAAGTGACCTTTTGAGGTAGGTGACCTTTATAGACAAGTAATATTTATAGAGAGATGGCCCCATAGACAGGTTATGCTATTAGATGACCTATGTACAGGTGACCTTTAGAGGCAGGTTACCATTATAGAGAATCTTTATAGAAGTGACACTGTAGATAAGTTGCTCTGACCTATACACCTACCACATTGAGTGTTGTGGTGTTGTGGTTATTATCATCTATTTAATTTACAACAATAATGAAACAGATTACATCAACTAATGTCAATCACTCCTCTTGACCAGGAGAGAAATGCATTTCCACAATCATATTCTCAAACAGAGCAAAATCAAAACAGGATGAATGTTTGACATTCTGAATAAAATATAAACATATACATATTTAAGGGCAAATTTAACAATGGATATAATTGAAGTGTTTTTGATTTTAGAGGGTGGAAATAACCCTAGGTAAATGTTTGCAGTATACAGTTTGTCAGATTGTAGAGAATTGAACCCTGGTCACTTGTATAGAAAGATGAGTGCTACCACCATGTATCACCATAGGCAATCAAGACTAGTAATAATTATGATTTTTATCTGTGTTTTATACAATCCATTCTACACCATGTAATGAGAAACCTTTGAAGGAAGAAGACTAAGAGAGATAACTCTAACTGCTATCAGAAAGGTGAATGTTTACAAGAGGGACTGTGATTATACATTCGTATATGGATAATTATAAATCAAATTCTCAAAAAAAAAAAAAAAAAAATTAGTGAGGAAAATAAATATTAAATGAGAGAATGTGTGTAACGAGGGTAGTGAAACCTTCTCCATTTATATGGATAGGATACAATTATAATTCACTTCAGGTAGGTGAGTCCAAACTTTACATCATTAAAATATATATTTCACATTTTTATAATGAACTAGGTCTTATTTATATACATATAAAATATCTTAAATATACATTGATTAATGTAACATTAATTTATATTTAGAATAACATTTTGTTTGGTTTCAACACCATACATAATTAGTATAATTACATATATTTGGTTTGAGAGAAGATAACGTTTGACAATTCCGGGTTTTCGAGTCCGGGTTTCTACTTTTATTATAGTCTCTATATTATCACTTCCGGTAAGGTTATAGACTTCCGGTATGTCGGGCAGAGTGATCTTGTATCATTAAATGTACTATGTTTGTAGTAGAGCGAGCAAGGTATTCATGTTGAGTAGCTGTTTAAAATTTGAAACAAAGACGAGAGAGTAAGTTAGAAAGTATGTCTAAGGAAAAGTTTACTGAAAAGGGGAGAGGGTTGTTCGGGAGAGTCCAGGCACGTCATCACTGTAACTGTCGGTGGGATATCGATGTCGGGTAATATAAAAATAGCAACCATGAATGTTAGAGGGCTGTACTAAGATCAGTACAAGAGGAGAGATGTCTTTCATTGGTTCAAAAACAAACGTGCCGATATCATTTGTTTACAAGAGACACAGTACAGATAAAGTAGAAAAACTACGGGAACGGGTTACGAATGTGTTTTTAATAGTTTTAATTCTAGATCTGCTGGTGTTGCCATTCTAATGAGGAACAGTTTTGAATATATTTTACATAGAAATAGAGTAGATAGTGAAGGCAGGATTATTTTTTGTGATATCTCTATCAATAATGTAAGATTCATACTTGTGAATATTTATGGTCCCAACTATGATACTCCAAATTTTTACAGTAATTTATTAGAGTGTTAACAATGAAAATTATCTGTCAATATTATGTAGTGATTGGAATACGGTACAGGATAGGAATTTGGATACATGTAACATTATTGAAAATAAGAACCCAAAATGTAGGCAAGCTATTCATAATATTATTGATGCATGTATTCTTGTTGATCCATGGAGAAGTTTTAACCCAGAGTCAAAGGCCTTTACATGGAGGCAAAAAACACCTGTTAGACAGAGTCGGTTAGATTACTTTCTAGTGTCAGAAGAGATATATGCTAGGACAAAAGATACTAACATAATTTCAGGATATAAATCAGATCACTCTTGTGTTACTATTCAGTTAAATTTTAACAACCCTCCTAGAGGTAAGGGATATTGGAAACATAATTCAAAGTTATTGGAAGATGGGGAGTATATTGAAAAAGTGAAAATATGCATTAATGAGATAATAGATGAATACTATGTTTCTGGTGATAGGGAGAATTTGGAGGAGGTGACTTTCAGAACAAATGATCAAATGTTATTTGAAGTTTTGAAAATGAAACTCCGAACTATGACTATTGCCTATTCTATAGCTAAATCAAAAACAAGAAAACTTGAAGAAAAAAAATTTGAATCAGAAATTGAAACATTAGAAGAAAGAATTAACATTGAGTCAAGCAGTGAAGTTTATGAAACTCTGGAAGGGAAGAAAAATCCATAAGAAAATATCTGTAGGCAAAAAACAGAGAGTCTTAGTTTTAGATAAAAGGTAAATTGGTACGAATGTGGCCAGGTGAACTATTTCACCTAATCCAATAATGTATTTTATTTTTCAGTTAATTTACTGTATTTTACATTAGTGTACATGTAGGTCAAGTTGTGTATTGTAAAGTTATTATGCAAATTAAGGTCTAAGTATATATTGACAAATTTTTAGTGTATAATTGCAGTGCACCTGTATAATGTGTAATGCAGAGTAGGAACTTGTTATATCTATATACAGGTACTGGTGATGTATATGGAAAGTGGTAGCCACTTAATGGAGTATCAATGTTGTATATGTTCTATGTATAGGTATGGTCATGTGACCTACCCACCTGAGTATTGTCCAGTATTACCTGTACTGTCCATGTCTTGTCTGCACGATATTTGTATGTAATGTCCATAACTAACTTGACCGTTGACATGACCTTTCATTTTATTGGCTGTATTTTTGGAGGGAAAGTTCTTTGTGTAAATTGTCAGAAGGAAAAGAGCCTTAGTTGGAGATAGGTGTGTTTCTCACCTCTTATAATAATGTGATATATACAGAAACTAAACTCTTTTTGGTACTTATCCTGGTAGATCGGGTTAAGGCGTATGATCCTCAACCCATAGTCGAGGTAAGCACAATAGCTTATTTTAGTGTAACTTACATTTCGTACTTTAATTTATATGTGAAATGTGATTGTGTACTATTAATAGCCGGCCAGTGAATTCTATTGTTTCATAGTTCATGTTGTAAATTGTATATTTGATCAATGTAAGGTAGATATGGATCATATCCACTATTTTGATAATTTCTATATATCTGTATGTGTGTTTTTTATAGTTGGGCAAGTGGATTATCTCCCCTTGTGGTATCAGATATATAGGGGTAATACTTGTCTTTGTTTTATTATACACATGTATGTTATTTACCACTGACAAGTAAATCTATGTATAAGATAGTGCTATTGATAGTAGGTTTGTATTGTTATCATTGTGTTAAGACCTGTATTTTTAATTGTGTATTGTAGGTTCAATCTTTTTATGCTACTGCTTGAATTATATAGATTGCGGGTGGTAAAGCTCAATAAACGAACGAACCCGACCTGGTTGTCCTAGTCATTTCTTAGACCCATGTGCAACCCGGTTACACAAATATGGGGAAAAGAACTCAAAATATTTTTGCAGTCTGGAAAAAAGGAATTATATAAATAAAACAATTACTGAATTAATATCTGATAGTGATAATGTTATAGATAAGCCTGAGGACATTTTAAATGAAGAAGCATCCTTTCATAACAGACTTTATTCTTCTCTTGTTCAAGATTCACATAGACTTGATTTTTCCACTTTTTCAACATGTTAAGTTAAATGAAGAGCAGAAGAAGGGATGTGAAGGGCTACTAACACTTAGAGAACTGTCCCTAGCTCTCAAGAATATGAAAAATGGGAAAACACCTGGGTCGGATGGATTTAATTCTATAAATTTTTTTGGAAAAATTTAGGTAAACTAGTTTGTAGGTCCATTAATTATGCATATTCGGTAGGGAAATTGTCTGACTTTCAATCACAGGGAATAATAACATGCATACCTAAAGAAAATAAAGATAGACGATATATAAAAAACTGGCGTCACATATCATTGTTAAATGCAGATTACAAAATTGCTTCAGCTGCCATAGCAAACAGATTAAAGGGTGTGTTACCATCGATTATAAGTGAAACACAGACAGTGTTTATTAAGGAAAGATTGATAGGGGATAGTACTAGGCAATTATATGATGTTATGCATTTCTTCGAGGAAAACAACAAACATGGTTTATTGTATCTTCTTGATTTTGAAAAGGCCTTTGATTCGGTTGATTGGGATTTTTTAGACAAAGCTTTAGGAAGTTTCAATTTTGGTTCATCTGTTCGTAAATGGTTAACTCTTTTTTACTTCAACTCTAAAAGCTGTGTTATCAATAATGGTAATCTTTCTCATTTCTTCAAATTGGGAAGAGGCTGTCGTCAAGGCGACCCGATATTTCCCAACATCTTTGTTATTGGGATTGAGCTACTTTCGTTAATGATAAAGTCTAACCAAAGGATTGGGGCTCTTACCATTGTTGACAAAAGGTATTACTAGGACAATACACAGATGATGCAAATCTCCTGTTAGATGGTAAAAGTGAATCACTATACGAAGCTGTACATATACTTGAAGATTTTTCTGTGATATCCGGTTTAAAAGCAAATTCAGCAAAGTCCCGACTTTATTGGATAGACAATAAGAAATTCTCAGTTGAAATCATTTGTCCAGACCTAAACCTAACTTGGTCAACTGAAAATTTTAGACTTCTAGGTATCACATTCTCCTTGAATCTGGATGAGATGGAAGAAATAAATTATGAAGATACTTTGAATCAGGTTGAAAAAAATGCTAAGGTTTTAGGTAGTACCAGATTTAACTATTATCGGCAGAATAAATGTATTGAAAACACTTGTTATACCTAAGTTTGTACACTTATTTAGTGTTCTGCCTAATCCGTCAACAGAATTTTTTAATAGAATGAATAGAGTATTCTATAGATTTATCTGGAATTCAAATACAGAGAAAGTTAAAAGGGACACTTTGGTAGCATTATATGATAAAGGTGGCCTAAACATGACACACATTTTAGCTTTTATTAAATATATGAAAGTTAGATGGATAAAGAGATACTATTCAGATGTAGATAGTGGCTGGAAATCTTTTTTAAAACACATATTGAAAATAGATCCCGAGGTGCTCTTTCACTTGGATGCAGGAAAGTTGAGGGAGAAAGCAAAAAATGTAAAAAACAAATTCTGGTGTTTTGTATTATTATCTTTAGCAGAATTAAAATGTCCACCAAATTCTCTTGAAGAATTTTTAGCTTAGATTTAACCTATGTCGTACCTCTCCAAAAAGTAAACCACTGTATCCTGTGGAGAAATTTTGGTCTGCATATGGTTAATGATTAATTTATAAGTGGACTACCCAAACCTTGGGAAGAGCTCAGGCATGTGGTGCATTTAAATTTTATTGAATACCATGCAGTTTTTCAGAAAATAAATAGAAATTGGAAATACGAATATAGAATTGCTTTTGTGAATGGTGAAACAATTACTCCAATCAAAAAAGATATTGTTCAGAAAATGTTAGAATTGAAAGTCCAAAAATTCATATACAAGCTTTTTGTAAACAGTATAAAACATGTACCCCTAAGACTCAGGAAAAGTGGAAGAATGCTCGGTTACTTGATGAATTTGATTTTGAAAATATTTATAATGTTGCATTTCGTTGTACACAAGAGACTAAGTTACAAGCCTTTCAGAATAAGATTAATCATCATAAACTGATGACAAACTCAAAATTTTTTAAAATAAAAATTACAGAGAGTAATCTGTGTACTTTTTGTAACAGAGAAGAAGAAACAATAGAGCATATTCTTTATTTCTGTTTTTACTCCAATGTGGTGATAGAAGAATTTTGTTCATGGTATTCTGATTATGATGATCAACATGTAGGTGTTCTGCGATATCTTGATTCTTTTTCTTTTAATACTTAAATACTACATCCATTACTGTAGAAGCAATGATGTTGTTCCTACTTTTACTGCATAAAAGACCAGATTCAGAAAAACTCTGGAAATGGAATTCTTTATAGCAAAACAAACAGGCTGACTTGGCAAATTTCATCGAAAATGGGGGGCTTTTGTCAATGCTCTGAGACATGAACCAGTGGGGGGGCAGATCATATCATGTTGTTAAGTACAGTCTTTTTATATTTGTCATGTTTATATTTACCATGTAATTTACCAACTCTAAAGATTTTGTCGTGTCTGGACTCTCTCCTAGTGAGTAAAAAATGTAAGAGGACATTTGACATTCAATGTGATGTATGTGTGTGGGTATGAGTTTTGAGAATCTGTATGTGTGTTAGTTTGAGAATCTGTATGTGTGCATGACCTGTGGGTGTGTGTAAGATGCAGGTACCAGCTGTACATATGGTTAAACTATAGTATGATTACACAGGCCCAGATTGTACGTACTTTCCCTTAAAGGAGTACATGCACCTTATTAATATATAACGTGTGATCAGTGCATAATTTGGTGTGTGGATCTGTTGTTGTGTAAACAAGTGTAGGCCACTGTATATGTGTGTTAATCCATACCTGTGTTAAGCGAATATAGCATCAGTGAGTATGTATTCTATTTAGGTATCTACATAGTAAAATATTTGAAGGATGAATGTGTGAAGCGGTGTGTGAGAGCCCCCCTGTGAGAGGACACAATTTGTTTATGAAGGCTGACCCAAAGGCCCCAATGGATCTTGGCAGTCTGCCAATATAATCATGAATAAATGTCTTGGGGGGGGGGGGGGGGGGGGGGGAGAAAAAAAGGTGTAATGTTGGGTACATATGGTGATCAGCTGGCTTATATATAGGTGATCTTTATAGATCACTATAGACAGGTGAGTTTTATCAACATATTATCTTATTGACAAGGGACCTTTATAAACATGTGATCCTATATAAATACAAGGTAATCTTTATAGACAGGTGGTCCTATATAAATACAAGGTAATCTTTATAGACAGGTGGTCCTATATAAATACAAGGTAATCTTTATAGACAGGTGGTCCTATATAAATACAAGGTAATCTTTATAGACAGGTGGTCCTATATAAATACAGGGTAATCTTTATAGACAGGTGGTCCTATATAAATACAGGGTAATCTTTATAGACAGGTGGTCCGATATAAATACAAGGTAATCTTTATAGACAGGTGGTCCTATATAAATACAAGGTATATAGGTGGTCCTATATAAATACAAGGTAATCTTTATAGACAGGTGGTCCTATATAAATACAAGGTAATCTTTATAGACAGGTGGTCCTATATAAATACAAGGTAATCTTTAGAGACAGGCCACTCTATATATAGATGACCTTTATAAACAAGAGACCCTATATAATGTAAACTTTTTGACAGGTGAGCCTACATATGGAAGATTTCAGTTTCAAATGATCCTGGAAATGTGACCTTTTAAGAGAGGTTACCTGTATTAAGAGGTTACCATATAATAGGTGACCTTTTTCTGACATGATAACCTATGTATGGGCGACCTTTTGAGACAAAGTATCTTATTGGCAAGTGATCTCTAGTAAGAGTTGACCCTATATATAGATGACCTTCATAGACAGATGATTCTATATACAGTTGACCTTTATAGACAGGTGAAACTATATATAGGTGAATGTTATAGACAGCTGACCCTACATACAGTTGACTGTTATAGACAGGTGACAATATATATAGATGAACTTTATAGACAGGTGACCCTACATACAGTTGACTGTTATAAACAGGTGACACTATATATAGGTGACCTTTACAGACAGGTGACCCTACATACAGTTGACTGTTATAGACAGGTGACCTTATATATAGGTGACCTTTACAGATGACTCTAGGGAGACCTTTATGAGAAGGTGAACATAGAGACAGGTTCCTCTGACATGTAAACCTACCAAGCCAGGAGTAGTGGTGATACGATAAGCACAAGACAGGCCATGTGGATAGGTAGTTCCTGGTGTGGCTGGGTAGGTGATGGTTCCAGTTTCGCCAGTAAGATGTCCTCCACAGGCTGAAAAAGTAATTTCATATCTTTATCAAATCTCTTAAAAAACCAAAGTGAGAATATGAAGCTCACATAGGTATTGTATATAGAAGGTCTTAGATGCTCTGTTTTGAAAAAGATTTATGAAACGAGAAGAATTTCCATTTTGCCATCATGCTTTCACAGTTCATTTGATGTGATTACAGGAGTCTTCATAACATTTATAAAACAGCAGTTACTACACTGACAACACAGTAGTAATGATTAATAGTTCATTTACTATGACAATTTCTAAACAAGAGTGTCGTTGACACAATATACGCCGCCACAAAATATAAAGATCAAGAAAAACCGTAAAATCGCCACTTCCAGGACATCCACCCATTGTAGTAGTGACATTGAGCAAGTTTCATAAAAATCTGAAGGTACGGACAGACGGAGAAGATGACGCCAGTATACGACCACCTCCGGCAGCGTATAAAAACTGAACAGTGACCTTCGATGAAAATGTATCAGTTGTAGAAATGGTAGGTGTGATACTTATGGTGGTGTATATGTGATACTTATGATGGTGTATATGTGATACTTATGATGGTGTATATGTGATACTTATGTTGGTGTATATGTGATACTTATGGTGGTGTATATGTGATACTTATGATGGTGTATATGTGATACTTATGATGGTGTATATGTGATACTTATTGTGGTGTATATGTGATACTTATGGTGGTGTATATGTGATACTAATGATGTTGTATATGTGATACTTATGGCGGTGTATATGTGATATGTGATACTTATTGTGGTGTATATGTGATACTTATGGTGGTGTATATGTGATACTTATGGTGGTGTATATGTGATACTTATGATGGTGTATATGTGATACTTATGATGGTGTATATGTGATACTTATGATGGTGTATATGTGATACTTATGATGGTGTATATGTGATACTAATGTTGGTGTATATGTGATACTTATGATGGTGTATATGTGATACTTATGATGGTGTATATGTGATACTTATGATGGTGTATATGTGATGGTGTGATACTTATGTGTATATGTGATACTTATGATGGTGTTTATGTGATACTATGATGGTGTATATGTGAGTATATGTGATACTTATGGTGGTGTATATGTGATACTTATGTTGGTGTATATGTGATACTTATGATGGTGTATATGTGATACTTATGATGGTGTATATGTGATACTTATGATGGTGTATATGTGATACTTATGATGGTGTATATGTGACTGGTGTGATACTTATGGTGGTGTATATGTGATACTTATGATGGTGTATATGTGATACTTATGATGGTGTATATGTGACTGGTGTGATACTTATGATGGTGTATATGTGATACTTATGATGGTGTATATGTGATACTTATGATGGTGTATATGTGATACTTATGATGGTGTATATGTGATACTTATGATGGTGTATATGTGATACTTATGATGGTGTATATGTGATACTTATGTTGGTGTATATGTGATACTTATGATGGTGTATATGTGATACTTATGATGGTGTATATGTGATACTTATGATGGTGTATATGTGATACTTATGATGGTGTATATGTGATACTTATGATGGTGTATATGTGATACTTATGGTGGTGTATATGTGACTGGTGTGATACTTATGGTGGTGTATATGTGATACTTATGATGGTGTATATGTGATACTTATGATGGTGTATATGTGATACTTATGGTGGTGTATATGTGATATGTGACTGGTGTGATACTTATGATGGTGTATATGTGATACTTATGATGGTGTATATGTGATACTTATGTTGGTGTATATGTGATACTTATGATGGTGTATATGTGATACTTATGATGGTGTATATGTGATACTTATGATGGTGTATATGTGATACTTATGATGGTGTATATGTGATACTTATGGTGGTGTATATGTGATACTTATGATGGTGTATATGTGACTGGTGTGATACTTATGATGGTGTATATGTGATACTTATGATGGTGTATATGTGACTGGTGTGATACTAATGATGGTGTATATATGATACTTATGGTGGTGTATATGTGATACTTATGATGGTGTATATGTGATACTTATGATGGTGTATATGTGATACTTATGGTGGTGTATATGTGATACTTATGATGGTGTATATGTGATACTTATGTTGGTGTATATGTGATACTTATGATGGTGTATATGTGATACTTATGATGGTGTATATGTGATACTTATGGTGGTGTATATGTGATACTTATGATGGTGTATATGTGATACTTATGGTGGTGTATATGTGATACTTATGTTGCTGTATATGTGATACTTATGATGGTGTATATGTGATACTTATATGGTGTATATGTGATACTTATATGGTGTATATGTGATACTTATGATGGTGTGTATATATGGTGGTGATACTTATGGTGGTGTATATGTGATACTTATGTTGCTGTATATGTGATACTTATGGTGGTGTATATGTGATACTTATGATGGTGTATATGTGATACTTATGATGGTGTATATGTGACTGGTGTGATACTTATGATGGTGTATATGTGATACTTATGATGGTGTATATGTGATACTAATGATGGTGTATATGTGATACTTATGGTGGTGTATATGTGACTGGTGTGATACTTATGATGGTGTATATGTGATACTTATGATGGTGTATATGTGATACTTATGATGGTGTATATGTGATACTTATGATGGTGTATATGTGATACTTATGATGGTGTATATGTGATACTTATGGTGGTGTATATGTGATACTTATGATGGTGTATATGTGATACTTATGGTGGTGTATATGTGATACTTATAGTGGTGTATATGTGATACTTATGTTGGTGTATATGTGATACTTATGATGGTGTATATGTGATACTTATGATGGTGTATATGTGATACTTATGATGGTGTATATGTGATACTTATGATGGTGTATATGTGATACTTATGATGGTGTATATGTGATACTTATGATGGTGTATATGTGATACTTATGGTGGTGTATATGTGTGATACTTATGATGGTGTATATGTGATACTTATGATGGTGTATATGTGATACTTATGATGGTGTATATGTGATACTTATGGTGGTGTATATGTGATACTTATGATGGTGTATATGTGATACTTATGATGGTGTATATGTGATACTTATGATGGTGTATATGTATGTGATACTTATGTATATGGTGTATATGTGATACTTATGATGGTGTATATGTGATACTTATGATGGTGTATATGTGATACTTATGATGGTGTATATGTGATACTTATGTGACTGGTGTGATACTTACGGTGGTGTATATGTGATACTTATGATGGTGTATATGTGATACTTATGATGGTGTATATGTGATACTTATGGTGGTGTATATGTGTATATGTGATACTTATGATGGTGTATATGTGATACTTATGATGGTGTATATGTGATACTTATGATGGTGTATATGTGATACTTATGATGGTGTATATTTGATACTTATGGTGGTGTATATGTGACTGGTGTGATACTTATGATGGTGTATATGTGATACTTATGATGGTGTATATGTGATACTTATGGTGGTGTATATGTGATACTAATGATGTTGTATATGTGATACTTATGGCGGTGTATATGTGATACTTATGATGGTGTATATGTGATACTTATGGTGGTGTATATGTGATACTTATGGTGGTGTATATGTGATACTTATGTTGGTGTATATGTGATACTTATGATGGTGTATATGTGATACTTATGATGGTGTATATGTGATACTTATGATGGTGTATATGTGATACTTATGATGGTGTATATGTGATACTTATAGTGGTGTATATGTGACTGGTGTGATACTGGTGTGATACTTATGATGGTGTATATGTGATACTTATAATGGTGTATATGTGATACTTATGATGGTGTGATACTTATGTTGGTGTATATGTGATACTTATGATGGTGTATATGTGATACTTATGATGGTGTATATGTGATAATTATGATGGTGTATATGTGATACTTATGGTGGTGTATATGTGATACTTACGATGGTGTGTATGTGATACTTATGATGGTGTATATGTGATACTTATGATGGTGTATATGTGATACTTATGGTGGTGTATATGTGACTGGTGTGATACTTATGATGGTGTATATGTGATACTTATGGTGGTGTATATGTGATACTTATGATGGTGTATATGTGATACTTATGATGGTGTATATGTGATACTTATGATGGTGTATATGTGATACTTATGATGGTGTATATGTGATACTTATGGTGGTGTATATGTGATACTTATGATGGTGTATATGTGATACTTATGATGGTGTATATGTGATACTTATGATGGTGTATATGTGATACTTATGATGGTGTATATGTGACTGGTGTGATACTTACGATGGTGTGTATGTGATACTTATGATGGTGTATATGTGATACTTATGATGGTGTATATGTGATACTTATGGTGGTGTATATGTGATACTTATGATGGTGTATATGTGATACTTATGATGGTGTATATGTGATACTTATGATGGTGTATATGTGATACTTATGATGGTGTATATGTGATACTTATGATGGTGTATATGTGATACTTATGATGGTGTATATGTGATACTTATGATGGTGTATATGTGATACTTATGATGGTGTATATGTGTATATGTGATACTTATGATGGTGTATATGTGATACTTATGATGGTGTATATGTGATACTTATGATGGTGTATATATGTGATACTTATGATACTTATGATGGTGTATGGTGTACTTATGATGGTGTATATGTGATACTTATGATGGTGTATACTTATGATGGTGTATATGTGATACTTATGATGGTGTATATGTGATACTTATGATGGTGTATATGTGATACTTATGATGGTGTATATGTGATACTTATGATGGTGTATATGTGATACTTATGATGGTGTATATGTGACTGATGTGATACTTATGATGGTGTATATGTGATAATTATGATGGTGTACATGTGACTGTTGTGATACTTATGGTGGTGTATATGTGATACTTATGGTGGTGTATATTTGATACTTATGGTGGTGTATATGTGATACTTATGGTGGTGTATATGTGATACTTATGATGGTGTATATATGATACTTATGGTGGTGGATATTTGATACTTATGGTGGTGTAATGTGGACAAACGGACAAACAGACAAAGTGACTGCACAAACTTACCTTGTTGCTCGTCCTGGCAGTTGTTGCCAGAGTAAGCTGAATCACATTGACAGCTGTACCCGTTAACCTGATCCACACATGTGCCGCCATTTTGACAAGGATTACTGGCACACTCGTTGGTGTTAGTTTCACACTGAATTCCCTCATATCCAGGGATACAAACACACACAAATGTATTGCCATTTGTCTGTCACAACAGAAAACACAACAGTAAGTAAACCTTGCTCACAATTCATTATCTAATAGGGGTACAAAATTCTCAGAAATTTGATAACAGCTACCAAGAGCTCTTAGGTTTTGTATCACTCACCCAGCTTTGTTTTGCTGAAATTACTTTATCCAATATAAAGGAAAAGAGATTCCTATGGAGCCCATCCCGCTGTCCCAGGGGGTCAGCCAAGCCATTCATGCCAAAATTTCCTTCATTCAATCATGCATGAGAACTTACAAGGTAGAATCCCCACAGAAGAAGGATTTTAAAGTATTTACCTGACTGGGCACTGCCCCTTCCATACCATGGGGTGGGACCAAATATGTTTATAGAACTGAGTTCGCATCAATTAAGGGTGTTTCAAATCAAGTTGGTATAATCTTCTTACAGAAGAGGAAAGACTTAACAGAATTTGCTTTGTTTCCACTACTGAACCCTGACCCCGCTCAACCTGGCACCATTTATATAAACTTGAATCCCTTTCACTCATAGATATTTACAACTGAACTGGGACAGAACCCAGGCATTCCTACAGAGGAAGGATTTTTTAAAAAGAATTTGCTCTCTTTCCCTATTGGGCTCTGCCCTCCTGCTCCTGAGGGCAGAGACAAACTATACAATATTGAGACCTTTTTGCCAGATGATGTTTCTGACCTAATAGGGACAAAATCCATCCATCACCACAGAGGAGTAAGGATTTTAAACACTTGCCTCTTTTTCTCTTAATGGAACCCACCTCAATGGCCGACACCCACTGTTTATACAAAACAGGCCACAGAAATTTTTACATCAACCACAGTATGCCCAGCATTTAATTAGGCTATAAATATATATATTGTAGAGGTGATGTTACTAAACATAACACAGAGATTTTACTGAGAGTTATATCATATTCTTTTTCTGGAATAAAATATAGTCAGGAACTAGCAAACGCCATACTATGATGCAGTCTGATCGTTTTTGACAAAAGACTGTTTGACAGATTAAGTCTCAGCCTACAATCTTTCTCACCTGACATGCAGCACCATTCCTACAAGGGTTACTTGCACATGGTCCAGTGACTGGACCCTGGGAAACACATCCGTTGGGGCCTATCCCGTTACCAACATATCCAGGACTACAGGTACAGGTCAGCACACCGGGACTCTCCTGGCAGGAAGCCTGAGGGTGACAGCCCCCGTTGTTAGTACTGCAGACACCTACCCAGTTACAAGTCTCACCGTTTCCTTGATAGCCTGATGGACAGGGACCACATGTACGAGACCCTCGAGTGTTTATACAGTCCACCCGTGGGGACAGGGAACATCCACCATTGCTGGTAGCACATTCATTGATATCAGCACAATTGAAACCATTTCCACTGTATCCTGAAGGAAGTAATCGGAGATACAGACTATCTACAACTGTGGTACAGAAATCTTGTAAGTCTATTCAAAAAGTGTTGGAGAAATACTAATCAGTGCATCATCAACAAGAGTATAAGTGAAACTGGGGAAATCTCTCAAAAAAACTTCAATGGACAGAAAATCTTGGTGAAGGGTAATACCTCTGTAACTAAAGGCTTTTAGCCCTGAATTGGGTACACTGCATGTCTATTTAGTATGAACAAGTTCATTATTCTAGCTGAGATAAGAGTAAAGTAATGCTTTTGACATAAAAGTTTTAACAACGGGCAATAACTCTTTGATTAAGTTTCAGTGTCTGATATCTGTACATTGCACATTTCATTAATATGACAATGTATACACCAAATTTCATTATCCTAGTTTGAATGCAAACAATTTACAGTTATGCTTTGGACTTGAAATTTTAACGAAGGGAAATAACTCTGTAATCAAAGGCAAATGTGGGCAAAGTTATATTTGCTATGAATATGAAAGGATGGATGGATAGACAGAAAAAGTGGCAATTATATGCTCCCCAAAATAAATCAATGGCAGTGCTGGTGGCATATAAAAGTGAAATAGTTAGACATGTGTATCATCAAATCAAATTGTGTACAAACATGGAAATACATCATAATGTTGTCAAATTGAAAAGCTTTAAATTTCTGTCATTATGACAAGCCTGGTTTAGTTTAGGTCTGTACTGTTTAATTGGTTGACCACTCTCACTGTGATATATAGCGTGCAGACCTGTTGGGCACTGGCCACAGTAGAAGGTCCCAGGAACATTGATACAAGGAACAAGTGGATCAACAGAGCATACAGCAGGTTGGGTAGAGTCACACTCATTCACGTCTGTGTTACAGGCAGGATCTGACCCTGACTTCGTCCAACCATCCTCACAAATACAGTGGTATTTTGGCTAGAAAAATATTAGATATTAGATTTACAGGACTACAGGTAACTATCATTAAATCTCAGGAATTCTATTGAAATCTTTCATTTTCAGAATTTCTCTTTGAAATTGTTCAAACAACCTCATCCACTGTAATTCATTTTTTCATGCAGGAAAGGTTGTGTTATCAATAGTTCAAAATTTTTGTGATTTTACCAAAATGTGTTAAAAAAGGGACATATTTTTCACAGAAATCATACAACGAACTTCTGTTGTTTATTTTTTCTTTTAGTTTTATATTCAAAGTATTGTTTTGTAAAGTTTCATTCTATCCTTGGCAAAAACAGAGACCCTTGAAGAGAACAAGAGGTTTGTAATAATACAAAAAAAGCAGGAAAGATTTGTGGAAAAAGATAAACATGATCACCCACCTGACCAGGAAGTACACGATCAGTGTTTATACATGTCCCGTGACCACATAGCTCCTGGGCTGATGCTCCTGTACAATCATCATGTGTCTCCGTACACCGTATACCATGATAGTTAGTGGTACACTGACACCTACAATACAATCAGACATAGTCGTCACAAAATATTAACCAATACACTGAGACATTGTCCATCATAAAATATTTACCAATACACTGAGACATTGTCCATCATAAAATATTTACCAACACAGTGAGACATTGTCCATCATAAAATATTTACAACACAGTGAGACATTGTCCATCACAAAATATTTACCAACACAGTGAGACATTGTCCATCATAAAATATTTACAACACAGTGAGGCATTGTCCATCATAAAATATTTACAACACAGTGAGACATTGTCCATCATAAAATATTTACCAATACAGTGAGACATTGTCCATCATAAAATATTTACCAATACAGTGAGACATTGTCCATCATAAAATATTTACCAATACAGTGAGACATTGTCCATCATAAAATATTTACCAATACAGTGAGACATTGTCCATCATAAAATATTTACAACACAGTGAGGCATTGTCCATCATAAAATATTTACAACACAGTGAGGCATTGTCCATCATAAAATATTTACAACACAGTGAGACATTGTCCATCATAAAATATTTACCAATACAGTGAGACATTGTCCATCATAAAATATTTACCAATACAGTGAGACATTGTCCATCATAAAATATTTACCAATACAGTGAGACATTGTCCATCATAAAATATTTACAACACAGTGAGGCATTGTCCATCATAAAATATTTACCAATACAGTGAGACATTGTCCATCATAAAATATTTACCAATACAGTGAGACATTGTCCATCATAAAATATTTACCAATACAGTGAGACATTGTCCATCATAAAATATTTACCAATACAGTGAGACATTGTCCATCATAAAATATTTACCAACACAGTGATACAGTGTCCATCATAAAATATTTACCAATACAGTGAGACATTGTCCATCATAAAATATTTACCAATACAGTGAGACATTGTCCATCATAAAATATTTACCAACACAGTAATACAGTTTCCATCATAAAATATTTACCAATACAGTGAGACATTGTCCATCATAAAATATTTACCAACACACTGAGACATTGTCCATCATAAAATATTTACAACACAGTGAGACATTGTCCATCATAAAATATTTACCAATACAGTGAGACATTGTCCATCACAAAATATTTACCAATACAGTGAGACATCGGGTGTAAACAGGTTAGTCTTTTTAGCACTGTCTAACCATTTTTTTATCTACATCTATTGGAACAAGCCGAGTAAAGTATCTTGTGCAATGATACTTGTCAGGAGTCTAAGCTTTTAAACACCAGATCAAAGTCCTTTCACTAGACCTAAAAGTGCCTCATAATTAGTCGTCAGTAGTATTTTGCTTGTTTAACTTACGTGAAGCTTCCCCTTGTGTTGACACAAGTGGCTCCATTCTGACATCCTCGGTCTGTCCCAGCATATTCATAGCATTCATTTACATCTTCATTACAATTCACTCCCTATAACATTAGACTCAAGGATGTGAGACAAGCACTGTGGTGTTTTTGAGGTAGTAAGTCCTTGTCAATGTCAGATGGATCAGCGAGACAACACAAACTTCTGATAGATTTACAATATTCCAATATTTTACCAAGTTTTACAAGAATGTGATTTCATTCTTTAATTTTCTTTCCCAGTATACAAAATGTTTTAAAAAACTGTCATAAGAAAATATTGATTGTTTTTATTTGGTATAATAAAAACCAATATTTCAAAGTGGGTGTGGGTTTTATTCTGCAATTGGAATTCAGCTATAATACCAAAATTGGGCTTCTCCTGAGCCTAGGACCAAGGCTTTTTAAGATAATATCAATATAGACCTACCTTCCAAGCAGGCAGACAACGACAAGAATAAGCATTGTATCTACAGGAGTTGGGCTTCTCCTGTGCCTAGGACCTAGACTTTTTAAGATAATATCAATATAGACTTACCTTCCAAGCAGGCAGACAACGACAAGAATAAGCATTGTATCTATCTATACAAGTTCCTCCATTGCTGCAGGGGTTACTGCTACACTCGTTCTGTGTTAGAAGCTATAAGGAAAAATCAACAAATTTGTTGTTTCTTAGCAAAAACTTCCCAACAAGATTATAAATACACGTATCATTAAGTTTGAAGAGCACATAAAAATTCAGATAAGAGGGCTATTTTCTCGAGAAGGGAAGGTATTTTTGAGATTTTGCAAGGCAGTACTGTGATTGCAAACATTTGATCTGTGAAATAATAAGATCTGTGAATATAATAAATATAATAAAACTGTAACTGAAGTCTGTTCAAACTAGCCAACTTTCCTAAAACTGATTGATGGAAAAATGGCACATGATACTGGTTCATTGCTAAATGGTAAAGATCAACATTTGCTTTTAAAGAATATTGTTATTACAGATTTATAATAATATATAGATCATTGTGGTGTTTGAGTGATTAATCAGCAACCATGTATTAGGAACATCTTTGAGCATTAGAAACTTGACCTTGGGAGCAATACAAATTTGACATTTGGAGCAATATAAACTTGACCTTGGGAGCAATACAAATTTGACATTTGGAGCAATAGAAACTTGACCTTGGGAGCAATAGAAACTTGACCTTGGGAGCAATAGAAACTTGACCTTGGGAGCAATAGAAACTTGACCTTGGGAGCAATAGAAACTTGACATTTGGAGCAATAGAAACTTGACCTTGGGAGCAATAGAAATTTGACATTTGGAGCAATAGAAACTTGACCTTGGGAACTTGACCTTGGAGCAATAGAAACTTTTGGAGCAATAGAAACGTGACTTTAGGAGCAAATAGAAACTTGACCTTGGGAGCAATAGAAACTTGACTTTGGGAGCAATAGAGACTTGACCTTGGGAGCAATAGAAACTTGACCTTGGGAGCGATAGAAACTTGACCCTGGCAGAAATAGAAGCTTGACCTTGGGAGCAATAGAAACTTGACCTTGGGAGCAATAGAAACTTGACATTTGGAGCAATAGAAACTTGACCTTGGGAGCAATAGAAACTTGACTTTGGGAGCAATAGAAACTTGACCTTGGGAGCAATAGAAACTTGACCTTGGGAGCGATAGAAACTTGACCTTGGGAGCGATAGAACTTGACATTTGGAGCAATAGAAACTTGACCATGGGAGCAATAGAAACTTGACCTTGGGAGTGATAGAAACTTGACATTTGGAGCGATAGAAACTTGACATTTGGAGCAATAGAAACTTGACCTTGGGAGCAATAGAAACTTGACTTTGGGAGCGATAATAACTTGACATTTGGAGCGATAGAAACTTGACCTTGGGAGCAATAGAAACATGACCTTGGGAGCAATACAAATTTGACATTTGGAGCAATAGAAACTTGACCTTGGGAGCAATGGAAACTTGACATTTTGAGCAATAGAAACTTGACCTTGGGAGCGATAGAAACTTGACCTTGGGAGCAATAGAAACTTGATCTTGGGAGCAATAGAAACTTGATCTTGGGAGCAATAGAAACTTGACATTAGGAGCAAAAGAAACTTGACCTTTTGAGCAATAGAAACTTGATCTTAGGATCTATAGACACTGGACTTTGGAGCAACAGATACTCGACTTTGGAGCAATAGAAACTTGACCTTGGGAGCAATAGAAACTTGACCTTGGAAGCAATAGAACCTTGACCTTGGGAGCAATAGAAATTTGACCTTGGGAGCAATGGAAACTTGACATTTGAAGCAATGGAAAATTGACCTTTGGAGCGATAGAAACTTGACATTTGGAGCAATAGAAACTTGACCTTGGGAGCAATAGAAACTTGACCTTGGAAGCAACAGAAACTTGACATTAGGATCTATAGAAACCGGACTTTTAGAGTGATAGAAACTTGACTTTAGGATCTATAGAAACCGGACTTTGAGAGTGATAGAAACATGACATTTGGAGCAATAGAAACTTGACCTTGGGAGCAATACAAATTTGACATTTGGAGCAATAGAAACTTGACATTTGGAGCAATAGAAACTTGACCTTGGGAGCAATAGAAACTTGACCTTGGGAGCGATAGAACTTGACATTTGGAGCAATAGAAACTTGACATTGGGAGCGATAGAACTTGACCTTAGGAGCAATAGAAACTTGACCTTGGGAGCAATAGAAACTTAACCTTGGAAGCAACAGAAACTTGACATTAGGATCTATAGAAACCGGACTTTGAGAGTGATAGAAACTTGACTTTGGGAGCAACAGAAGCATTAGGAACAATAGATCTTGACCTTCAGAGTAATAGAAATTTGACCTTGTAAAAAAAAGATTGTTGTGTATCCAGATCACATAATTTTGATTTATCTTAAGTTAATCCTCTTATTTCTAATGAAAATTGAGAAATTGTTTACCTGAGGATATAACCATCTATACTGATTTCCTACCTTTACCTTTGAGTTCAAATATCTTTTGTTTTATAAAGTTTATTCAATGGTTTTTTACTTCAATTTCATAATACATATATATATATATTTCACAAAAGTGACAAAATATCAATATCTTTCATGAGTAATATGTGAAACTGACACATTGAGTATATATCTCTGATGACATAAGATAACAAAATTAGCCAATTTGAAAAATCATTGGGCAAACTTTAATAGAATATTATATAAACTCGTTAAAATTAAAAAAGAAATCAATTAAGATATTTAATCCTTATGGCCAAACTTCGTTTGGTCATTCACCTTTTATTTTGGCACATTTGAAATGATTTGAGACAGGAGGCTTCTTTATACCTGCCTATGTCTAATAGCTGTACTTACTGAACGTAATCTCATAACTTGTGTCAGCAAAGTCATGACCTAGATAATGCAAAACAATTAATAAGTTAAAAACAAGAGTAAACTATAACAATGTGACAATTCTGTACCAGTAAACTACAACAATGTAACAATTCTGTACCAGTAAACTACAACAATGTAACAATTCTGTACCAGTAAACTACAACAATGTAACAGTTCTGTACCAGTAAACTACAACAATGTGACAATTCTGTACCAGTAAACTACAACAATGTAACAATTCTGTACCAGTAAACTACAACAATGTAACAATTCTGTACCAGTAAACTACAACAATGTAACAATTCTGTACCAGTAAACTACAACAATGTAACAATTCTGTACCAGTAAACTACAACAATGTAACAATTCTGTACCAGTGAACTACAACAATGTATCAATTCTGTACCAGTAAACTACAACAATGTAACAATTCTGTACCAGTAAACTACAACAATGTGACAATTGTATACCAGTAATTTACAACAATGTAACAATTGTGTACCAGTAAACTACAACAATGTAACAATTCTGTACCAGTAAACTACAACAATGTAACAATTCTGTACCAGTAAACTACAACAATGTAACAATTCTGTACCAGTAAACTACAACAATGTGACAATTGTGTACCAGTAAACTACAACAATGTAACAATTGTGTACCAGTAAACTACAATAATGTGACAATTCTGTACCAGTAAACTACAACAATGTGACAATTGTGTACCAGTAAACTACAACAATGTGACAATTCTGTACCAGTAAACTACAACAATGTATCAATTCTGTACCAGTAAACAACAACGTGACAATTGTATACCAGTAAACAACAACGTGACAATTGTATACCAGTAAACTACAACAATGTAACAATTCTGTACCAGTAAACTACAACAATGTAACAGTTCTGTACCAGTAAACTACAACAATGTAACAATTCTGTACCAATAAACTACAACAATGTAACAATTCTGTACCAGTAAACTACAACAATGTAACAATTCTGTACCAGTAAACTACAACAATGTAACAATTCTGTACCAGTAAACTACAACAATGTAACAATTCTGTACCAGTAAACTACAACAATGTAACAGTTCTGTACCAGTAAACTACAACAATGTAACAATTCTGTACCAATAAACTACAACAATGTAACAATTGTGTACCAGTAAATTACAACAATGTAACAATTGTGTACCAGTAAACTACAACAATGTGACAATTCTGTACCAGTAAACTACAACAATGTATCAATTCTGTACCAGTAAACTACAACAATGTGACAATTCTGTACCAGTAAACTACAACAATGTGACAATTCTGTACCAGTAAACTACAACAATGTGACAATTCTGTACCAGTAAACTACAACAATGCGACAATTCTGTATCAGTACACTACAACAATGTGACAATTCTGACTAGTAAACTACAACAATGTATCAATTCTGTATCAGTAAACTACAACAATGTGACAATTCTGTACCAGTAAACTACAACAATGTGACAATTCTGTACCAGTAAACTACAACAATGTGACAATTCTGTACCAGTAATTTACAACAATGTGACAATTGTGTACCAGTAAACTACAACAATGTGACAATTCTGTACCAGTAAACTACAACAATGTGACAATTCTGTACCAGTAAACTACAACAATGTGACAATTCTGTATCAGTACACTACAACAATGTGACAATTCTGACTAGTAAACTACAACAATGTATCAATTCTGTATCAGTAAACTACAACAATGTGACAATTCTGTACCAGTAAACTACAACAATGTGACAATTCTGTACCAGTAAACTACAACAATGTGACAATTCTGTACCAGTAATTTACAACAATGTGACAATTGTGTACCAGTAAACTACAACAATGTAACAATTCTGTACCAGTAAACTACAACAATGTGACAATTCTGTACCAGTAAACTACAACAATGTAACAATTCTGTACCAGTAAACTACAACAATGTAACAGTTCTGTACCAGTAAACTACAACAATGTAACAATTCTGTACCAGTAAACTACAACAATGTAACAATTGTGTACCAGTAAATTACAACAATGTAACAATTGTGTACCAGTAAACTACAACAATGTGACAATTCTGTACCAGTAAACTACAACAATGTATCAATTCTGTACCAGTACACTACAACAATGTGACAATTCTGTACCAGTAAACTACAACAATGTGACAATTCTGTACCAGTAAACTACAACAATGTGACAATTCTGTACCAGTAAACTACAACAATGCGACAATTCTGTATCAGTACACTACAACAATGTGACAATTCTGACTAGTAAACTACAACAATGTATCAATTCTGTATCAGTAAACTACAACAATGTGACAATTCTGTACCAGTAAACTACAACAATGTGACAATTCTGTACCAGTAAACTACAATGATGTGACAATTCTGTACCAGTAAACTACAACAATGTGACAATTCTGCACCAGTAAACTACAACAATGTGACAATTCTGTACCAGTAAACTACAACAATGTAACAATTGTATACCAGTAAACTACAACAATGTGACAATTCTGTACCAGTAATTTACAACAATGTGACAATTGTGTACCAGTAAACTACAACAATGTAACAATTCTGTACCAGTAATTTACAACAATGTGACAATTGTGTACCAGTAAACTACAACAATGTGACAATTATATACCAGTAAACTACAACAATGTGACAATTGTATACCAGTAAACTACAACAATGTAACAATTGTGTACCATTAAACTACAACAATGTGACAATTCTGTACCAGTAAACTACAACAATGTAACAGTTCTGTACCAGTAAACAACAACAATGTGACAATTGTATACCAGTAAACTACAACAATGTAACAATTGTGTACCATTAAACTACAACAATGTGACAATTCTGTACCAGTAAACTACAACAATATAACAGTTCTGTACCAGTAAACTACAACAATGTAACAGTTCTGTACCCGTAAACAACAACAATGTGACAATTCTGTACCAGTAAACTACAACAATGTAACAATTCTGTACCAGTAAACTACAACAATGTGACAATTCTGTACCAGTAAACTACAACAATGTAACAATTCTGTACCAGTGAACTACAACAATGTATCAATTCTGTACCAGTAATTTACAACAATGTAACAATTGTGTACCAGTAAACTACAACAATGTAACAATTCTGTACCAGTAAACTACAACAATGTAACAATTCTGTACCAGTAAACTACAACAATGTAACAATTCTGTACCAGTAAACTACAACAATGTGACAATTCTGTACCAGTAAACTACAACAATGTAACAATTCTGTACCAGTGAACTACAACAATGTATCAATTCTGTACCAGTAATTTACAACAATGTAACAATTGTGTACCAGTAAACTACAACAATGTAACAATTCTGTACCAGTAAACTACAACAATGTAACAATTCTGTACCAGTAAACTACAACAATGTAACAATTCTGTACCAGTAAACTACAACAATGTGACAATTCTGTACCAGTAAACTACAACAATGTAACAATTCTGTACCAGTGAACTACAACAATGTATCAATTCTGTACCAGTATTTACAACAATGTAACAATTGTGTACCAGTAAACTACAACAATGTAACAATTCTGTACCAGTAAACTACAACAATGTAACAATTCTGTACCAGTAAACTACAACAATGTAACAATTCTGTACTAGTAAACTACAACAATGTAACAATTCTGTACTAGTAAATTACAACAATGTAACAATTCTGTACCAGTAAACTACAACAATGTAACAATTCTGTACCAGTAAACTACAACAATGTAACAATTCTGTACTAGTAAATTACAACAATGTAACAATTCTGTACCAGTAAACTACAACAATGTAACAATTCTGTACCAGTGAACTACAACAATGTATCAATTCTGTACCAGTAATTTACAACAATGTAACAATTGTGTACCAGTAAACTACAACAATGTAACAATTCTGTACCAGTAAACTACAACAATGTGACAATTCTGTACCAGTAAACTACAACAATGTAACAATTGTGTACCAGTAAACTACAACAATGTAACAATTCTGTACCAGTAAACTACAACAATGTGACAATTGTATACCAGTAAACTATAACAATGTAACAATTCTGTACCAGTAAACTACAACAATGTAACAATTCTGTACCAGTAAACTACAACAATGTAACAATTCTGTACCAGTAAACTACAACAATGTATCAATTCTGTACCAGTAAATTACAACAATGTGACAATTGTGTACCAGTAAACTATAACAATGTGACAATTCTGTACCAGTAAACTACAACAATGTGACAATTCTGTACCAGTAAACTACAACAATGTGACAATTCTGTACCAGTAAACTACAACAATGTGACAATTCTGTACCAGTAAACTACAACAATGTGACAATTCTGTATCAGTAAACTACAACAATGTGACAATTCTGACTAGTAAAATACAACAATGTGACAATTCTGTACCAGTAATTTACAACAATGTAACAATTGTGTACCAGTAAACTACAACAATGTAACAATTCTGTACCAGTAAACTACAACAATGTGACAATTCTGTACCAGTAAACTACAACAATGTGACAATTCTGTACCAGTAAACTACAACAATGTGACAATTCTGTACCAGTAAACTACAACAATGTGACAATTCTGTACCAGTAAACTACAACAATGTGACAATTCTGTACCAGTAAACTACAACAATGTGACAATTCTGTACCAGTAAACTACAACAATGTAACAATTGTATACCAGTAAACTACAACAATGTGACAATTCTGTACCAGTAAACTACAACAATGTGACAATTCTGTACCAGTAAACTACAACAATGTGACAATTCTGTACCAGTAAACTACAACAATGTAACAATTGTGTACCAGTAAACTACAACAATGTGACAATTCTGTACCAGTAAACTACAACAATGTGACAATTCTGTACCAGTAAACTACAACAATGTGACAATTCTGTACCAGTAAACTACAACAATGTATCAATTCTGTACCAGTAAACTACAACAATGTGACAATTCTGTACCAGTAAACTACAACAATGTATCAATTCTGTACCAGTAAACTACAACAATGTGACAATTCTGTACCAGTAAACTACAACAATGTAACAATTCTGTACCAGTAAACTACAACAATGTGACAATTGTGTACCAGTAAACTACAACAATGTATCAATTCTGTACCAGTAAACTACAACAATGTAACAATTCTGTACCAGTAAACTACAACAATGTAACAGTTCTGTACCAGTAAACAACAACAATGTGACAATTGTATACCAGTAAACTACAACAATGTAACAATTCTGTACCAGTAAACTATAACAATGTGACAATTCTGTACCAGTAAACTACCACAATGTATCAATTCTGTACCAGTAAACTACAACAATGTGACAATTCTGTACCAGTAAACTACAACAATGTGACAATTCTGTACCAGTAAACTACAACAATGTGACAATTCTGTACCAGTAAACTACAACAATGTGACAATTCTGTATCAGTAAACTACAACAATGTGACAATTCTGACTAGTAAACTACAACAATGTAACAGTTCTGTACCAGTAAACTACAACAATGTAACAGTTCTGTACCAGTAAACAACAACAATGTGACAATTGTATACCAGTAAACTACAACAATGTAACAATTCTGTACCAGTAAACTACAACAATGTAACAATTGTGTACCAGTAAACTACAACAATGTAACAATTCTGTACCAGTAAACTGCAAGAATATGTATCAGGAAACAGTCATGTAACAATTTAACAAAAATATTAAAAGCCATGCAGACATTACCCTCCGATTAAGCCTCCGATATCTTCTGTCATTACTGTTGTTCCTTACCTATAATAATCAATCAAAACTTCTACAAACTCATAACTGTACATGTCAGCAACAACTAAAACACATGCAAAGAACAGATCAACACCTTCAAAACCAGCATTCTCTACAAACACATCAGGCTTTTTGTACAAGATATGTGAATTCTAAAGAAGCCATATTTCAGGTTAAATATATCGCATTATGAAATAATACTACCTATTGGAAGTGTATCATGCCACAAATCATGTTTCCATTCCTGAAATATTACAACTGGTGTAAGAGAAAACAAATAGTGATGAGGTGCAGTATACATTTGAGGAAATGTACAGATATCATGCCAGTTTTGATTTGTAATTCCTTTAATACAATTGCCCTTTCCCCTCTTTTTGTGTACAGTTAGTGCTACATTGAAGTGATTAAGCTCCTTTGGTGTAGAAAATGGTGTTGTAGTGAAGTGAGTTACCTCATTTTGTGTCAGAGTTATATTGAAGTCGGTTATCTCCCTTTGTGTTGAATTCAATGTTGAAGTGAAGTTAGTTACTGCCTTTTGTATATTAGTCTGTTATGTTAAAGTGGGTTACCTCCCTTGTGAAGAATTCAATGCAGTAGTGTCAGTCAGTATTATGTAAAAGAGAGTTTTCTCCCTTTGTGTAGAAAATTGTGTTGCAGTGAAGTTAGTTTGCTCATTTTGTACATCAATCAGTGTTACATTTAAGTGAGTTAACTTTCCTTGTGTATAATTCAATGCGGTAGTGAAGTTAGTTACTTCCTTTTGTACGTCAGTCAGTATTATGTCAAAGAGAGTTTCTATCTTTGTGTATAAAATTCATTGTTGTAGTGAAGTTAGAGATTGCCTTTTGTATATTAGTCTGTTATGTTAAAGTGGGTTACCTCCCTTTGTGCAGAAAATTGTGTTGTAGTGAAGGTATTTACCTTATTGTGCATATCAGTAAGTGTTCAGCTGAAGTGTGTTACCTCCCCTTGTGTAGAAAATGGTGTTGTCGTGAAGTTAGCTACTTAATTTTTTATGTCAGTCTGTTTAAATTGAAGAGAGTGACCACCCTTTGTGTAGAAATTGTTGTTGAAGTTCAGTAAGTTACCTACCTGTTCCTCAAGTTCAGACACAGCAATTCCATTACTTGTTGCTTCCGTAACTTGAGCTTGTAGACCATCCACCTAAGTACATACCAGATACATGCAGAGTACATGCATATTGTGCAATGAGTCATACTGACATACACAGTACTGTTTTTCATGAAGGGAATGAAGTGAACTAGGAACAAGTCACTAACCATACTTATACAGACATGTAGTCATATCATGCTGAGGACTGTTCCAATAAAACAATCACTGACCCCTGGATTTGAAAAATTAATCGCTCCTGTCATGGTTTCATTATCTGCTTATTTCTTGTAGGCAAATTATCAATTCAGTTGATGGATGGTAACACTTAACGAGACCTGAGTCCTGACTCCAGTTAATCAAAGGTTAATAAGATTAAATTAGTGCTTAGAGATAAAATTCAGATCATTGCCATTGAAAGTACTTGAGTTTTAAAGGCAAAATAAAATCTCAAAACAGATCTGGCCTAGCTTCCACAACAAATTTACAGCTGTTGAAGTGATAAAGAATAGTCCAAATTTAGTTTGATTCATATTTGAATATTTTCACTAACCACCAGTTATCTCTAACAAGCCTCCGAACAACCAGGGCTTGGGGTCATATATGTTTTATTGAATTAGCCCTAATTGATTTATAAAAGGTTTTATTCAAACATGTTAATGATGTTAAGTGGCTTCGCACTGAAGAACAAGCATATTTTTAACAAGTAAGGCAGAACAAGTGACCCTTGTCCAGTCTCTGTAAAGCTTGGAGCTATCCTCTTTGTCTCACCTGTCTAGGAAGATCTGATTCAGTCTCAATGGTACACGAAGCAGACAATTTAAACAGATCAGAAAGAATGTTGTAAGTGGTTCACACTGATTCAAATGTTGGTTTTTCCAAAGTAATAATAACACAAGTGGAAAAAGTCAGTACATTCTGCCATTTACTTGTATCTAAAATATGTGGTTTAGCAAAGCTCACTGAAAGCTGAATTAAAACATGTAAATATTCCTTGTGGCAAAGTCAGCTGAAACACGAAGGAAAAAAAACAATAAAAAGCATGAAATTTGACTTTCAGACATAATTTCATGAAATAAAATCTGTTTTTAAGTTTGTGCATTAAAATTGAACTGTCAATGCCCGAGTTCCAACATGTTTTATTTGTGACTGTTATTACTGGTGAAGGAACCAGGAATATCAATACCATGAAATTGCTTACATTGTATGTACTGGAAACCATTTGTTTTGCACACCATTCTAATTTCTTAATTCTTAACCGGGGGAAAAAACAGCCAAAATTTATTTACATATCAATTAATTTGCTATTTACTGATGACTCAAATAAAAAATATTTAATCAGATTCATTCTAGCAAATATGTGAGAAACAACCAGTAATTGGTGTTAAAACTTACAAGGTCTCTGAAAATGTGATTACAGTTTGCTGTCAAGAAGACATCTGAAAAGTGAGGATTTTTATACCCAAGATGTGAGAGTGCCTTTACTTACAGTTTGCTGTAGAGAAGACACATGAGAATTGAGAGTGTCTTTACTTACATTTCGCTGTAGAGAAGACACTTTAGAAGTTAGAGTGACTTTATGTACATTTCACTGCAGAGAAGACACCTGAGAAGTAAGAGTGTCTTTACTTACATTTCACTGAAGAGAAGACATCGGAGAAGTGAGAGTGTCTTACTTACAGTTTGCTGTAGAAAAGACAGCGGAGACGTGAGAGTGTCTTTACTTACATTACACTTAAGAGAATACATCGGAGAAGTGAGTGTCTTTACTTACATTTCACTGAAGAGAAGACATCTGAGAAGTAAGAGTGTCTTTACTTAAAGTTTGCTGTAGAGAAGACATGTTAGATGTTAGAGTTACTTTATGTATATTTCACTGTGGGGAAGACACCTGAGAAGTGAGAGTTTCTTTACTAACAGCTCCCTGTACAAAAGACACTTTAGAGGTTAGCGTGACTTTATGTACATTTCACTGTGGAGAAGACACCTGAGAAGAGAGAGTGTCTTTACTTACTTTTCATTGTAGAAAAGACAACTGAGAGGAAAGTGTCTTTACTTACATTTTACTGTAGAGAAGACACCTGAGAAGTGAGAACGTCATTACTAATAGTTCCCTGTGAAGAAGACACCTGAGAAGTAAGGGTGTCTTTACTTACATTTCACTGAAGAGAAGACATCTGAGAAGTGAGAGTGTCTTTACTTACATTTCGCTGTAGCGAAGACACCTGAGAAGTAAGAGTGTCTTTACTTACATTTCACTGTAGAGAAGACACCTGAGAAGTGAGAGTTCTTTACTTACATTTCGTTGTAACGAATACACCTGAGAAGTGAGTGTCTTTACTTACATTTCACAGTAGAGAAGACACCTGAGAAGTGAGTGTCTTCACTTACATTTCACAGTAGAGAAGACACCTGAGAAGTGAGTGTCTTTATGTACATTTCACAGTAGAGAAGACACCTGAGAAGTGAGTGTCTTTATGTACATTTCATTGTAGTGAAGACACCTGAGAAGTGAGAGTGTCTTTACTCACATTTCACAGTAGAGAAAACACCTGAGAATTGAGTGTCTTTATGTACATATCATTGTAGAGAAAACATCAGAGAAGTGAGAGTGTATTTACTTACATTTTCACTGTAAAGAAGGCATCTTAGAAGTGAGTGTCTTTACTTACATTTCACTATAGAGAAGACACCTGAGAAGTGAGAATGTCTTTACTAATAGTTCCCTGTGAAGAAGACACCTGAGAAGTAAGAGTGTCTTTACTTACGGTTTGCTGTAGCGAAGACATCTGAGAAGTGAGAGTGTCTTTACTTACATTTCGCTGTAGCGAAGACACATGAGAAGTGAGTGTCTACTTACATTTCACTGTAGAGAAGACACCTGAGAAGTTAGAGTGTCTTTATGTACATTTAATTGTAGAGAAAACATCAGAGAAGTGAGAGTGTATTTACTTACATTTTTACTGTAAAGAAGGCATCTAAGAAGTGAGTGTCTTTACTTACATTTCACTGTAGAGAAGACACCTGAGAAGTGGGTGTTTTTATGTACATTTCATTGTAGAAAAGACACCTGAGAAGTGACAGTGTCTTTACTTACACTTCACAGTAGAGAAAACACCTGAGAAGTGAGAGTGTATTTACTTACATTTTCACTGTAGAGAACACACCTGATAAGTGAGAGCGTCTTTACTTACAGTTTGCTGTAGCAAAGACACCTGAGAAATGAGTGTCTTTACTTACAGTTCACTGTAGAGAAGACACCTGAGAAGTAAGTATCTTTATGTACATTTCATTGTAATCTGAGAAGTTATGTACATTTCATTGTACATGAGAAGTAAGTATCTTTATGTACATTTCATTGTAATGAAGACACCTGAGAAGTGAGAGTGTCTTTATTCACATTTCGCTGTAGAGTAGACACCTGAGAAGTGAGTGTCTTTATGTACATTTCATTGTAGAGAAGACACCTGAGAAGTGAGTGTCTTTACTTACATTTCATTGTAGAGAAAACATCAGAGAAGTGAGAGTATATTTACTTACACTTTCACTGTAAAGAAGGCATCTAAGAAGTGAGTGTCTTTACTTACATTTCACTGTAGAGAAGACACCTGAGAAGTGAGAGTGTTTTTACTTACATTTCACTGTAGCAAAGACACCTGAGAAGTGAGTGTCTTTACTTACATTTCACTGTAGAGAAGACATCTGGGAAGTGAGAGTGTCTTTACTTACATTTCGCTGTAGCAAATACACCTGAGAAGTGAGTGTCTTTACTTACATTTCACTGTAGAGAAGACACCTGAGAAGTGAGAGTGTCTTTACTTACATTTCGCTGTAGAGAAGGCACCTGAGAAGTGAGAGTGTGTTTACTTACAGTTTGCTGTAGCGAAGACACCTGAGAAGTGAGACTGTCTTTACTTACGTTTCGCTGTAGCAAAGACACCTGAGAAGTGAGAGTGTCTTTACTTACATTTCGCTGTAGAGAAGACACCTGAGAAGTGAGAGTGTCTTTACTTACAGTTTGCTGTAGGGAAGACACCTGAGAAGTGAGAGTGTCTTTACTTACATTTCGCTGTAAAGAAGACATCTGGGAAGTGAGATTAGTAACAGACCAGGAAAGGCTTTGAAACCCTGTTATTTGTTGTTCAATGGCATCCAATCGAGTCACAAGATTCTGTAACATATTAATTGCACAACATTTACACAATGACTTCACAACTGACTGAAGTAGCTCACTGTTACAATGAGAAGTCAATGTTGTCCGTAGCACACAACTAAGTCTTCTTATATTTTTTCATTTGTAGCATTCTATTACACGAAAAGAAAAAAACATTACAGCTATTCATAATTGTTTGTTTGTTTATTAATTTAGCACTCAAAGCTATGGTATCTTAAATTTATGAATTTTATGGTTTCAATTTGGTATAATTTTCATGATAATGAAACTTTTCCCATCAAATTTTAATTCAAATTTCACTCAAATTTCAAATTCCACCAAATTGCTAAAGAATGCATGGTAACTTTTAATGAAGCAATCTGAGATTTGTTAAACTTACAACAATAATTAGAATGTGATTTGTTTTCAAACAGTACTGATTCTGTAATAATTATTCAAACAATTCTTGTCATTTTTTTTCTAGTAAGACCTACCGCTGTTTCCAGTGTATTGAGTCTGCTTTCTATACTTATAAGTTGACTCTGAACAGCTCCTGTCGGCTGCAGGTTGTTCAATCTTTGTTCTACGCTTGTCAGCCGACCCTCAATGTTGGATGGGATCTATGTGAAGACAATAATATAGGTAAAAAAATTTGTAATAAAAAACATTGTAAGGGTAAAATGATATACATGGGTTTAGATGTGGCTGGAGAGTCAGCGTCTTCACATCAATGAACTGTTTGTACTTAAAACAATTATTTTCACAAGATCAATTGGAGATTGCCAGGTTTAACAATGTTTGTGTATGTGTAAGATGGGGTTACATGTTGCAAATGAACATAGTTAATTGTTCATTGTATATGAATGTAACTCGAAAGTAAGGAGAGTAAGAATGATGTTAGTGGAGAATGACAGCCCTGATCTTGTGACAGTACTGTGACAGTAAGAATGATGTCAGTGTAGAATGACAGCCCTGATCCTGTGACAGTATTGTGACAGTAAGAATGATGTGAGTGTAGAATGACAGCCCTGATCCTGTGACAGTAAGAATGATGTGAGTGTAGAATGAGAGCCCTGATGCTGTGACAGTACTGTGACAGTAAGAATGATGTGAGTGTAGAATGACAGCCCTGATTCTGTGACAGTAAAAATCATGTGAGTGGAGAATGACAGCCCTGATCCTGTGACAGTAAGAATGATGTGAGTGTAGAATGACAGCCCTGATCCTGAGATAGTAAGAATGATGTGAGTGGAGAATGACAGCCCTGATCCTGTGACAGTAAGAATGATGTGAGTGGAGAATGACAGCTCTGATCCTGTGAGAGTAAGAATGATGTGAGTGTAGAATGACAGCCCTGATCCTGTGACAGTAAAAATCATGTGAGTGTAAAATGACAGCCCTGATCCTATGACAGTAAGAATGATGTGAGTGTAAAATGACAGCCCTGATCCTATGACAGTAAGAATGATGTGAGTGTAGAATGACAGCCCTGATCCTGAGATAGTATTGTGACAGTAAGAATGATGTGAGTGTAGAATGACAGCCCTGATCCTGAGACAGTAAGAATGATGTGAGTGTAGAATGAGAGCCCTGATCCTGAGACAGTAAGAATGATGTGAGTGTAGAATGACAGCCCTGATCCTGTGACAGTACTGTGACAGTAAGAATGATGTGAGTGTAGAATGAGAACCATGATCCTGAGACAGTAAGAATGATGTGAGTGTAGAATGAGAGCCCTCATCCTGTGACAGTACTGTGACAGTAAGAATGATGTGAGTGTAGAATGACAGCCCTGATCCTGTGACAGTACTGTGACAGTAAGAATGATGTGAGTGTAGAATGACAGCCCTGATCCTGTGTCCTGTGACAGTAAGAATGATGTGAGTGTAGAATGAGAGCCCTGATCCTGTGACAGTACTGTGACAGTAAGAATGATGTGAGTGTAGAATGAGAGCCCTGATCCTGTGACAATACTGTGACAGTAATAATGATGTGAGTGTAGAATGAGAGCCCTGATCCTGAGACAGTAAGAATGATGTGAGTGTAGAATAAAAACCCTGATCCAGTCACAGTCAGAATGATGTGAGTGTAGAATGACAGCCCTGATCCTTTCACAGTCAGAATGATGTGAGTGTAGAATGACAGCCCTGATCCTGTCACAGTCAGAATGATGTGAGTGTAGAATGACAGTCCTGATCCTATGACAGTAAGAATGATGTGAGTTTAGAATGAGAGCTCTAATCCCGAGACAGTAAGAATGATGTGAGTGTAGAATGACAGCCCTGATCCTGTGACAGTAAGAATGATGTGAGTGGAGAATGAGTGCCCTGATCCTGTGACAGTACTGTGAAAGTAAGAATGGTGTGAGTGTAGAATGACAGCCCTGATCCTGAGACAGTAAGAATGATGTGAATGTAGAATGACAGCCCTGATCCTGTGACAGTAAGAATGATGTGAGTGTAGAATGACAGCCCTGATCCTGTGACAGTACTGTGACAGTAAGAATGATGTGAGTGTAGAATGACAGCCCTGATCCTGTGACAGTAAGAATGATGTGAGTGTAGAATGACAGCCCTGATCCTGTGACAGTAAGAATGATGTGAGTGTAGAATGGAGTGCCCTGATCCCGTGACAATACTGTGACAGTAAAAATGATGTGAGTGTAGAATGACAGCCCTGATCCTAAGACAGTAAGAATGATGTGAGTGTAGAATGACAGCCCTGATCCTGTGACAGACAGTGACAGTAAGAATGATGTGAGTGTAGAATGAGAGCCTTGAGCCTGTGACAGTACTGTGACAGTAAGAATGATGTGAGTGTAGAATGACAGCCTTGAGCCTGTGACAGTACTGTGACAGTAAGAATGATGTGAGTGTAGAATGAGAGCCTTGAGCCTGTGACAGTACTGTGACAGTAAGAATGATGTGAGTGTAGAATGAGAGCCTTGAGCCTGTGACAGTACTGTGACAGTAAGAATGATGTGAGTGTAGAATGAGAGCCTTGAGCCTGTGACAGTACTGTGACAGTAAGAATGATGTGAGTGTAGAATGTGAGCCTTGAGCCTGTGACAGTACTGTGACAGTAAGAATGATGTGAGTGTAGAATGAGAGCCTTGAGCCTGTGACAGTACTGTGACAGTAAGAATGATGTGAGTGTAGAATGAGAGCCTTGAGCCTGTGACAGTACTGTGACAGTAAGAATGATGTGAGTGTAGAATGACAGTGAGCCTGTGACAGTGACAGAATGATGTGAGTGTAGAATGAGAGCCTTGAGCCTGTGACAGTACTGTGACAGTAAGAATGATGTGAGTGTAGAATGAGAGCCTTGAGCCTGTGACAGTACTGTGACAGTAAGAATGATGTGAGTGTAGAATGAGAGCCTTGAGCCTGTGACAGTACTGTGACAGTAAGAATGATGTGAGTGTAGAATGAGAGCATTGAGCCTGTGACAGTACTGTGACAGTAAGAATGATGTGAGTGTAGAATGAGAGCCTCTGAGCCTGTGACAGTGAGTGTAGAATGACAGCCCTGATCCTGTACTGTGACAGTAAGAATGATGTGAGTGTAGAATGACAGCCCTGATCCTGTGACAGTAAGAATGAGTGGAGAATGTGTGCCCTGATGTGAGTGTAGTGACACAATACTGTGACAGTAAGAATGATGTGAGTGTAGAATGACAGCCCTGATCCTGTGACAGTACTGTGACAGTAAGAATGATGTGAGTGTAGAATGAGAGCCTTGAGCCTGTGACAGTACTGTGACAGTAAGAATGATGTGAGTGTAGAATGAGAGTGAGCCTGTGACAGTACAGTGACAGTAAGAATGATGTGAGTGTAGAATGAGAGCCTTGAGCCTGTGACAGTACTGTGACAGTAAGAATGATGTGAGTGTAGAATGAGAGCCTTGAGCCTGTGACAGTACTGTGACCTGATGAGCCTGTGACAGTACTGTGACAGTAAGAATGATGTGAGTGTAGAATGTGAGCCTTGAGCCTGTGACAGTACTGTGACAGTAAGAATGATGTGAGTGTAGAATGACAGCCCTGATCCTGTGACAGTAAGAATGATGTGAGTGTAGAATGAGAGCCCTGATCCTGTGACAGTACTGTGAAAGTAAGAATGGTGTGAGTGTAGAATGACAGCCCTGATCCTGTGACAGTACTGTGACAGTAAGAATGATGTGAGTGTAGAATGAGAGCCCTGATCCTGTGACAGTACTGTGACAGTAAGAATGATGTGAGTGTAGAATGACAGCCCTGATCCAGTGATAGTACTGTGACAGTAAGAATGATGTGAGTGTAGAATGACAGCCCTGATCCTGTGACAGTACTGTGACAGTAAGAATGATGTGAGTGTAGAATGAGAGCCCTGATCCTGTGACAATATTGTGACAGTAAGAATGATGTGAGTGTAGATTGACAGCCCTGATCTTGTGACAATACTGTGACAGTAATAATGATGTGAGTGTAGAATGACAGCCCTGATCCTGTGACAGTACTGTGACAGTAAGAATGATGTGAGTGTAGAATGACAGCCCTGATCCTGAGACAGTAACAATGATGTGAGTGGAGAATGAGAGCCCTGATCCAGTGACAGTACTGTGACAGTAAGAATGATGTGAGTGTAGAATGACAGCCCTGATCCTGTGACAGTAAGAATGATGTGAGTTTAGAGTGAGAGCTCTAATCCGGAGATAGTAAGAATGATGTGAGTGTAGAATGACAGCCCTGATCCTGTGACAGTAAGAATGATGTGAGTGGAGAATGTGTGCCCTGATCCCGTGACAATACTGTGACAGTAAAAATAATGCGCGTGTAGAATGACAGCCCTGATCCTAAGACAGTAAGAATGATGTGAATGTAGAATGTCAGCCTTGAGCCTGTGACAGTACTGTGACAGTAAGAATGATGTGAGTGTAGAATGAGAGCCTTGAGCCTGTGACAGTACTGTGACAGTAAGAATGATGTGAGTGTAGAATGAGAGCCTTGAGCCTGTGACAGTACAGTGACAGTAAGAATGATGTGAGTGTAGAATGAGAGCCTTGAGCCTGTGACAGTACTGTGACAGTAAGAATGATGTGAGTGTAGAATGAGAGCCTTGAGCCTGTGACAGTACTGTGACAGTAAGAATGATGTGAGTGTAGAATGAGAGCCTTGAGCCTGTGACAGTACTGTGACAGTAAGAATGATGTGAGTGTAGAATGAGAGCCTTGAGCCTGTGACAGTACTGTGACAGTAAGAATGATGTGAGTGTAGAATGAGAGCCTTGAGCCTGTGACAGTACTGTGACAGTAAGAATGATGTGAGTGTAGAATGAGAGCCTTGAGCCTGTGACAGTACTGTGACAGTAAGAATGATGTGAGTGTAGAATGAGAGCCTTGAGCCTGTGACAGTACTGTGACAGTAAGAATGATGTGAGTGTAGAATGAGAGCCTTGAGCCTGTGACAGTACTGTGACAGTAAGAATGATGTGAGTGTAGAATGTGAGCCTTGATCCTGTGACAGTACTGTGACAGTAAGAATGATGTGAGTGTAGAATGAGAGCCTTGAGCCTGTGACAGTACTGTGACAGTAAGAATGATGTGAGTGTAGAATGTGAGCCTTGAGCCTGTGACAGTACTGTGACAGTAAGAATGATGTGAGTGTAGAATGAGAGCCTTGAGCCTGTGACAGTACTGTGACAGTAAGAATGATGTGAGTGTAGAATGAGAGCCTTGAGCCTGTGACAGTACTGTGACAGTAAGAATGATGTGAGTGTAGAATGAGAGCCTGTGACAGCCTGTGACATCCTGTACTGTGACAGTAAGAATGATGTGAGTGTAGAATGAGAGCCTTGAGCCTGTGACAGTACTGTGACAGTAAGAATGATGTGAGTGTAGAATGAGAGCCTTGAGCCTGTGACAGTACAGTGACAGTAAGAATGATGTGAGTGTAGAATGAGAGCCTTGAGCCTGTGACAGTACAGTGACAGTAAGAATGATGTGAGTGTAGAATGAGAGCCTTGAGCCTGTGACAGTACTGTGACAGTAAGAATGATGTGAGTGTAGAATGAGAGCCTTGAGCCTGTGACAGTACTGTGACAGTAAGAATGATGTGAGTGTAGAATGAGAGCCTTGAGCCTGTGACAGTACTGTGACAGTAAGAATGATGTGAGTGTAGAATGAGAGCCTTGAGCCTGTGACAGTACTGTGACAGTAAGAATGATGTGAGTGTAGAATGAGAGCCTTGAGCCTGTGACAGTACTGTGACAGTAAGAATGATGTGAGTGTAGAATGAGAGCCTTGAGCCTGTGACAGTACTGTGACAGTAAGAATGATGTGAGTGTAGAATGTGAGCCTTGAGCCTGTGACAGTACTGTGACAGTAAGAATGATGTGAGTGTAGAATGACAGCCCTGATCCTGTGACAGTACTGTGACAGTAAGAATGATGTGAGTGTAGAATGACAGCCCTGATCCTGTGACAGTACTGTGACAGTAAGAATGATGTGAGTGTAGAATGACAGCCCTGATCCTGTGAAAGTTTTGTAATCTTTTATATGTGTATTGGTTAATAGAATTCTTTATAAAAAAAATAATTCAGATAATTATATTACATAATACACCTGTACCAATTTTATCTCTGCTAACCCTCTCCTTCTTCTATTCGTTCATAATCTACTTTGACAATAATTTGTAAATTACTTAGAGGCAGTCATGTATTAAAATAATGATATTAATGTACAAAGATAAGATCTATTAGAAAACATATACTTACTTCAGTCGGGAAAGCTCTGAGTTCATCTATAGCCTGTTTGTTACTTTTTACCTAAAATTAAATTATAAATTATAACACCATCTTAATGACATCTCCATTTCTAATATAGTAAACACTTTCTTGCAAGGTATCACACAGTGCATGCTAATCGGATAAACACCCACCATTGTTGTTTTGATGATTCCCTTGCAGCATGTAAAGAGATGAATTTAAACAGAAGACTGATGATATACCATCTCATCCCTAGACCAGAGGTACATGTACAACAGAGCAGACACCCATCCTGGCCACACTTCACATTACCTAACTATGGCACCTAGACACGACACTGAACTGCAAAACCTTAAAAATTATACCTATCACAGTATGCAGCTGAAATGCTCATCATATCCTATCCTAGAACCACGGATCATAATCAGCCTTTGCTGAGGAGCTTTGTCCCAAAGTTTTTGTAGGTTTAACCCAACATCCTCAATACACATAATTAACTGTCCCTCTTATTGTTATAGTATCGCTGTCTCAGAACCTGAAAGTCGCCAACAAGTCTCCAGGAACATTGTGCTTGTTGTCTGAGGTCATATGCTTCCTACAGTCCACTGCCACCAAATTCAATGAGTTCGCGGGTACAACAGACAATAGAGAAGTCACCTTGTTTGACTTTAACTTCTACACATGGGAAATAACACACACAGGTATAAATATATTGGACTATGCAGCTGAAATATCCCTATCCATGAAAAATTACGCTGTGTATATTATGTATAAGCTATGCTTATCTCAGGAAATACCAGCAGGATACCAAAAATGTAACTGTAAAAAGCTTGAAGTTGGAAAGGTAAATATTGTATACAAGTTTATATCACGCCATTAACTCGAATTCGTTGTGTGTTGAACGTTTTTTTTTTTATTATTAATACCCCTGATTTCGGATTTCAATCACATCACTACACCGACCGTCGGGTCGCGTCAGTCACTTAACTGTAGCTCTATGTGGTGCCTGGACTCCCGAGGACGTCCAGAGCGACGTGGTTAGTCTGTGATTCTGCCCAGCACTCAGGGGTATCCCTAGTTTTATTACCCTACACACCCACTCTTGCACGACTTCCTCACCTGTCACACATGTACACGTCTCAAGACAACACCGTATAAGGACAGACACTGACACTTTTTTTTATTGTTGTTTTACGTCCTATCGACAACTAAGGTCATTTAAGGACGTGCCAGGTTTAGATGGTGGAGGAAGCCGGAGTACCTGTGGAAAACCACCGACCTGCTGCGGTCAGTACCTGGCAACTGCCCCACGTGAGCCTCGAACACGCGACCCAGAGGTGGAGGGATATAGTGATTAATGACATTACGCCTTAGCCACTTGGCCACCGCGGCCCCTCACACTGACACTACCAAACAGGTAACACCAAATAAGGACATACACGTAAATGCACGGACAGTAACGAATACAGATTAAACAGGACGTTACAGACACTTACTCCAATTTACCCTATGACATTTATATAATTGTTGTGGTGAAAAATAACATGCACTTCCGAAAGGCAACTATGAGCATAGTCTTTATAGTAACCTTGTCCTGTGACCTTCAGACCTTAGGAGGAATCAGAATACTTGTCCGATCTGTTCTTGGGGAAGACATAGAGTACAGAATCTGCATCCTTGATTGGACTGAACTGAAGGATGTTTCGGGTAACCAATTTTCTATTCAGAACGACAATGACCTCAACCTTTGATCTAAAATCTGTACAAGTACCATGCCTGTGTGATGACCACTAACAAGTGTGACGGAAGGATAACATTATATGTACCAATTATCGAGGAGAATTACAACATCTCCCGTCAAACTTAGATAAAGTAGAAAGATATAAATTGATTGTGTCGTTCCTGCTGTCTTGACCTAACTCTTAGGCCTTTAATTTTCTGTCATTCATAATTTCATATGAGTAGCTATTTCCCGCCAAAGCTGGTGTGTAGTAAAGATCTGATTATCGGCCGGACTGACCGGGAAAAGGTATTGTTCCGTGTAACATTATCCGCAGGGCGGAACAACCTGAAATTTTATGACTTACTACAATCTCTGCTCAGTTTTCGTTGTTTATGACCATATTTGGGAAAGGTTTATGTCATGCATATCATGATGTACTAGTTTTTTTCCTCCAACACGCCTCAAGCGGCCTTATATAGCGTTACGAATGTGGACATACACTGTCTTCCATACAGTAAGCAAAACATTTTTCATCTTTGTTAAAAAGTAAGCGCTGCGCTACTGTTATGATTTGAAAATCATACTTCTATGTTATGTATTCAAGTACATGTGAGCAAACATTTACAATAAGCAACGAAATCTCCTTCGAGCTATCATCACAACTTGTCGACAGCGGTCTAAAGAAGACAACTCGCACACAATCTACTCATTCACACATAGGTCATAGAAGATAAGTCGAAGTCAGCTGGGACCTATTTTTCTATGTTAGTTTTTTTTTCTTTTTTCATTCAGAGTAAATAAGACAAAGCTTACACAAATTCGTGGTATTATTCCCCAATTTCACAGTTAACATACATATATTTCAATCATTTTCACCCTGAATACTACAGTGCGCTGATGGCAGTAGTGAGTTAATCTGGCCGTGTATATACAACAGGTGTCTTGTCACGAAACGTAACTGGTTATCAAGTAAGATATCAACTGAAATTGAAAACATGCTCATCCATACAGCCCTGGGTTGACGAATTCTCTAATGATCTTGTTTATCGCTGACTTTACTTCTGAGTTGAAATCTCTGTGGCGCAGAAGAAGAAGAAAGTAATATGTACGAAAATGAAATTTCTAACATTCTTCGTGGTCATTTTAAACTTCATAAAGTTATGATTAAGTCGCCCATGCAAAGAACTTGGAATAATGGTTAGCATTACATGTGATTTCGGTGTCGGAAGAGATTGACCACATTATCTAAAAAAAAGGGGGAAGGGCCACCATTGACGGGTTTTCGGCTTCCTGATTGGGACACAATTTAATTAGAAAAATAACAAAGGGAAATAACTCCTAAATTATGTTTCGCGTTTATAACTTTTCTTTTTCTCAGCCAATCGCATATTACTTTTAAAATGTCACGACAAATCCAGAGCTTCGCATGCTAAAATATGAGCGCATATGAGTTTTGAATAATTTCTTGATATAAAAACAGTACACTTACTTGACAATAAACGAGAAAGAACTTACGAATGACATGAAACTGTGTCTCCGTCCGGGCGACGAATTCGGCTTGTTGTAGTCAAGAACGACAACTCAATACCGCTTCAAGTTCGCGGTAGTGTTAATATTTCACGATATGTTCCTTGTTAAGATCTATCTACCTATGAAGTTTTATGTTGATATCTCTTATAGAGTTTGTGTTATGCTCCGTACAAAATTATGACGGACGGACGGAGGAACGGAAAAATCTCACCCTTCGAGGAGCATAAAATTCTGTATTTATTATAGTGACCCTCCCTCTCATGATGCTTGATTTATTTTAGTATTGAAAATGTCATACGCCATATTGAGCTTTATTTACAGGTACAAGTTGTTGTACAGGTTTTACACAAGTTGTATAACTTATGCCCAATCCCGCTGCTATAGAAAGGCGGTTCATACGCACATGTTTACATCAAATAAAGTGAATAAGTCTAATGTTTTATAACACATTATTTCTAGAAATCATTTTCGCGTGCAATTAATCTAGATTGTCCCCGAAATTTACCGCACACGGATTCAAGTAGCAATAATTATTTATAAGAAATTTAAACACCCGAGTGTATGTACTGGTCAGTAACTTATTATGTAAATACACGATTTAACAAAGGATTGTAAAAGCGAGGCGGTACCATCCCGGATCACTGGTACGGGTAATATAGCCACAGGCTGGTCCAGGCACGCGCGCACGAGACTTATCGTGATGTAGCTATAGGTTACATCGTACACACAAGTACTGGAAATTCTACACCACTGATAAGCGAAAATTCCTCGCCGTTATACAATTTCTAGTACAGATAGGATTGATTAAGACGCAGACTATTAATTAGATAACGTTTAGTATGTGTTATCATAATGCGTACTGCAAAATCGTTAATTTTCGTTGGGGTTTAATTTCCGTTAATTTCGTGGATCCGCGAACTTCTCAAATAAGCATAAATAGCTTCTCTGTATTTGTCCTTGAAAACTAAGAGTTCCGGAAATCATTCGTTATTTATTTATTTTTTTTATTATCTTAGTCTCATGAAAAAAACATCATTCTTCGGTATTACTTTTAGTCCGTGGTTCCGTCGCCATCCTCTCGAGACACTTGTCTGCATGCATAAACTGTTAACTTGATATACAAAACGATACGTCGATTCAATAACCTACTATACGTCATCACATTTGTATATACACGGGTGTGTTCATCTGTGTTGTATCACTTTCTTTAATTAGGAACAAAAAGTCGCGAAATTAATCTTTTAATTTTTATAATTGTGAAATTTGTAAATAATCCGTAGAATGGAAAAGTTGATAGATTCCGGACACGCGTTATAAATGTACAATGTAGTAAGCTGTAAAAAGAAATTAATCATGCACGTGACACATACCGTTTGAACCATGGAAACGAGATTCTCGCCATGCACATGACACATACCGTTTGAACCATGGAAACGAGATTCTCGCCATTCACGTTGACGTAGCCACCAGCCGTCGATTTAAATGTGATGTTATGGTTTATTCCTGTTTCAAATACAAGATGGCCGTTTGTTGTGATAATTTTCGGTCTGAAATGAAACAATTTTTGTAATTGGTATTTTGTGTCAAGAATTATTTTTTTCTCTATTCATTGCCCTCTATTGCAATACGTTATGCAGTGAGTATTACACTCGTCCTGTGTTCTCGTCTTTCTGTTTTCAGCATGGTAAGCTCCATTTTTGATTGAGTCTTGAATACGTCATTATTAAATAAGGTCTACTAAATGTCACGTTTATGCAAACTAAAAAATCAAGCATGCAAAAATAGTTTAGGACCCGGTACGGAGTTTTTGATCATTGTACAATAGACACACGAAGTAGAGAGCATCTTTCAATAAAAATTTAGAATTAGGTGCAATAGAAACAAACGAAGAATTAAACTGCATCATACAGTTCGTTTCTACCTTGTAGGATTCACCAGTAACGCCAAGGGTCTGATGTTTGGTGCCTGAGGAAATGACTAAGGAAAATTCAAACTGACCGAAAGAAATGTCAAATTCTACACAAAAAGGTGTACTAGACCCATAATCAACTTTCATTTCTTAAGTTTAACAATTTTCATACATATGATGTTTTCAAAAGAACGCCGAAAATCGATAATCAATAATGCATTTTATATCACAAACATTTTTCTTAGGTATGAAATATTGTTGTTTTTATATGGATTGATAGTTCGTGTCGGTATGACCGTAAATTGATCATACTTTTACCTGTAGAACGTAAACAATTTGTCACATTGAAGAACACAAAACTTTTACCCTATAGAATTTGAACATTTTGTTACAATATACATTGTACATTTTTGTTAGACTGTATAGCGCAAACAGTTTGTGACACTTTAGAACGAGAATATTTTATGCATTACATTGTTGACAGTTTGTAACAAAGTAGGAAGTGAACAGTTTGCTACGATGCAGACCGGAAACGATACACCATGAAACTCAAGCATACAGCAGTGCGCCATATTTTGGTTGGATACGAAAATTTTATTACTGTTTTGAGCGAAGAATATTGTTACACTGAAAACCGTTAACAGTTTCTGACAAGTGGAGCACGACAGTTTTATACACTGTTTTAGACTGTTGCTGCATTATCTAACAAGATCATTTATCTCAAATAGATACATAACACTGATCTTTGACAAATTCTAGGGTCTGTTTCTTCGCCACATAACTCTACTAAATGCAGGTATGGCGAAAAGTAGGGGAATAAAGACATTGACGCACTTTTTCCCATTTTAAATGCAACTGATTTTTTAAATAATAATAATTTGTTAAATAAAATAGCATTTCCTAGTTTGGATTAAAACATACTGGTTTCCGAAAAATGGTCATTGTAAGATTTTTCGATATTATTTAGGTTATCGGGATAACTATAATGCTTTTCTATAATTAGAATAACTTAGTAATCACGTCATGGTGTTCAGTTGTTACTCTAAACAAAATAGGAACTTAATTCCTGTAGTTACAGTTTTTCTTCATTGAAATACAATTTCGATTTTATCCATTCAAGAGTATACAGATACAAAAATAACGAAAAAATTGACCTAAAAACTATTGCTGCAGTCTTTCTGATACCAACGATAGCAATGAACTAATGACATTTTCTGATATTTCACATACATTCGCATTTCATTTGCTTATATTTAAAAAAATTCCAACATTCTGTTTCATTTTTTAATGAAACTCTTCTATTTTAAATTATGGTACGAATATATTCATTTTCCCCATTTTAAACCAATTGTTTACAATAACCTCAGTAAAAGCAAAATCAAGATGTAAAAACCTGAAATAATCACGGATATGATTATCATTGAATAAAAAGTTGTATGTGGGAAAAGATTCTGTGTCAATTGTGAAGAGACTTGTTGTTCTTTTGGTAATAATAAAAACATAAGAAGCTAGATTACCAAATAAATCAATAAGATATGAATAAAAACTAAACTTACTGCTGAGGCGATATCTGTCGTTTTTGTCTGGTGTTCTGTGAAGTATCAGTCACAAATGTTAACATAATTAAAACTATCCATCCCGTCCGGAACTCGCGGTCCGCCATCTTTTCATCACATTAGTGGTGACTTAGTCCTCCCCCTCTGTCTTCTTTTATACTATATCAGTCCTGTTACCCACAGGCTGGGACCTCATACGGGAGAATTATACACATTGTGTATTTTGTCCGATATATAAAAAATAACAGCGTTGATATTTCTATAGTATCCGTCTTTGATCATTTCGATAAAAAAAATCAGTAAGCAGGGCATTTTGTAATTTTTCAAACACACCATTACAGCTTTCCTCTCAGTTTTGTTTTCATTTCAGCAGCCGTCCATGGGGTAAACGGAAATTAGTCTTCGCCTTCCCCAGCAACTTCTAAAGGAATATCCGGTATGTTTTTATTTTGAGCAAATATATGTAGCCAATCAAACCATAATTTGTTTCGATGTTTCAAATTTTCTGGAAATCATTGTGTTATTCCTACTGATAATCCTTTTGAATTGTCTTATATGATCAGTTAGAAAACTTAAATATTGATAGTAATTTTGATGTATTATGTTGCAATGAACTGTATGTCGATAAATGTAAATTTTTATATTATAGTCCAGTTAAAGATTATAGATATAACAAACAGTTACTTGTGTAGGTTTATTGTCTGTATGACCGACGAGGAGGTTTTATAGGTTGAAATAACATTTGTCTGATTCTCTTATCGGACTTCATGACAATAGACGATGTTTGAACCACCATAAACGTTCACGAACTTCAAAGAATCAGACTTGAGTGACTTACTACTACTACCTAAAATGCATAAAAATTAAATGTTTCTTCATTTATTCTTATCAAACATCTGTAAAACGGATTATATAAATTCATACTATTCACGCTTGGTGTCCAGAATGAAGCGCATCGCTTTCTTGTTGTTGGAGGAAACCGTAGCTGTAATGGAAAACCCACGTGGTATGGAAGTCTCCTTACTCATTCACGTCCGGCAAAGGAATCGAACCCTACTCACGTAGGTGAAAGGCAAGTATGTTTTTGTCTAATAGACAGACGTATAAACTTGTAGCGGTCATTCTATAAAGCTGCCTTACATTATTCATTATTGCTTTTTTATTAAAACATATTTTATTGCACATAAGAAGCAATAGGAGGTGTATAACACGAGCTTTATACTTTGTATATATGTAGATCATGCATCTACTTACCGTATAACTCAACATGCTCAACATTTTCCTGAAGAGCATACCATATATTCATGACTATCATATACAATATACGTGTCTTTTCACCTTCGACATATCTCAAGACATTAATGTTTGATCAGTTACATCACATAAGCGTCAATGTGATCCAAATTTGGTGAGAGCTTGCAGAATGAAGTTTAAGAATTTCAATATAAACGAAATCGAGCGAAAGTTTTCGTAAATCCGTTTGTCAAAAGACTAAGATTTTTATGCAAAACCCACACTTAAAAATAATATCTCTGGAGCAATACAAACTCTAAACAGTTATGTTTTAAATATTTTAACGGGTAGATTATATAACCGAAGGGAAATATAATTGTCAAGCAAGCATTTTGAAAACTATTCAATCTTCATGTCCTTTCGTTGAGGTTAGTGATGTGTAAGCTCCCATGGAGTGTGACAGGGATGCCGTAATGTCGCGTAGCTGTTTGTATGCAGTACGATCTGTGGATTATCGTGACGGCACCGTCACACAGCCTGGCCTTATCGTAATTGATATAATTTAGGCTATAATTGTTCTATCACTATTGTCGGGGTATACAATGTACTCAATTCTGTACCCAGATAACTTAAACGTTATACAACCCAAACTGGCGACTGCGCATCTACCGACTGGCACACTGAAGTACTTGTTAAGACTTCACTTAAGGTATACGTGCGCATATATTTGTTTTGGAAATAGTAATAAATATATGCCATTGTATCCGGGGAGAATGATTGATGAAGAAGATTACTTCTATTTACTTATTTGTACAAAACGGAATGTCCAAGCTTCCATGTCAAAATGTTGTTCTGAATCTTACTAGAAGTTCTATGGAAATTATCCGATAATGAACACCATCGAATTCGCGAGCAACCGCTCGGCTTTCTCCTGAAAAAACTATAGGAAACGCTTATATGTGTTTGGAGAAAAAAGAATGAAATTCAAATTATATTAATGAAGAAATGTGAAGAAACTCGCGCCATTAGTCCTACATTTTTATCATTTCTTAATTATTTATTAGGCTAAACGTACTCAGTACGTATATAGACTATTGCGACGGCCTTTCAGACAAAATTTATTAGGCTAAACGTACTCAGTACGTATATAGCCTATTGCGACGGCCTTTCAGACAAAATTTACCGACCCTGGCCTTCTCATTGGCTGAAATATCGAAAAGAATAAGAGCCCTCTAGCGGCAATTTTCTGCGTAGATAATGCCGCGATCTTTCAAATCGCTATTTTAAAAACATATACGTCTCTGTTTAAAAGCATCCATTTTTTTTTAATAATGATAATACGATTACTATATATTTAAAAAAAGAAGCACAGTGTGGTTGAACTATTGATAAATTTTGAACAATCTATTTTACGGAATTCTCGACATGACGTAAGCGTACAGAATACTGTACGTGGGAGTTGGTGCCATGATAAGAAGCTAGTCTAGGGGCTTGGTTTGAATTATCAACTAACATCACTTATAAACAAACAAAACTTACAAACAGAACATCAATTTTGCTTTAATCCTTGTCATTGTGGCAAGATCGTCTTAATATATAACATCACTTTACCTCATTAGACGACACAAAATTGGACTGTTCGTCCCAAGCGCACACCCACCGCCACGACACTTTTTCAAGATTTTGAAGATAAAAAGTTTGCGCTTCGTAGGCAAGGTACATTTGGTGCTCATGATTTATGAATAACATATTTTTAATACTGTACTGATCATGATGTTGACTTTGTTATAACTTATATTTTTTTGTCTTTTAGTTTTATTTGATGAAGATTGATTGTGCTGATTTCTCAGGATTTGTTAATGTGTATCAAAGTTCCTTGAAATGAAAATTTTCATTCAAACAAAGCGCGTATAAAAAACCCCCAAAATATTCATGTTTATAATTATCAATTAACTAGAACGAAATATTTCCATAACATATTGATTTATTTTGCGTGTCATGGTGACATTATCTAATGCATTGGAGATATAAACAAATAGTAGTAGCTATAGTGAAAATATTGTAAATTTTGTATATATATGGAAGTCTGGTTTAATCTCATAGAACTATGTCTTTATAGATATAATTACTGGAAGAAAGGTCTAACCATGATACTTCAAGGAAGATAGGCGTGTAAATACATTTAATGTAATTACTTACACTTTTATCTATCTGAAATGCTGTGTACACCTTATCTACTTTCTTCAACTACAAATATAATAATAATAGATAAGGACTATTACTTTGCAAAACATTTAAAATAAAGAAGTAGGTATGAAGTCGTTTCGATTTGTCTAAATCCTCATATTTATAGGATAGTAATTGCAACATCTTTGAACAAATTTGAAATAAGAATTAAAGAAGATATAAAATCGCTTAAGATTAAAAAAAAAGCCTCTGGTTCTCTTATTTTAGTAATTTTTGCATTCCAATATGTAGGAGTCTGTGCAGTATTCTCCATTGCATGCTATTATGTTATATTTCATAAGTGTTCAATTTCACAACTGTATTCGCAAATACTGCACGAAACGGGCCGAAATTCACTCTACATGTGTATAGTTTTTCAATAGTACGCAGTGCGGTTTATTCCCCGTGTACAATAGTGCCCGAACACACACCTGATAGCGCGCAATGGAGCGTGACGAATTGTCGATCGTGCATTCGATGAGTTCGATATCACAGGTAATATATATAATATAGCGCAATAGGCGAATTCAATTTTGAAACTAGTTTGGCAAATGCAGTATATTTACAAGACAAAGTTCACCTTTATCAAGCCTCTTCAATCCTTGAATGAGTCCTAAGCACTGTGCAACATTTGCACGTTGTCCAAGACACAGAAAAACACAGATCATCAAATTTTTCATCGCTGTCCGTGTGTACGATCTACCTGTGACGGCGCCATTGTTGTAGGTTCTAGTACTATGATTCGTTTACTTCCCACCGTAAGTACAGTCTGGCAACAAGTGTGTATGTCTTAGTTTGTATTCCTCAGACTAATTACATATTCGCGATCAAATTATTAATTGTGATTACATAATGTAAATGAAACATGCAGTTGGGTATCATCATATATTTATGTCTAAGTTATGGCGTACTTGTTGGTATTTAGTACTACCTACGTTCCTCTCTCACACATATTAATTGTAATATTACTGTTATAACTACATCATTATTACAGGTGTTGCTGTCCCTGTTACAATCCAAAATTGTCACCTCAGTATTTTAATTAGTACGTCTAATACTGCCGAAAACTATCTGTACCTTATATTCTATATTACTGCGGCATTGTCCGGTAACTCGCAATATCCTGGTATCCCTACTACAATATAATACGTACATCCGGTACTGTCCCGCTATTTTTACAGGACTGGGGTTATGATTACAATAATTATTTCAAAGATTTTTATGTTCCACGTGACTTGTTATTTCTTTTGAATTGCTCATGCACTATTTTGAAACTTTGATCACATAATAACTGTCATTGTCAAAAGTGTGTATATGTATTCGATTCGTTCATGAAATCGATGACGAATGTACGTTAAGACTTTGAAACACTAACTTGGTCTTGACATCATGCATAATTGATATAACATGTCCATAACAGTTAATAGAGATTACGTGTATAACGTTATCCTGCTAAATTATACTGAGTTGAGGTATAATGACCAACCTGTAACTCAGGATTGCATCTCGTTGTTTGGTATATTTAAACCCATCTTATTAGCATGGTATTTGGGACTACAAGTACACATGTAAACAATTCATATTTTTCGTTTACCAAACATTGAACGTAGGAGTTTTAACATTGCACATATATTATTATTGTATTACC